GGTGGTATTTATATACACCCGGCTACCTTTCGTATTCTAGCCTTTATGGCGGAGTGGCTATAGCTCTCGACTTGTCGCCGATGTACCTTTTGTTGGCCTGCCGCGTTTGTTTTTTCATCCCGTTCACTCGGTCTTGCAGACATTACTTTCAGGTCCAAAGCACTCAATTGATATATTTTGGCGCGGATGTTGGGTGTTTATTGCACAAAATCATGAATTGTAAAATGATACATTGGAATGTCGAACTGGGAGACCTCGGTCCAAAAACGTACATGGTGAGAGCTATAGCCACTCCGCCATAAAGGCTAGAATACGAAAGGTAGCCGGGTGTATATAAATACCACCTGGGGTCTGGCCGCCTAACACCTTCCATTTCCGATCGTATCGCGTGCTCGGAGCTGATTCCCGCGAGCCCACCAAGGCCCGAAACCGCCGAACGCAAGGGTCTTCTAAACCCGCTGGAAGTGACCCAGACGGTTACAGACGGGTTCCCTTTTAGGGTGGATGTAACCGTTTGGTACGAGACTATGTGAGGGAGTGAGTTCGAGGTTGGAGGCAAGGGAGAAAGATCTAGATAAGCGCGTGGGATCTCGATTCTCGATCGCGGAAGGTAATCTTATCTTATCCCTGGGCGCTAAGCCACATCCTGATCATGAGTCGTTCAACTTTCTTCAAGTTAACACCACCTCACGGCTCACCGGGATTGTCCCTCGCCCAAGACGCTCAACGTGCTGATAGTGACACGGCTTTCTCGAATATTTCGATCATGAAAGTATAACATCTTCCTTGACTAGACGACCACCGCACGAACTTTATCTATGCCTCAGCTGCAGATACAGTATCATAAAGTTGCTTCCTTCTCATGGTCTGGGTTGAAACAAGAATCGAGTATCCCCTAGTTCGATCCATAAAATAGTCCAGACAAGTCTGGCATATCAGCGTGCAGGAGGGCGGACGGTCTAGTATGCACATACTTACGAGCCCTTGGAGTGTTCGTTCCTATAGCGTGAAAGTATATTTGCTCGAGGGCATTACTTCATTTTCTTTCTCCAGTCTACATTATGCTCGAATTCTGTGGTCCGTACCACACCACGACGAGCATGTCCCCTCGACGGAGTAGAGCTCGTGTAAGTTTCCACCAGGACTTATGGTGTGTGGAAGTTGGAGGAGAGGGCGACGGAGATAGCGACGGAGTATTATGGTTCGTTCCTTCTCCATTCGTTGACTCTATTGGGCCTTACGATCCGTTTCGACGTATAAGTAGATGCCGGCAGGCGCATCGCAGGAGGGTCGGCCTGTAGTTTTGTGGTACCACGGTATGTTCCACCTACACAGCACCTTTTTCACCGTCCGACTGCTTATGGGAAAGATACGAGTAGGCGGATAGATGCAAGTAGGTGGCGAATATGAAAACGCTCCAGCAGTGGAGAATTACCTTTAGGGTGATGAAGGATCCATCGGGTCGTAGCCACGAGGTGCGTTTTCTTCTCAATATTGTACCGGCCTTCATCCGGTACGCAGCGTGCTTTCATCCTACTCCGCACCCGATCGCTAACTTATCCTCACTCTCATATCCATATAATTTCTACATGACACATAGACAGTCATCTGGAGCAAGACCTACCAATCCGTCGTCCTCATTGGCCCCGCCAGTGTTCAGACCTTCCTTCACGAAGAAAAGAAAGCACACTTGGCCACTGGCGCCTGTTAAGGTCTGCTCGCCTCCTCCCTCTCTCTTTAATCGACTATCCATAGGGTCGATGTCGTCTCTTCCACGGAACGAACTCTGTACATGAGATTTGCTGACATGCACTTTCTTTTGATTTCATTTTCCTTCTCGAACGTCGCGATGTGTGTGGCGTGGGCGTCTACTTAGGTCTCAACTTCCAATTTCCAACTTTCAACACTCCAATCGCAACTTCCGACTTTCAACCTCAAGGACGTAGACATGTCGATGGGCAGCTTCCCCCCCTTCTTCGTATTCCAGGATATCACGGCGAATAGAAAGGTTTATGAGGCGTAGGCATGCGGACAATTCACTGTGCTGTTCGATGGTGGGATCCGGACGTGTTTTCATCCACGTGAACGTATATTCGCGATTTTGGCTTATGTGGCGCCCTCTGTCGTCTTCCATCAATGTTCCTTCCCCGTCACCCGAACGCGTCAGTGGCCCGCCTGTTCATGTACGGACTCCCGAGAGGTATTGCGAGGACCGTTGGCGGACACGGGGATCACGATAGACCTCAGTAGGTATAGCAATTCGAAGGAGATATGGATGAGGAAGGAGCAGTTAACGAGGAAGGTAGATGCGGGGTTGGTTTGAGCCAACTTGCGTGGTCTCGGGCGGTCGTGAGTGATGGATGGAGGCACGGAAAGGGAAGAACTTCCAAAGTTGGGAATAAACTTCGAAGAGAAGCGGTTTCGTGCGTCCCTGTCTGTGCGTTAGTCCGACTATCACATTCTCTAGTATTAATGTATGTGTTGTACAGTGTACAAATGAAGCTGCATGCAGAAACAATTTAAGATTGTTATTCGTAAGAATTGCGTATGTCGAAAGCCACCGTACATCCGAACCGTAGTGGCGAAGAAGAACAATCAACCAACTCACTGCGACTCTCTGACGAACTATCTGCTGACTTCTTCCCCATGCCCCTCGCCGTGCACCTCTGTCTCCTGCGTTGTGACCTCCAACCTCTCCGCCTCTTCCAATCGACCCTGATCCCTGTACGTCCTCGCGAGACACTTGATGCTCCATAATGTGTCGGGATGCACCTTACCCAGCACCCTCTTTCTTGCCTCCATCACCGTCACCTGGAGCTCCTCCGCCTCCGCCAATCGACCCTTCTCCCTGTATGTCAACGCGAGGTTCCCCATGGTCATCAGCGTGTCGGGATGCTCGTCGCCGAGCACCCACTTCTGCGTCTCCATCACCGTCACCCCCAGCTTCTCCGCCTCTGTCCACCGGCCCTGTCTGCTGTATGTCGACGCGAGGTTCCCCATGGTCACCAGCGTGTCGGGATGCTCCTCGCCGAGCACCCGCTTCTGCGTCTCCATCACCGTCACCTCCAGCTTCTCCGCCTCTGCCCGCCGGCCCTGGTTCCAGTACGTCGATGCGAGGTTCCCCATGGTCACCAGCGTGTCGGGATGCTCGTCGCCGAGCACCCACTTCTGCGTCTCCATCACCGTCACCCCCAGCTTCTCCGCCTCTGTCCACCGGCCCTGTCTGCTGTATGTCGACGCGAGGTTTCCCATGGTCGTCAGCGTGGAGGGATGCTCCTCGCCGAGCACCCGCTTCCTCGTCTCCATCACCGTCACCTCCAGCTTCTCCGCCTCTGTCCACCGGCCCTGGCTCCGGTATGTCGATGCAAGGCTCCCCATGCTCATCAGCCTCCCGGGATGCTCCTTGCCGAGCACCCGCTTCCTCGTCTCCATCACCGTCACCTCCAGCTTCTCCGCCTCTGTCCACCGGCCCTGGCTCCTGTATGTCGACGCGAGGTTCCCCATGGTCATCAGCGTGGAGGGATGCTCCTCGCCGAGTACCCGCTTCCTTGTCTCCATCACCGTCACCTCCAGCTTCTCCGCCTCTGCCCGCCGGCCCTGGTTCCAGTACGTCGATGCGAGGTTCCCCATGGTCATCAGCGTGAAGGGATGCTCCTTCCCGAGTACCTTCTCATATTCCTTTATTGCCCACAACCCTACTGTTTCCGCATGCCCCCACCATCCATGGCGTATATATATGGACTGAAACCAGTGAGCAATGCTGGGATCAAGACTGCTGTCGGAATTAGCCTGTAACTCTTGCATGTGTGGAAGAAGTATCCGCGTGTAAGCAAGAGAGTCTGATGCGCTTAAGTCGTGAAACTGAAAAAAAGAAAGACAGAGGATGAGAGCAGCATGGATGGGATATGTCTCTGTGGTACAAGCACGATGTCGACTCCAATCATGAACGAGACGATGGAATGATAGGTTGCGTTCGGGTGTGATTTCCACGAGGGAGTACGAATTAAGGGCAGTGACGACACGATGAAAGGCCTTTGAGGTAGCTGCTGTGGGATCGACGAATGGCTGTAAGAAAGCTTGTACCCAGGATATTGCAGAGTCAGAGAGAGTAGTGACTTCAGGATTGAAGTGTGGAGCGCTGGAAGCCGCATTGATGAAGATAGCCCGAGGGATATTCTTGTGGTGTAGGAAGGAGCAAATGAAGAGGAAGGTGGCCGCTTCCGGTTCGGTACGTCGGAGCTGTTCGAGGTTGATATCCCATGTGGTGTATACGGTTTTTCCATAGTCTTCGGGTTTTTGGTTAATGTCCTTGTACTCCTCCAATGTGTCGCGGCGATTAGAGACGAGCATTTTTCGGTATTGCTCGAGCGTACATGTCTCGTTGACTTGAAGATAAGCGGCGGCCTGAATAATCCCAAGAGCGAGGAAATCAAGCTCCTGTTTTTCACTGTAAGACACGCTATGGAATGCATCAGGTATGCCAATATCCATACCTCCACGATTTGCGTGATGAGCTTGTCTGTCTTGGCTTCCTGAGGATCCGAGATGCGTGAACGCCGTGCAAACAAGTCTTTCGCATCCACCTCCGACATCCGCGAGACCTCAAATGACCTATTATATATGTTGAGTTGTTTGTTGCGAGTAGTGATGATGATATTTCCGTGCGAGCACGCAGGAATATATTGTCGCAGGTTCAGAGTTGCGTCGTCGGCATTGTCCAGGATTAGAAGCCAACGGTCTCGAGTACGAACAAGCCAGTTGATGGTGTCCTGTGCTTTTTCTCCGAGCTTTTTCTCCACAGATATGCTTGCAAGATCCACTTCAAGAGTCGCTACCGAGCTGGCATCGACATACAGGACTTCTGAGAATCTGAAAGAAGGATTGAAAGGGGAAACTTAGTTTCTCGCTCAAAGGTACAGAGAGACACCGGGTGGGAATACCTGCGAGAATGACCCTCCGTCTGCAGTTGCGCGTTTGCCACGAACCTCCTCATGATCTCGCTTTTCCCGCTACCCCCGAGGCCATACAGAACAAACATAAGCTGTTCGTTCGTCAAGTCGGAGGAGAGATGTTCGTCCATGATAGATAGGATATCCTCTCGCCCCGTGAATACACGCGACGGCGGTGGGCAATACTTTCGCTCAATCGCTCTGTGCTGTTCGTCTGCGGCAGAAAGAGCCCCGCCTAATGATATAATTGGTTGTCAGTGCCTTGCTTTGCACTAACACAACTCGTCGGACATCTCACTCGCTTCGGAAACACCCAACGCTGCCTCCTGTTCCACCAAAACCCTTACCGAACCCTCTAGCTTCTGCCTCACGTCTTCACTTTCCATGTACTTCTCCGCGTGCGACATCACATCGTCAAGCTTGTTCCACTCGTCCAGCGTAATATCCTGCATCCCTTCTTCGACGTTGAACCGAAAGTATACATTTGGACGTGACTTGAAGCGGAATTGTAGGTCCTGATGCGTGTTTTCGGTGTCTGTAGCAATCTTGGTCAATGCTTTCGCAACTTTGAGCGGGATTATGTTTCCGATAACACCCTGTCTCTCGAGACGGATAGTTGGAAGCTTGCCCGTCCCGATACTGACGATGCAAGCGATGTTTCGGCCGGGGAAGACAAGTTCTGCTTCCTTGAGCACGACGAGACATGGATTATTCTGAGCCAGACCACCGTCAATATATTCCCTCTTGATGCCCTGGACCTGGATGACAGCGCGTTTGAAGAACGTCGGAGCTGCTGTGGTGGCACGGGCGGCTTCGACGATGGTGCAGGGGATGGGCAACTGGCCAGGGGCTTCGTAGGAGCGCAGGAGTGAGGGTATACGTCCGCTCATGTTTTTGGCTGGGACTGCACAGACGAACCTAGGGATCACAACGTGAGTAACACACGAACGTGGAGTTCAACTTAGAAGACGTACGTGCGACAAAGTTTGTCTCCTGTACGCGGATCCAAGATCCCAGGGCCAGTATCTCCGGTGTGGCGTTCAACAATCTCCGTCATCGCGGCCTCCAACCTTGTTGCACTGTACTGTCCATCTCCAAAATATTTCTTCTGTGAAAATATGCCCTCAGATAACTTCGCATACGCTTCGATAGCGTCTTCTATGGGCATGCGAAGGCGGCCAAGCATTAGGGCAATAAGGCTATGAGTTAAGCGCCGAGACGTTAGCCGCCCAAATGCAAGCCGTTATAACACAGGCTTGAAGGACTCACCCTCCAGTACTTGTACCACCGATGAGATGGAAGTATTCGCAGGGGAGAGGCACTTTTGGAAGGTTCAACCTTGCTTTGACTGAGAGCAGGATCTTCTGTAGAATGTAGAGCGTAGACAATCCGCGTATGCCCCCACCATCTGCTCTCAGGGCAGTGTAAGTGCCGACATGCTAAGCAAGAGAACTGCAAGAGAACGTACCAAGCGAGAGAAGTATCAGGCCTTTCTCCTGCATGGTTTGCGACGCGCTCCGGAGTAATGTAGAAAGTATCAGTGTAGCAATCCAGATAGTATGAGAGTGAGGACGAGACGCAAGGTCCTCGAGGCGCCGTCAGGTATATACGGCACAGCCTGGGAGACGCTTGCGTGTCTAAACTTAGAAAAATGCTGGGCAGGTATCTTTTACAGAGACAAAGGCCGCGAGGGAGTTCTTGTGTTCCTGGATAGTATTCCTGTACCACTAGCTGCACCTATCTCCTACTCACACATCGGCTCGTTCCTCGCTGTCAGGCGTAAGAGAAGATTGCTACTCCCAAATGATTCTCTTTCCTAACACCACCAACCATGAACACATTATTTTGCTTTCGAATCGCTTCTTATCGTTAAATATCAACTATGTCGGACATAGAATGCGAAGGTCCTAGTAAGTGTGGTTTGTGGCGAGAGAGACGCGATATTCCGATCCAAGAGAACCACGTCAACATCCTAGTCGAATGATGTTGAAACCCATAGGGTGAACGCTTCGTGGAATCTTCGTGACGAAAGTCAAAAGGAGAGCTGAAAGTATTTGGTGTCGACAACTTGGCGACAGGGAAAGAAACTCTACCAAGACGAAGAGAGTGGCTATAAAGCTGACTTCAACTGAGGATATACAGGGTTCTCCGAGCCTACATAAGACCCTACGTAGAAGACAAGATTTACGAGAATTAGATGGTCCAGCTCGCACGACAACTCATGGGACACTCACCAAATATATAACCACTGGCGGCCGTGTTGATCCTCCGGTATCCTCATATCATTTGACACTCGCTCTCCACCGACACAGACTCGCCGTCATCCGGAGGATAAGATGACAGCCAAATACGAGCTCAACGTCGACGAGCTATAGGCACTTCAAGACACACCTCGCAGACAGCCTGGGCTATGTATCGGAAAATATAGTTCCAGGACCAGCGGGAATATTGTCAGGACCCAGGTTGACGCAGGAGAAGCTCGCGGAGTCCATTGTGAGACGTGTGACTTTGATCAGCATAATGTACCCAGTGCAGTACAGTAGAACATCTGTAGATGTGGACTATTTTGAGCCAAGAAAACACAAAGTATTACAGGCCTTTCGTGAGAGGAAGTTGAAGTCCGAGGTTGGACGAGCGGAGACGATGGACTCGGAGGAAAGGAAGAAAGATAATCGCGTGGGATCTCGATCGCGATCTTATCTCCCGACGCTGAGCGCTAAGCCATATCACATCGTCCCTGAGTCGTTCAACTTTCTTAACACCACCTCATTAGAGATGTCCCTCGCCCAAGAGGCTCAACGCGCTGACAGTGACACAGCTTTCTCGAATATCCCGATCATGTAAGTAGTTCGTCACTCTCAACTAAGGCAATCGTCACACGACGGGCATCTTGCTTGGGCCACACAGATATAAAGCTTTTGCGCTGCACTACTGAGATCCCTGCTAACATCTGCCTTGATCTTGGTTGTGTTCTGTGAATCGGCCCTTGAAGCGACTTGAAGGACGCCACAGATGTATCTCCTGCTAAACAAGTGGCTCTTGCGAAAGAGATCCGCGATGCGTGTGTGAACGTTGGCTTCTTTTACGGTGAATCATCGTTCCTTGCTATCTGCTTTCTCTCCGAGAAACAACGACACTCATCACGCGGACACTATGTCAAGTACTAATTCGATTTCTTCGTTTGCGTATTTTATGCTCGTCGGCCCAACTCGGAACTCAAGTGAAAAATCACGGTATTCCGGAATCGACGATCGACACCGCCGTCGAACGTATGAAACAGTACTTCTCGCTTCCTCAGGAGGTCAAGATGGAGGTAAGTCGCTCACTCTTCTTTCTCTTTATCTCTTTGCGCAGGCGGAAAAGTCCAGCAAATAATCATTCGGCATGTCATATGCAGCACGAAATAACCAAGACCCCAAACTTCAAAGGCTACTCCGCCGTCCTAAGCTCGAACAACGACCCGAATGGCGCAGGGGACATGCACGAGGGTTTCGAGTTCGGATTTGAGCCGATACATCCTCCTGCTGCACCGGCTCTAGTCGATGGGGCGACTACGCAGGAGAAAGGTGGCGTGATGGCCGGTGCGAATGCGTGGCCTAGGGAGGAGCATGCACCGGGGTTCAGGGAGGGGGTATTGGGGTATTAGTACGTGTTTCATCTTCCTGAACCGTTCTCAGGACAGGATAAGCCGCGAGTAGTCCAACACGAACTGACTGCACAATTCTTCTTCTTTTGATCCTTCCTTAGCCATGCAGCAGTCGCACTCGGTCGTCTCCTCTTTCCGCTCTTTGCCCTTGCACTTGACCTTCCGGCTAACTTCTTTGATGACATGGTGTGTCTCGTCGCGCGGCTCGTGCTACTTCATTGCACAATTGTACTGACTTACGAGTGGGTTTACCACATACAGACGAAGAACTCCGCCGCTTTGATGCGCGTATTGCATTATCCGCCCCAAACGGGTCCCGTCGACGACCGAGTGCTGGGTATCGGTGCGCACACGGAGTAAGCTCCCATCGAATATTTCTCTCGCACTCGCAGTGCTCACTCTTGCGAGTTCATCGTATATCTTACATCCGCAGCTGGGAGGTACGTTCAGTGTCTTGACTTCGTTCTTCGAGCTTCATCGAACTGATATTCCCGCATCGGGAAGTGTTTCACGATCCTTTGGCAGGAACCTAAGATCCAAGCTCTTCAAGTTCTCAACACAGATAAGCAATGGATAGACGCGCCTCCCATCGAAGGAACGCTCGTCATCAAGTACGTCTGTTTATCCCCTTCCGTTCATTCCCATTCCTCTTCGCCTCTGTGACCCGAGAGCTCATGAACATGCTTTTATCCCAATAAAGTCTAGGAGATCAGTTCGCCCGCTGGACAAGTACATCCGTTCTTCTTTTATCGTGCATGAGGCTGTTGGACTGAGGCCTTCGTGTCGCAGATGATGTTTTCAAATCGACCGTACACCGCGCCATCAACCGGAGCGGCGTCCGTCGATACTCCATCCCTCTTTTCTTCGGCACAGACTACGACGTCAGGCTCGAGGTGCGTCTTCTACCCTCATGACGATTACCCCATCGTGGTCGCTCTGATGTGTGGGTGTCGACTGGACTGACGGTGTTTCTCCCATGTATGGCGCAATTGTGCGGTATGGTGGCTACTGATGTGGCGAATCCTTGCGTAGCCTATTGCGAGCTGCGTGAGCGAGGAACGACCGCCGCGGTATGAAGTCGTGACGGCGGGGGAATATGTGAAGTCGAGGTTGAAGGCTACGTATGGGCACTGAGCGCAGAGCGCTGCGTCCCATGTATCAGGGGGACTAAGTAGACAGGCCGCGGATATGGTCCGGCATTCAATATTCATAGATGAAGATGTGTTTTAGAAGAGCGTACGGCCGTTGCTCTTTTCTGGTGTAAGATCTCTGCTGGATTCATATTGTTCTCGTAGCTGTGTACGATACCTGTAATCATCTAGAGCAGGAGCTCGTTGGCGTGGGATGGCCATGATCAGATATGTAGATCAGTGTACGATCATTGGTCTCGGTGTACATCGACGGCTACGTATGAGGAACCAGAAAATGGTACAAATAGGATACAATCGACGAGCACAAGGATGAATCTATGAATATATGTAAGACGCTAACTGCAACATTTCGACGTCTAACCGCGAGAAAGAGCCTAATATCATAAGAACGAAACTCAAATTGGATATATAGATAGAACGAAGACGTCAGAGGACCCAACTCAAGCAGGAAAAAAAGAGAAGATGAAGACGCGAAATATTATTCCTACACCCTCTCAATTCACCCCGTCGTGGTTCACTAGTGCTCCTTAAAGCCACCCCGCTCCACAACCACCCTCTACTCCATGGAAGGACACTTCTACCAAAACCCTATTTCCTATTTCCTATTTCTTCCCGGAGTCCTTCGCCTTCTTCTTCGGTACGACAGGAACGGCATGTGTGCCCCCGGGACCTCCGTACGCAGACGCCAAGGCCCCAAACGCCGCGGCGTAGTCTTTCTGTGGGGGTGAGGCGTGCGTTGGGTTTGAGCGGGCGTTGGTGGTGGAAGTGGAGTTGGAAGAGCGTTGGTTGTAATTGGATGATTTAGTGTTCGTGGAGAGAAGAGATACTGTAGATGAGGCAGGGTTGGAGGACATGACGGCTTGATTAATGGGTGGTCGTTACGCGGAGGAAGGTTGAACGAGATTCCTGTGAGTGTTCGGGTTATTGTAGGCCGGCAAGGAGAAGATGCAAATGAAGTGACAGCAAGAAGCTGATGACAGAATGTGAGACGTGAACATCGACTAGTCAAATTTTGAGCTAGAAGAATCAACGAACCTGTCAAAAGCAGACAAAAATGTTAAATGGCAAGATGTGGATGAACACGACCAAGCTGTGGTTTAGCATGAGTAAAAATACGCCTTTTGCAAGCTTTCTGAAAAACGTACCGTGCCAGAATGATTCACCTGAGTGTGTATGAAATATCGAGACGTGAAGTATGACAGGTTGCCAATGGCGCACAGTCCAATGACTCAGGGGGCAATACTTACTGCCATTGTCGTCCTCTACCCCGCGCGCTACTTATGCAAATCCCCCTCACATCCCGGGCTAAACTCGGGACGGATTCACGCGAAGTGGGTTGCTGCATTAGGTACGAAGACCATATGCAGCGCTCAAACACAGCGTGTGCCTCCATCTTGAGGCAGTTCTTTATTTTCAGTTATCGAGACCTGCGCACGCGGGAGGCCTCGCCCGACTGCACCACATGCAACGAATCAGTATTTCGGCCCACGACTGAGCGCGGGATATTCTGGTATGTTAGCCTCGTTACCTACGGCGTCTCAGGGAAGCTCCAGCGCTGTGTTATTGTGTCAGAGTGCACGCCGAAAGGCAGCAGGTTGTCGAGTCACCGGCGGCGCGAGGAACTGACCTGCAGAAGAGCTTGGCATGGGGGCACCATATTTAGTGGGGATACTGCGTCGCAGTATTTTTGACGCCGTCATGGGTTTCACTCTGCACATGGTCCCGCATAGAAGAATGGAGATGAAGGTCGTGAAGGATACCTTTCCAAATAGGAACAGGAGAGCGCAGCAGAAACGAATACTGTGTCGTTGTAGCCGGGGATATAGTGAGCATTGATCCGGAGGTTCTTGTCATCTTAACAGAGGTATGTTGTTCGGGCCCAAACAAGACGCGAAGAAAGAAGGAGAAAACGTGCGATGATGGTCAAGCTCGAGGGCCACGCTGGCATCAAATAGAACAGTCGGTGGTGCGACTGTCCCGTGTGGGTCAGACAATCTGCTTGGACACGAAAAGTGGGGGCGGAGAAATAAATGCATCCTTGCAACCGTTCAGTACTTCACGGTGCTGGGATACATGCGGGTAAATCCAGAGGAAAGGGGCGGAACAAAAGAGATGAACGTGAATTAAGCGCCCGTTTAGCCTACTCAATGTGGCGTGAGAACCATGCTTCGGGTTCGTTCGGGATTCCTGCCGGGCCGAATCATCGCACCTTAGACCTCCCATCAAGACCTCATTAGTGCGAGTCACTATCTCGACAAGCTGCGGTTCGTTCATCTGTAGACAGTCAGGTAGCACTAAAGAACAGAACATCCGTCTACACCAGTCCGTACTACCCCGGTATCTGACTCAAGACACACTCGAAGACTCGAAGACACAGGACAAATAAACGTTGGGAAAGCTACATGATACAAAGGTATAGTGTTTGCGTTATTACAGGCTGATATCTTATGGATCTGCAAAGTGTCCGTGTGCTGTCAATATCGGTGCATGCGATGTCGCTGTCGTTATTCTGTCACTTCTTCTACTGGGACCGTGTCAGTCAATTAACCTTCTCCTGACTCTTGACCGGCGACGGGTTTCAGAGGGTTTGCAATACCCACCTTTTTTGAGGACTCTCTAAGGTTTGTGTCAGATAATTCCATGGAATGGTTTATATGATGTTCACGATGCCCACCCCTGTTTTTTTGGTGTTTTCATGAAAGTGAAGTCGGAGCTGAAGTTCGCTAGCGGATTGGATTTGCCACTATCTTTCTTCTTCTGGTCCTTCTTCTCTATCGTCGAGTCGTTAGACAGCGACTCTGTGGAGTAAATTTTTGGAGATGACGCACGAGAGTTGCTTGGTGCATTGTTACACGATTGGCTGGGCTGCTTGCTTGGAACAAGTGTAGCAGTCGATGATGAAGCAGAGGAGGACATCTTCTAGAGAAGCCCTGCTGCAGGACAAGGGCAAAGAGATATATACAACCTGTGGAGGAAAGAGATATGGGACTTGGGCTTTCGTGGCTGTTCGTCCTAGGGTTCCCTTATTTATAGAGGGTACTGCATTATCTTCATCATTACGCGCTCATCTTTCTGAACTACCTGCGTAAACGCTTTCTAATGTACACGTCAGCAGTCATTGTCGGCATGTCTTGACGCATCTGCTGCCCGGTGGAGTCAAGAAACCTGCGTTGACTTGTCCGCGTCCTTTATGCTTTCTTCCTCAGTGGAGTCACTGACAGCCTTCTATCTTACGCCATATAGTTCCCCGTCTCTGATTCTTATCGCTGCGAACGACTACGCCCGCTTTGTTCACTGCGGCAGCGCTCTGACTCGGATGATCGCAGCGTTCGAGTGAGTCGAGTTTCACCGAGTTTGGAGGATCCGCCACGGTCTCCCACGACGTACGTCTGGCTTGATGTGAACTCCAGTTACATGTCAAGGGGTTGTCGACGTGATGTGCTGGAAGTGCGGCGGGATGAGGCACGAGTGCACGCCTCGGTGACTGGTGCGGGATTGCGCCAGTAAACTTTACGCGATTGGAGTCATGCATACGCATTGTCGTCCCTTTGTCATTTATCGATTGATATGGATGCTTTGCTGCTCGTGCAGACTCGAGGGATTCGCTTCACCACTGTTGTGCCACAAGATGATGGAGCTTCGGGAATCGACAACCATGGATTCGGAGGGCGGGCCCGATGGGATATAGCATTATCGCTGAAGATGCCCAATATCTCCATGAGTGTGATTGAACAGCATGATTCAGATGTTCGAGTGTCTCGTTCTGGCGAGACAGGGGGTCTTTTAGCAAGACGGTATATCTGGGTAGATCTGGGTCAACCTGTGCAAGTTGATCCTTCGTACTCACGCCACGTTATCCGCAGCACTATTCACCGTCGCCACGAGCGCCAATCATCCGGCATGTTCACCGAGCATAGCTCAACGCATAACTGGCCTTGTGCATTCAATAGTGCGCAGCACTCATCTTCTCACAACTCTTAACACAGGTCAACGATAGCCATTCATCTAGGGTCGCTGATATTCGTGTCTTCGCACGAATCGTGGTCCTTGTTCGATGCGCTCTTCTCACCCTCCTTCTCACCTCGGTTAATCCAATGTCGTACATCAAGAAATCCAGCATTCAGCAATTTGAAGAATTGAGGTCAGCCGACTAGATATCTTGTGGGCCGTCCCCGAGTGGCCCATGTATTATTGGATACCTCCTGATGCAATCAATATCAAAGAGCCCCAGGCCGGACAGCACCAAGGGTCACACTACATATCTGCATGGCTTGATCCCGGTGCCTCCCGTGTCTCTAGCCCATCCAAGTATGCCCGCATGTTCTCTCTATTGGTCTTCTTCGCCTTTGGCATGCCCGCATCTTCTCTGTTTCTGTCTTCTTCGTCATTGCAACAAACTCAGTTTCCTTCATTCGTCTCGCACCGGTGAAACACTCGTCAGCATCCCGATTCTCATGATCGCCTCAAAGTCATAGCCACAGTCCTCAGGACCTACCAGGACGCGGTATTTCGTATTAGTGGCCTTTCTCATGGGGCGACACCCATAATATAGCTTGTATGCATCGGCCTGATACGGAAGTCCAGAGAGTATCATTCATGATCAGTCTAGCGTGCTGATTAAAGACAGAAGAAAGTTCCCACCTATTCATCTCGAACAAAGGCGGTGAGAGAGAATAGCTCGTTCCGGCGACCATCCAAACGCACGGTTTTCTTCAGAGTGTGGTATACCGTATTGCAGACAGAGTTCTTTGGTGGGGCTTCGGGACAAGCCAGTTGCTCGCACGGTCTTGCACGGTTTTCGATATACATTGTGCATCGTCCGTTCTGGCTCTTGTGCACATCTGGGCAAAGGCTCAACTCTGACAGTGTTTTGATTATCTGTGACTTCAATTACCTTTATACAAGTCAACAGCAATCCACCACGAGCTTGCGGTTGGCTGCTCCAGTGGGATAAATCTCGGAGTAGCGCATCATAAACTCTCCAATCGAGCTCCTTGTGGGTCACCGTCTCTTCAAGGATCGTGTCGCTTCTGACGAATTTTGATTCTTGAATCAAGCTCTGCAGACGAGTCGGAATATGAAGATGGGCTAAGCAACGTCGCAGGCATGAATGTTTGTGTGTATAAAGAGAAACCTTCAACTTCAAGTTGGACGGTTCGTAATGACAAAGACTCAACAAAGACCCAAAACGGGCCACCGCTCGGCTCCGTCGTGTCCTTCGAGCGTGAGAATAACGAGACACGGAAGTGCCACCTCAAAGTGTTGAACCTTGGGCCACACCTCCGAACCCCTATTCCCTGTATCCCATCCCGTCCCCGACGAGCCAGTTAAAATGATTGGCCCCATCAACCTATAAAGCGCGTGAGTCGCATAACCGTACCACAGCGCGACGTCCATCCAATGAGAAAATTGTTAACCATTGATCTGAATCAACATAAAACAAGAGAATAAATCGTCTATTGTATAGCTTGTATGTACTTCTCGTATTCTCGTGTCCATTATTCTTTCGTCCCCTGAGATACTCGTAGGCTGAGCGCTAGCCTCGTCATCGTCACTATCCTATCAATACATCCCCAAATCTTCGGCATACGGCGGTGGCGGCAAACAACAACAGCAATTATCCGTCTATCTTCCCAGATATCCGGTTCGAGTATTGTCCTCTACCCGCGACAGATGCTATACTTCGCATGACTATGCCACACGGAGCATACACCCCCACCCACATCCCACATCCCCCACTCTACATCTCAAAGACAACAGCATCGCCAACCTCACGACCGCACCCTCTCCCGCTCCTCCCTCTGCTCCTCCGCAAGGATGACATCAGGATCGTACCCCTTCGTCTCAGGGAGCAAAAGCGTGCAAATCGCGCCGGCGAAGCAGACGCCCATGAAGACTGTGAAAAAAAAAGAAGCACAAATCAGCCGTGAGTTTCCAATGGTGTGTTTGCGTGTTCCAATGGGTATGGATGGAAGGGGGAAGGGGAGAGGGGAAATGATGGAGAAAGAAACGTACTATACAAAACCGCAGGCGTCCCAACCGAGTCCGTAAGCGCACTAAAACCAAGCGCAGAGATGATCGCCCCCGCTTTACCGCACGCGGCGGAGATACCGTGTGCGGTGGCGCGGTAGCGCGTCGGGAAGACTTCGGCGGGGTAGATGTACGTCGTGCTATACAGGACCACATATCAAACATTCAGCACAACGCCCAATCGACGGGAGAGGACGGAAGGGGGCGGGGGCGGGGAGAGGTGAGAATGGTAAGGAAGGAGAGAGGACTCACGCATTCGCCCCAAAATTGAAGAAAAACTGCAAGAACGCAAAGCAGACCACGAACCCCGCCGTGCTCAGCTCGTTGAACCTGCCGGCCATGATACCCAAGAAGAGCGCAGCGAGGAGGAAGCCCTGGATCTGGATCCATTTCCGGCCGAGTTTCTCGATTGTTAGGACGGTGGCGTAGTAGCCTGAAATGCAACGCAATATCAAGAACAAGAACGATGGAGAACGTCAGCGATCCCGTATCCAAGACCAGCAAGAAGTCGACTGAATGTTCGATGGAGGAGGTGGTGATGGATGTATGGGAAGGGATGTAGAGAAAAAGGGAACGTACCAGGGACGAAACCAAGCGCAGTGATAATAATATTCCCAATCGCGATATCCCAAAGACGCGTCCACGGCGCCCCAGACTTCCCCGCGAACCCGATCTGCTGCAGCACGACGTTCTGGTTCAGGTTGATGCCGTAGAAACTATACAAGTCAATTACAACAAGACCAAAAGGGCCGCATTAGCACGTTTAGGATTATTGAGGCTGTGGCGGGGGGGGCGGAGGTGGAGGGGTGCGAGTGAGAAAGAAACAAGGAGACGTACGCGATGTCGAGCAAGAACCAGCAGGAGCACGTCCCGATTAGGATCTTCGCATGGCGCCATTCAGAGAAATACCTGCAGAAATCTTGGAAATGCGACCGATGCCCCACCGGCACACCCGCCACAGCAGTCACAGGCGCAGGCTCCTCGACCTTCTTCGCAAGCTCTCCGCTCGAACGGGGCGACTTCTTCGCCAGCTCTCCGCTCGGATGTTTCTCGTCAAAGGACTCTTCTTCGTTCGATGGGGCGGCAGTGGTGGGAGATTGTTGGGATTTGATGTAGCGGGTGGATTCGGGGAGGGTGAGACGTTGGTAGAGGGTTCCGAAGGCGGGGATGAGGGAGACGGCCATGCAGATGCGCCATACTATAAATCAAAGGGGGTTAAATCACGAGATTACGCCCGGTATCACTATCCCTATTCCCATATCACGAAGAAGAAGGAAAAAACTCACCTCCATCAACCTTACTCGTCTCCCCATCGACCAACATCACATGTTTATAACACGCCAACACCACAAGCACCACCAAACTGCCCACCAAACTCCCCCATCCCTGCGCGCTAAAGATATACGAGAGCATAGTGCCTCGTTTGCGGAGGTTGGACCGGTCGGAGGTGACGGAGGCGGACATGGGGTAGTCGCCGCCGACACCGACGCCGAGGAGGATACGGAAGCAGGCGATCCAGATGAGGGAGGAGTCCGGGGAGAGGTCGCCGGTTGGGCAGGCGATGACGAGGATTGTGGCGAGGATGATGAGCATTAGTTCTTTGCCGTCTGGAGTAATGCATAGGGGGATGGGTTGATGAGTTGTTGGATTGTTCTCAGAGTGATTGGGAGAGCTTACAGATGGCCTTACGACCGAAGCGGTCAGCGCAGTAGCCTGTTGCAGAACAGCAAACAATTGTTAGGACACTCTGAGCGGTGCATAGCGTTGTGAGAACGCACCGAAGCCAAACTGTCCGATGACACTGCCAATATTTGCGCCAGCCTTCATGAAACCGGAAAGGCCGGAGGGGAGCGCTGAGCCCCCGTAAAGACGAAATTGGAGCATCGTCGAGACAGGCTGTTGTTTGTTGTTCTCCTCATGAGTATCTCTCGAAAAGTGTGAATGACACAGACGACAGACGTACGTTGATGATGAACAAATCATAGGCTATCATAACCGTGTGAGTTACCGGACTGCTCTATCTCGATCCTAATCCAAACCGAATGCAAGACTCACCATCGAGGAAAAAGCCGACCTATCAGAGAGTACGATATGAGCAAGACTGGGTGCGAACGTGCTGCCAGGGCTGGGCCAAGGCTGCAGGGGCAAGAAGACAGGGACTCACACCAGCGATACCAAGTAGCTTTGCCTCCGTGGACGTGAGTATAAAAGGCGGTCTGGTGTCGTCCGCACGTTCATACTCCTCCAGATTCGACCTGTGAAACGCCGCGCCCGTCTCGTTCGTGTCCATCGCGCACTCAGGATCAGCCATTCTCGTTCCCTGTGCGTCGTTCGACATTTGTTTCGTGGATTTTAGCGACGAAAAGAACGACGGTGGGATCAGGAAAGATCGCGGTAGGGTGGACGGTGGGTGGAGAGTGATGTGGTGGAGCACAGAGAGCACACTCACTTTTGAAGCGGGCAAAAAAGAACGGAATAGGGCGACGCACGTTCGTCCGCATTAGGAAATCACTCCAAACATGCAAACGTCCCTAAGCCCTTGCCGCCGGTCCGGCGACAGCTTCCTCCGGCACGCCGAGGCCACTCCGGCCGTCCCCAGTCTTGCAAAATTTTCTTCAGCCTCTCCGTCTTCAAGTTCCTCGTTTGTTTGGTAAACAAGAAATTGAGTACAGTCAATTACCCCGTGGTGGGCCAGTACCCCGTAATGGGTCACCTTCCAAATGCGGGCGCTCGACACCTCATATGGTGGAGTTGTGCTCCCATTCGAAGCTTTGGAGCATGATATCATAGCATTCTTGGCCTTTCGATGCCAGCCCTCACCGTAAACAGTAGGTGACCCATTACGGGGTACTGGCCCACCACGGGGTAATTGACTGTATCCGTGGACTCATCGTTCACTGTCAGTCCTCCGACGAGCTCGCAGCCACACCCCGCCGCCGACCAATTTCAAATCCGGGGCCTGCTGAAGATCTCGGATGGGATCTCGGCTTTGAATTTGATACAAAAGATCGGCAATCAACTTGAACTTCCCTGTCCGAGTACATGGCGCATTGTTCGCCGTGCCACAACTCTTTACTTGGGCCACAGCTCTCGCACGGTGACTTGTCCCACCCAGGCCGCTCAACAGCGTCCAAGCTCACTCAGCGGTCAGGGTAGGTCTGGACTTTTGTTTTACGTGTCTGGTCGGGGAAGTCGTGATTCTCGATAGACGAAGGAGGCCGTATCGTTTCGCACTCAGGCTGAGTACCGCTGGGTGCGGATACTCACGTCGGGCTCCAGTATCCCAGGAAGTGTACTACTCTACACGGACCTCTGCCCAGAGCTCCACCGCCACCAAACCTGCGCCGATGCTGTCCTCCGAAAAGCAGAGGAACCATCAGTCCATTACCGACCAAAAGATGACACCTTCGTCATCACCAGACCCGGCTAACCAGTAGTGGACCGAAATCTCTTACTACACACCACATCGCCGGATCCAGTTTTTTTGCGCGGGCAGAACGAAACCAATCTTGTTCTGCGCACTCCGAACTTGTCCGTACAAAGGCATGATGTGTTATGTGGCGGCAGAATTTAGTCGTGGTTCGTTTCTGCGTTTGCAGAAGGAGGATTAGGTGCTGTGCACATACCCTCTCGCTGGCCACGAATCCGAGCAACACTAGGACAGCAAGGTCAGTCACAATGTGCATTGAGTGAGTGGGTAAATGAAAGTTCGGGGGTTCATAATAGAGGAGCACGGCAACAACAGGATCAGAAGAAGGCGGAGTACGGGGTGCGGTGTAGGTGCGATGACGATGTGGATACGGTCCGCATGTTCAGGAGCATATGTTGGAATGTATGTATGGTCTTCCGGCCTCCGCGAGTTGGCTCTAAGTTAGTACAGGTCGGCTCGGGGAGCAAGGGTCGTCAGTGGAGACTTTAGTCGTAGTATAGGTTGATGGATGATATGGGGATAGGATACAAAACGTTTCTCGGGTCTTCGTTCCAAAATGAATGTAGTATTGAATGTCGATGGGATATGTTCCATTGGGAGGGACAATAGAGTCTTCGTTCCAGGATTGTATAGAATATTGAATATCGAGGGGGTGTATTCTGCTAGGAGGAAAAACAGAGCGTAGAAGTAAGTCAAAATGTGGTGAAGAGCCAACCCGAAGCAAACAAACCTCGTACCTTTCGACTGGCAGATATCTCCATGCAAAGACCGTAACTCCTCGAGTTCTCCACCGATAATCCAAGTGAGAACCACAACCCATCTTCCATCACAGCATGTTACTCCCTCGCTACGTCACCCATATCATACTGCACCTAGTAAACACTCTCCAGAGCAAGAAGCGCTCCTTGGGGCCCCGAAGCAGCCATAACATCATACTCATACGCGTCCTATCCATCCCTGTAAAAGTGATTCCCTCTTCTGTTGGTATGTCAGCGACGAACGTTCCACGGCTACGTACATACATACGCCACACACGTTCTTCAAGTTCGCCACAGAGTCATACACCCTGAGGCGCTGAAGCGAGTGATGCATATGATCCAGAAGGAGCGCATATGGTGCAGGAGACCGCAAAGACGATGGATAAGACGGAGGAGGCGATGAGATCTTTTTTTTGGGATCTTATGGCGAAGTACAGCATTGAATACGCCGGAAGGCTGGTCGGAGGTAGTCATCCACAAACGGATATTTAGCGTTGAACATCGGTCTCTCAGCGTGTCATCGGAGGTGAAACGAAGCCATGGCGCTGGAACTAGATGTCGGATGAGTGGCCACGGGCATGGTCTCTCAGCTATGAAATACAAGGCAATGAGTTGGTGGATGAAGTGAGAGGAAAGGATATAAAATGCGCCGTACCGATTGCGTGCATCACGGCCTTCATCATGATCCATAAACGCCTAGCGAATTGTCGACCCACTTCTCTCATGTCGGGCTACCGATCTCCGTCCCCATGTTCAGTACTCGGTCCTTGCAAGGTCCCACCACAATCAGACCCGGTAACGCAAGTAGTCGCAGTCACCACTTGATGTTTATTATCCCCCCCTCCGAAGCACATACTCATACAAAAATGACTCACAGTACAACTCCTTTCTCTCATCCTCTCCTTCCTCTAGTACTCGATGCGGCCCCCACATTTGAACCCACGATCACGGTCAAAGCTTTCCCTTCAGCTCCTCATGCAGCGCCTTCAATTCATCCATCGAGATCTTCTGTGCTGGCCAGCCGATGACCAGGCCTTGGTCGTCGCTGGCTGCAGGCTTTGGGATGACGTGGAAATGGACGTGGTCGACTTCCTGGAGACGAAAACATGAAATGAATGTCGGCGTCGGTGTGGCGAGATTGCAAAACATTGAGGTGTGTGGAGAGGAAAGGAAGGAGAGGGAGGACGTACCTGGTGAGCAATCCTACCGTTATTCTGCAACATAACATGCGTCAACTCCTTGTCGAAATCAAAGGGAGGGCTCCGGGTAGTCATACCTGGAGGATATTATAGTTCTCAGCTCCCAGAGCCGTCGCGATCTTCTTCGCGATGGGCATGGCTTCGGCGAGATATTCGTCAGGAGTGTCGTGCAGCTTCTCAGCGTGATCTAAGCCAAACATACGTCTCTGTTCAATCAAGATTAATTTGGAAGTGAGCAGGGGGCTGAGTCGTACATTTCGGGATCACGAGTGCATGACCTTTCGAGAGGGGACCGATATCGAGGAAAGAGAACCTAGCAAGCACAATTGTTTCAATATTCAGCTCAACCCTGAAGACGGTAAATACATACGTATGTTCGGTCTCGATGAGCTTGAAGCTCGGGATATCCCCTATGTCATCGTCGCAGAACAAACGGAAGAAATGAAAGTCAGATATACATAGATCGGGGACCGGTTCGGTCGTGACTGTTCACCTTTGATGATCTTGCAGAAGATGCAGCTGGCGAGAGACCTGGGTTCGTTCAGTTCATTCGAGTGCTTACTAGTTCTGGGTTTTGATACAGGTGAGGCTCTTACCTTGCGTTGGAGGCGGCCATGATATTGTATGAGTATTATTGAAGACAGGGAGCGGTTTGCTGCTGGAAAGGGGCAAACGGGATCGGGTATTTCGGAAGCGGATGTGACCCTAACCTCAGACTTGGGGTAGACTAATTTGTCGCGTCGCGCCCAAACGCGTTCCAGTCCAATTCGGGTGTCTTTGTCCCAGTCGCGTCGCGCTTGCGCAGTGAACCATCACTCTACTCAGTCTTTCGCGTCCATTAACTCCTGCTTTTATTATGGTATCTCTTCGTGGGGTCGAGGTCAACATTTTCTGCGAAGACCAGAAGCTTCCAATGTATGGAGAGGCCTTTGACGGCACGACCGCCACGGCCTATATCGCTAGTTATGCAGGAAAGGCGAGCATCTACTACCCACTTTATGCTCCCGCCAGAACTTCATGCACGTCATCTTATGCTTCCTTGACGTTGCACCAGAAATTTTCTGTCAATCTCCATAACGCAGCAAATGCCGACCTTGGCTACACTATATCACTTGATGGAAAGTATATGGGTTCATGGGTATCAACCAAGGGCAATAATAATAAAGGGCACATCCGCGGTAGTTTTACATCATTTACTACACTACGACCATTCGAGTTCGCCGTCCTCCAGGTCGCTGGTGGGTGCTTACCTCTGCTTCATGTCCTGTTTGCCCTGGGTACCAATCTGCGATAACTGCTAACAATGTCCTCGAATGACAGAAGACACCACGGACGGAAGCACACACACCGATGTGTCGAAACTCGGCCTGATAGAATTGTACATCCATCGCGCCGAGATAACTGGTCCGAGTACGAATCCGACGTTGTTCTCATCCAACGAAGGATTCGAGCCCGGCCCCGTATCAGAGAAGGCGAAGAAGGTTGGGTGGCACCGTGCTTCGTATGCTCCATATCTTCTGCCGCATTGACGGACTGACTCTGATTGACATTGTCCTTGGTTGTACACGATGGTATGCACATACGTGTTGGGCACAACAGACTTGGGAGCGAACAAACCGTCAGCCAAATCACTGCAAAGAAATTCAGTCGTATTGATGAAGAGCCATTTGTCACGTTCAAAATACGGTACCAACCTGAAGGTGAATCGGCGATCGGCTTATTTCTTCGTTTTTCACGCGGTGTAGGGTCATCGTTTGGGTATTAACTACGTGCATATAGAGCTCTTGCGTGCACATGGCATCATGCCTATGCTTCCTCGACCAGACCCTATCCCACCATTGTCGAACGCTGGGTCCTCGACCCTGAATGGCACAGGAGATAAAAGGCCACACTCCTCTCCTATCGCTTCAGGATCGAGCGAACAACGACCGCAGAAACGAAGGAAGAATGCAGAACCCTCGACTTCCAGTCCTTCAAAGGTCAGTTCGTCAACCCGAGATTCTTCCATCAAATGTTGTTTCCCTTGCGCTGCGTGCTTTGTCTGATCCTTTCTCATGTGGTCAACGATGCAGGTTGCGAAGTCAGAGCCGCACGACGACAACGTTCTCGACATTGATGACGATTCAGACGACGAAGTTATCCGACGTGCAAAGGTCCGTATTCATGGAGTTGCTACTATAGACTCTGAACCACTCTCAACTGAAACCCCGAACCCACTTGAAACCTCGCTCGTATATAATTCTCACCATCACACAGGAAGAAATAGATAGAGCGATGCAGAGGAAGCAACTGAAGAATAAAATCAAGTCCGAGCGAGCTCCCTCGCCTATCATAGTCGGGGATGGAGCAGGCGACGTGATAGACCTTACGCTCGACTAACGCCTATCTTCCATGTCGATTATTCCAGCTCGCTTTCCTTCTCACTGGACAATCAACACACCACCTTCGCCGACTACCTAGGGATCATAGTATCCTGAATGGCACTGTACGCTGCCGACCTTCACACTTTTATTACCCATGCTTGTGGCCCGTTGGTGGTTTTTCTCCATTCTTACTTGGCTATACCCCGACTCATTCTTCTTGGTTCATCGTTGCATCTATGTTACTATATATCTTACATGTATACTAAAGCCGAGTATCTCCATGAATATAAACAGCTCTATCTAACCCGTTTGATCTGGATCTTTTACCTTGCGTTGGAGACAGCCATGATGAGGGTACGGAAGATAAGTAAGCTGCAGGAAAGGGGCAAACGGGATCGGGTAAGTATTTCGGGAGCGGATGTGACCCTAACCTCGGGCTTGGGGTAGCAGATCCGTCGCGTCGCGCCTGCATGCAACGCGTCTTTCTAGAGTCGACGTCCTAGTCGCGTCGCGCTTGCACAGTGAACCATCACTTTACTCAGTATTTCGCGTTTTTCACATTCTTGCTTTTATTATGGTGTCTCTTCGGGGGGTCGGTGTCTCGATTGTCTGTGAAGGCCAAACGCTTCCGATGTATAGAGAAGCCTTTGACGGCACGACCGCTACAGCCTATATCGCCAGTTGTGCAGGAAAGGCGAGTATCTACCACGGTTCTATACTACATGTCGCCAAAACTGCGTGCATGTCGTCTGATCTCTCCTCGACGTTGCATCAGAAATTTTCCATCCATGACCATAACACAACACAGGACGACTTTAACTACACTGTATCGCTTGACGGAAAGTGTGTAGGTTCCTGGATATCACACAGGAATAACAAGGGGCACATCAGTGGTGTTCGTTCATCATCGACTACACTACGGCCATTCGAGTTCGTCACCCTCCAGGTCATTGGTGAGTGCTTCATTTTGCTTCATGTCTTGTTTGCCCTGGTCACCGGTCTGCGATCACTGCTAAGTCCTCGAATGGCAGAAGAAAACACGGACGGGAGCATGCAGACCGACGTGTCCAAACTCGGTCTGATAGAAATGTGTTTCTATCGCACCGAGATAACTGGTCCGAGTACGAATCAAATACTATTCAAAGAGCTCGATACCGGGCCCGTATCAGAGAAGGCCAAGAAGGTTGGATGGCACCGTGCTTCGTATGCTCCCTATTTCCTGCCGCCTTAATTGACTGACTCTGATGGGCATTATCTTTGATTTTACGCGGTAAATATGCACATACGTGTTGATCACGACAGACTTGGGAGCGAACAGCCTATCAGCCAACGCGGACTGGTGCAATCTGTTAATATTGACAAAGAGCCATTTATCACGTTCAAAATACGGTATCAACCTGAAGGTGAATCGGCATTCTACTTTCTTCGTCCTTCACGTGGTGCGGACCCTCGATTGGGCACTGACTACATGCACTTAGAACTCTTGCGTGCACATGGCATCATGCCTATGCTTCCTAGATCAGACCCTATCCCACCATCGTCGAACGCTGGGTCCTCGACCCTGAATGGCACAGGAGATAAAAGGCCACACTCGTCTCCCATTGCTGCAGGATCGAGCGAAGAACGACCACAGAAACGAAGGAAAAATGCAGAGCCCTCGTCTTCCAGTCCTTCAAAAGTCAGTTCGTCAACCCGAGCTTCTTTCATCAAGTATTGTTTCCCTTGCGCTGTGTGCTTTGCCTGACCTTTCTTTATGCGGTCTACCGTGAAGGTAGCGAAGCCGGAACCACTCGACGACAACGTTCTCGAAATTGATAACGATTCGGACGACGAAGCGATACGACGTGCAAAGGTCCGTATTCATGTATTTGCTACTATCGACTCCAAATTACTCTCAACTAAATTTCCCGAACCCATTTGAAACCTCGCTCATATACACTCTTCACTATTGCAGGAAGAACTAGATAAGGCGATAATGAGGAAGCAACTGAGGAACAAGATCAAGTCCGAGCGAGCTGTCTCACCTATCATTGTCGGGGAAGGTGCAGGCGACGTGATAGACCTCACACTCGACTAACGCCTATCTTTCCTGTCGATTCTCTTAACCCGACTTCCTTCTCGCTGGACAAACAACACACCATCTTCGCCGTCTACCTAGGGATCGTAGTATCCTTGATGGCACTATGCGCTACCGATCTTCACACTCTTACACATGCTTGTCGCCCATTGGCGGGTTTTTTTTTCGTTGTCTTTCTTGGCTATACCCCGACTCATTCTTCTTGGTTCATTGTTGCATCTATGGTACTGCATATCTTACATGTATCCTAAAGCAAAATAATTTCTATAACAATACTTATGAACAGCCCTCCGACCTAGATTTGATCTAAACAAAGGTCACCCTAACCCAAATGCTGGGTCTGTTATTTCTGTCCCATCATCGCGAGAACGTGACTCCTGTCGCGCTCTTTTCTCGTGTTCACAATCAGCTTTGCCCTATTACTTTTGTTCTTGGTTGCTTTGTTCTGCCCTACAAACCTACGCTAGATTCATCTCGTATACAATAAACTCTTCTTTGTGCGTCTCTTTACGGCCTCCTACAAGCGCTTTGTAGAATCAATATGCTCCAGCTTCACGGGATCGACGTCTGGATACAGTCCGGGAATGAAGACCTTCCAATGTACCAGGAAGAGGTGGAAGGACTTGGGTCGATATCAGCTTATATTGCCAGTCATGAGGGAAAGGTGAATACACACATATGGACTCAACGTCTGGTCTAATGCTCGCGTACTCATGTGGCCGTTCTCGCGGCCTACAGCAATTCAAGGTCGCACAACGCAACAACACCGCTGACGACTTCAGCTACCAAATCTTGTTAGATGGACATAAAGTCGGTTCATGGCTATCTCGAAGAGGCTGTCATGGGACAGTGGAGGGAATGCATGTCAAGGAGGATGTCGTAAGACCTTTCGAGTTCGCAACACTTCAGATCACAGGTACGTACGCGCTGTCTTTGTCTTACTTTCTATTATTGCTCATCACGTCTCTGCTCTCTACTGTAGACGAGGAAGATATTGGTCTCTTACGTCCTGACGTCTCCAAGCTGGGCGTCATAGAAATTCAGTTCTTTCGGGTCGTAATCACCGGCACGAATCTCGACCCTATGATATTTCACAGCGCATTCTCGACGGAGGCTGTCTCAGAAAAAGCTAAGAAGGTTGGGTGGCACCGTACATCGTATGTAGTAGTTCTTCCCAAATGGACCTGCAACTCATTGGCTTGGGCTGCTCCTCGAAGGCTCGCACCAGAGAAGAAGGTTCAGACGCAACCACGCATGCGCGCTGAATACCTAGACCACGTACCTTATATCACATTCAGCATACGGTATCAACCTGAAGGTCAGCCTAATATTTGGCATTTTTCCTCCGAGGCATGTTCAACTGCTTACTTCTTTACATTTGGTGCAGACCTTCTGAAAGCACACGGTATAATGCCAATGCCGCCTCCTCGACCTGTCAATACTACGATACCGCCGACCACATCCAGCGGTAACAAGCGACCGCGGTCGCCCAATGCTGGTCCAAGTGGCGAACGGCGAGATAATCGCCAGAATGGTTCCAACCTGTCTACGTCGGGACCTTCGAGTCCTCCAAAGGTGAGACCGGTTGAAACATTTCGTTCTCATATGCTTTCACCGAATTACTGACCTAACATTGTCTGCGTGAAGGTTGCGAAGCCAGAACCGCAAGATGACGACGTCCTGGAGATCGGCGACGACTCTGATGACGAAGAGATTCAGCGTATAAAGGTACGCAGTCCTGATCCTCCCCGCGCTTATGTTGAGCGAGACTGAACCTCTGGTTGTCTTGCGGTTGCGTTTTTTCGTACGCCTTGGACCTCACTTGCTCAGGCCGAACTAGCGAAGGCACGGAGGAAGAAACAAAGGAAGGACATTGTCAAGTCAGAACGAGCACATTCGCCCATCGTAATCGGTGATGCAGGCGATGTGATAGACCTCACCTTGGACTAGTATTTGCTATTGTCCCATCTGTCTTTTCTTCGCCGTCCTCTTCCGTTTTGCACTGCTTACTGTCTATGTATCTTTCTTGTTCGGCACCCCCCTGTGTTGCTTCTGTGCTTATGATGGACACTGGAATCCCTGTCATTCATCTTCTCAGTTCATCTGTTTTGCGTATATCGACTCTCTAGCATATCTCTACCCTATCCTGCGACATAATCAATCGTCTCGGTTCCCCCCTGAAATGTACTTGTTGTCGCGTTCATTTTAGCTATGACTTATTATCGTAATTACTGAATAACCGCCTTTGTTGTCACTTGCCTTGCTCTTCCAACGCAACTTTATATTTTTGCTTCCGAAACACCGCCTACAAATCGTGGCGATTCGTCTAACTTTCGCCAGTAACTGCGGCGTGCATCACTAGCCATGAAGAACAGGTGCGTGCAGTACATATCCAGCTCATCCTGTTCTTCTGCTGAGATCGTAAATTAGACCTCGCAGGTCGATCTAATAATCCTGTTGTTATGCCCAAACTTTGGTCAGGGATTTTTAATATATGTACGATTCTCTCCGATGAGGGCAGCATGAATAGTCAGGCCTTGCTGGACTGTCGTGGCTCAACCGTGCTCATCATTACGCTATGAACAATCGAGTGGCTCAGAGTCAGGTACGTGACTTTTGCCTTCTAGGTTCCCTCCTTTTGTTTTCATTCTTCACCACCTCGTTTCTCTGGACACCCCCAGAAAGGAAGATATCACAGTGAAGGAACGCCGAGATTCACGGTAGCTAGGCAAACTCTGCGTTCGCTCGCACGGCTCCCGCTTGTCCATATCCACGCCGACAGTGTTGTTTTGTGCGTGCGCAAGAATGAAAAGTTCATTGTGTTCTGCGCTCGCCTTTCGTGTCTTGACGAGGGCCGGTCGCGCTCTGTATTGTTGAGAGGCTCGTTCCCGCGAAGTTTCAGGCGCTGTGATCCATGTGTTGGCCTTATGGCGTGGGTAATTCAGGACAAAGCAACTTACGCCTGGGCCAGTCGGTACTGAGCCGCCCTTCGCCCGAGTGGCTCAATCCGTTTGTCTTCTTACCATTATTGTCGCTTACAGCGCTATCACTCTACAAAGCAATTGTAAGGGCAGGCCACCTGATGATGAACCGCACCTTCGAGTGGCTCAGGGCTCCTGGTATTTCTTCGAGCTCGCATGTCACTGCTGCCCATTAGATCCGCCCATAGCCGTCCTTCGCCTACGCCTACGCCTTCAATTTGTCTCCAACAATAGTGCGTGTCCGAATTTACATCGCCATAATGGCACAATTCTGTTCTTACCATTCCACCCAGCTCGACGCCGTTCGAAACAATGACATTCAACTACACACATCGGACATCGATATGCTTCCGAGAATATCCTTCGGAGTTTGAGGTATGGATAACGACCAGTGATTCATCATCTCGTCTACCACTCTTCGCATCCAAGATGGAAGGGATACGAACAGCGAGCGCATATATCGCCAGTCAGGCCGGAATGGTGAGCCACCCTCGCCACACCTTCTCAGCTTTGAGCGCAGCGTGGTAGTCCCTTTTTCGCTGACGAGTCCCCCCTTACGGTGCAGCAATTCTCTATCGGAGCGCGCAACTCTTCAAACTATGACATGAACTTCTCCGTCCTTCTCGATGGCCAGCGCATGGGATCATGGGTCCTTCAACGGTCAAAGAGCGCTATGACCGACGGAGTGCAGACCTCGGACTCAACAATACGTCCCTTCGAGTTTGCCTTGCTTCAAGTCGCAGGTATGCATGTTTCTCTTCTCCAGCATTTGCCACGAACTGGGATTGAATCAGTTGTGTTTGATGTGCGTAGACATGGACGATGAAGACGGTTTCCCTCAGGTGGATGTGGCAAAGCTCGGTCTTATAGAAATTCAATTTCACCGGACGGTTCTATGCGGGCTTTACCCAGCAACTGACTCTCGCGGAGCCGCTGAACTGCTTAGCTCTGCCCCTGTGTCGGAAAGGAGTAAGAAGGTTGGGTGGCATCGAACAGCGTATGTGTTCCCTTTCGTTGTCCCTCTGCGCCACTCCGACGAGTGGTTCGATAGCTGATCCCATGTATGCCGCTTAGGCTCGGTGAAGAGAAGACGGTCAACCTGGATGCATATGTGCATAGCGACCTAATTGATCCCCTGGAGTCCCCTTACCTTAGGTTCCTGATAAGGTATCAGCCTGAAGGTGAGCCGGTCGTCGTACTTCATATTTGTGATCTGTGATACTGAGTTTATGGGCGCAGATCTTCTTCGTGCTCGTGGAATTGTGCCTTCAATGGAACATGGTGTGGAGAACCCTTGTAGCGTACCTGGGCCATCATCACATATAGTCGGGAGCAACAACAATCACTGGCCACTTGGTTTTCCCGCTGAGGGTCAGGGCGAACGGTGGTGGGAGAACGCCTTGGAGACTGGGCGCTCGGGTGCACTTGAAACCAAGGTAAGCTAACAAAGTTCATTTACTATTCGTCAGAGATTCGAGTTCATCCTCATGACGATTCAGGGTCTGAAGGTGGAGCCACCAGAGAGCGTCCCAGTCAACATGTACCAAGATGGAGGATTACAGGATCAGGACGGGTGGCGCTACCAGGTATGCGTTCAGCTTGTTCGACACACTCCGAACGACCCCATCTAGCCTCCGAATTGCTGACATTATTTTACGACGTTGGCGGCCACAGACTCGACCGAACGAGGCTCCGTACGAGCAACGAGAATATATCGCGGTGAAATCAGAGAACAGGAGCTTCCCAACGTTCTTTGCGACGGATTTGATCTAGAGTCCATTGGCTTCGCGCTCGACTGCTCTATTGGCATACGTGAACGCATTCACCTTTTACTCATGGGATCGTATCTATTCCAATCCGCCTTCTTACTTATTCGCTATCACCTCGCACGGTTTCTGCTTTGCATGTACTGCTCTCTCTTCGTATACCACTGTAACTGCATATACTTATATCAACGATGTGAATGTGTTCTGACTTCACATCTGACCTGTGAGCGTTTGCATGGTTTGGGATATGGCTGTCACCGGACTCGTCCTTTCCTGTGTGGCTGTCATCCGATTCGACTTCTAATGTTGCTGTACAAGGTCAAAACCCCTGCGCCTCGACCGGCCCCTGGGATTACTACGAGAATTCTGGCGGAACACATCTAGCCGGGCAAAGATCGTTGAAATGCAGACTCCGAGTGTGGATCCTGCGTGGTCCCAAAGATGATGATCGCGCACATGCATTTGGGGACAAAACACAATTGAACAACAAAATACCAAAGCAAACAGATCCCTGATATATACGAAGCAAAGGAGCGTAAGAATTAATAGTACAAAACGTCGAGTCCATGAGGTATCATATATTTCACCAAGCCAACGTTCGAATAAGGGATCGGTAAGTAAGACTAAACAGACACTAGTATCCATCTTCAGACATCAATCACCCGTTCTGAAGTCCTCCGAAACGTACGTTGGTGGGGGCATCCTCTCCATCCTGATCTCGTCCATCTGCTGTCTCAAGCCTATAACCTGCGCCCTTAACTCGTCCACATCTGTCGTGCCGGATAGTCTCGGGGCAGAACCAGGTGACACAACGCTAGTCGATGGGTCGGAGAAAGAAGAACGTGTCCGGCGGTTTGGTGACCAAGAAAGGGTCCCAGATGTTGGATCACTCCCCTCACCGGCACCACTGACGCTTCCTCCACCACCACTTCCGCTTCCACTACCGCTTTGACTGGCCGCGACACCGGCACCCGGCCATTCAAAAGGCGTGGAGCTGAAACTCGACTGTCGCTCCCGTTCGAACTCTCTGAGCCTCATTCTCTGTTTGTCTGACAATGTAGCAGCAGATGCACCGATCCCAATTTCTGCGCTAGCTGTATCGGATGGGATGTTGCCCATGGCGAACGATTGTGCGGTTGACGGCTCCTTGTCCAGGAAGGGCTGGAAAGACGGGTCTTTTATCTGTGGATCTTCGTGTGCCTTTCGTCTTCTGAGCCAGATGAGGCCGACGACGACGAGTGCGACGGCGGCGACGCCACCGACAACGCCACCAGCTATAGCGCCGGCGTTGGATTTGGAGGAAGTGGATGAAGAGCTTGAAGACGTAGTCCCGATGTCTTGAGCGCTGATGCTGTAAAGGAAAGCACGATCAATTTTTGAGCTCAGCAAAGTAAGTCATGAAAATGAATGCATACTCCAGAGCTAAGAACGCATACATCGCGCCTTGTGCCGGGCTGTGACGAGAAAGGAAAAATTAGGTATTCGTCTCAACAGTATAAGGACGGGAAGAAGACTAACCTCGCTCCAGATCCATTGCCGGCCAAGGCCGACGTTGATACTTCCCACTGCTGGTTTGATGTAGGATCATATACATTTGGAAATGGTCCAAGAGTCGGGCTGACGTTGGTCCCCGCATGCGCGTGTAGGAGTGATATGAGGGAGTCTCGGACGGAAGGGTCGGAAGCAACTGCAGCGGCGAACATCTGCCAGGCTGGTGGTTGCCCGCGTACATGTAGACTGTGAGTTACGGTTCGGTTCGAATTAAATGAAAGCAGACATGATACGAACAAGATGTTGTGTAGGACTCGTCCGTGCTGTCGTACGGGATACCATATACGTAAGAAGTGTCCGTCATGAGCGACTTCATCTTGTTCGTCTGCGCTGTGATTATCTGGTGAAATTGGCCAAAACGATTCAGTACTCCGCAGGCTAGCACAGGACTGGGAACAATGATATCGGGAGCAGACATACTGATGAATTGATGAAGTTTGTTCCCAACCACTTGTCGAAGAACAGGTTGTAGCCCAGATCCCAGGATCCTGTGTCCCCGAAGTCGGCCATCATCAATCCTGCCGACGTCAAAGATTGAGGATCCCATTGTGAGAAAAGGCTCGACGCGGAGGTCTATACGCAAAAAGCGAGAGTGTTTGCGATGTGCAAGTGATCGTCAGGACCAAATGGTGCGGGGAAAAGATCGGTGATCGGGCAGGGGCGAATTTGATGGATGGTGGCGCTTGGAAGGAAAGACAACGTACAGAATAGGATGACGAGTCGGCACTTTTGCCGAGTGCAGAAGAAAGCTGAGACATAGCCTTTACCGCGATGATGCCCTTGAGAGCTACATTTGGCCTGCGATTACGATTTAGCCTCCATTAGACTCGCCTCTCGATACCGAGATGTAGACTCACTCATTCGAGGAGCCAGTAAAAACGTTGCTGACTATGTAGTCGGTCCAAGTTTTGAACAAATTATACTAAAACGAAATGAAGTGAGAACTAGTGAAGATGAGTGTAGAGATGGCAGAAGCACCTACGTATTGGTCGACCATGCTCGCATCCCCGGTGGTGCGCGCCAACGAGTATGCCATAGTGATCATATTTCCACCCTCTGAAAACACGGTATGCGAGCATAGAGAGGGTCCAGACGATTAGTACCCCCGGGCACAATAAGCATCCTCACAACTCACGTTCAACGCCCGCTGAATGACCATCACTATTCGTCGTCGCGATGGGATATGCAGTCCCTGCACCAGCGTATGTCCAGCATAAGAGAGGGAACAGTCGGACAACATAATAAGAAAGGAAATGAACTGACCTGCGTCCTGAGCAGGGTAGTCATTCGTGTACGAGGATGAATTTTGGAACCTCAGCAGTGTCTCCAGCAGAAGTGGCCCCATAGACGGATCCACCGACATGAAGAAAGGCCATGAAGCGTACATCGTCTCGACCGCATTCACCCGCCTATGTCATGGTGACAATGAATTTGTTTACCTAAGATAAAGGCTAGGAGTGGTGGACGCACCTAGAATTCCCCGCTGTGTCACCCAAGTTCTTCTGGAATGCAAGAACGTCGCTCGTATTCCAGCTCCCATCAGATGCTTTGGATACAGTCAGCTGTACAGCACCAAAGACCTGCCTGCCATTGTGAATGAGAGCGTTAAAGTGAGCTGTAAATCCCGAGGCAGGATACACGCACCTCGCAGCCAACGCAACGATGTCTGCGTATTCGTCTGAGATCTTGCGGGCGGCAGTCATGATGGAGTCGTCTAATGATTCCGCGCGTGACTTTGTAGCAGTAAAGTTGGTGAGGAAGTCATTGATCTGATACGGGACATGAGACGTTCACTTTAGTACGAATACTGTAAAATATTTAGGTACGGTACGCACCAAAGTATCCGTATCTGAGTACTCGGTCGACATATAATACGGATACCGATCCTGCGAAGTCCCTGAAAGATCGACATACGATATCGCAGGCGACTGAACGAAGCCGATGGCCCACACAATGGGCTCGCTAGTCGACGATATGTTTCCAAGATCGTGTGACATCGCGAAGACGGGATAATCACTACACGTGTCATTATTAGACATAACTCGGCAAGGAAGAGCTTTCGATGTAGAGATGCTGACTTGTTGATGGCACGGAAAGTCGTGTTCAATGTTCCATCTAAGGCGCCACTAGAGTTGAAGGCCCGTCGCGTTGTATCAGACCATTCTGTTGCGTACGTCATTGACGAATTCTGCGATCACCATCAGCTACCTTTTGTAACTGCCATATACCATTCGAACCACGTACTGTATTTGTGGCAAAATACAGACTTCCCCATTCAGCCATACCCTGCGGAGTGCGTTCTGTATACTGAGATTGTGTTGCAAGGAAGGCTTCATGATAGACGTAGTTTGTGCTCCTGGACGTGTTCCAATTCGCGATTTCGGTTGAGTCGGCCGAGAGCCACTCTGAGGAATTCACCAAGGTTGGTAACAGGGATTGAAAGTAAAATGGGAAGCATCAGCGCACCTGCGGTAATATCTGAGTACACTTGGACGCTGTGTTCATTCCCGTCCGTCGACCAAGCCTCAAAATACATGTACGCGAATGGCAACGATTGCAGAGTCCAGTCTCCAGGCTTTGGACCATCAAATGCTCCGTCAGTAAAGCTATAAAAGGCAAATACGACCAAGACGCACCTCGATCGGACTCAGGAAAGTGACATTCAGATCCATGGGACCAGCCTGAATTGTGAAGACCGTGCGTGTAGGAGTTATTGTGGTGGCCGTCAGGTTCGTTGCACCTCCATATTCTGTTGTGGTTCCGAGCCATTCATACGACGTCCCATCAATTCTCACGTATCCTGTCCATCCGAGAACTTGATGCTACAAGAGCCACGCCTTGCGTCGGACGAATATTGATTTTCCAGAACGAGGAAGGTGCTTACAGTGTCCCCCTAGTGAGATATGAGAATCGACAGGAATTATGAAGGAGTCTCCTAGTACATACCGGTGGAGATTGGATAGTGCCCGGCCATTCGTTTGGTGGTGTTCTGACGCTTGTTGTGGGGAGCCACGCACTGAAGTACGGAGATCGTACAGTGAGCGGGGTCACAGGAGGTAAAAAGCTAGCAGTCGCCGAGAAGACGTGAACAAGGACGAAGAAAAGCAGGCAAAATCCAGTACATGTGGGCATGAGTACTAGACGAGGAGCAAAGAAGACGACAAGGCGTGATGGGGCAGATGGTGGTGGTAGTCACAACATGCAAGCAGTGCCTTCCTCAAGGATGCCAAAGGTGTAGGTGACGATGCCGGGGCTAGCCAAAAATGACAAATTAACCATGCTGATCAACGCTTGTTTTCCTTCCCTTCGATCACTGTCCGATATCGGGGGCTCGTGCCTTGCATCATCAGATCACCTTCCGAGGCGGTGGTTAAAGCAACGACTTGTTGGATTTTTCGGGTTTTAACTGAGACTATATGCCTCTCAACAACTACACGGTCCGGGGAAAGGATTGTAGCAAGGGACCGTCACCAGGCTACGCAACTAGGTGCTCAATTTGGTGGTCATAGAGAAAAAGTCCAGCGACTTCATAGAGCGAAGAACAAAACGCAATAGGAAGAAAAGGCGTAGACCATCGGAACAGCCTGCGCAGTGAAACTGGTCGCAGTTGAAAGCTCGGATCAGACGATAGTGAGCGCTAAAATGTTACGGCATGCGCAGAGGTTCAGTGAGAGATCTTTCCAGGTCCGAATTGTCTGGTTTTTGATCAAGGCTCAGCGCTCATGCGCTCATGGGAGGTCCGAGGATCGAACCTGATCGAACCTGCCACTCCTTTCCTCCACCAATTGAGGAAGCCATGTCGACCTGTGTCGACCCGACTCGACATTCGACTATGAATCGAATGTCCAGACAGGTCGACTCGGACGCTGTCTGGATCAGATACCTATTGAGCATACCGAGATGTTGGTATCATCCTACTAACTGTAGTAGTTTCCTGTTCACAACCATACCGTAAGGTCCGCTGATTATTCTTCGTAGAATGCGGTGGCATAAGTAAACATCTGTGAACAGACGACAGACATTATCATGATACTAAGTAGTGTCCGTTATCAGACTCATGATTTGTGCAAGTCAAATCGAGAAGGCTTCATACCGAAGTGGCTGGCAGCGCTCTGGTAGAAAAGGGCGTTTTACCTTGAAGGTCAAGGCCAGTCCTCCATAAATACAAAAACATCCCGAACTATCATGCATTGACAACTGTGAGATTCGAACTCACGCCCCGAAGGACTAGATTCAACACCTGATTCTAGCGCCTTAGACCGCTCGGCCAAGTTGCCGATCTCATGAAGCGTTAACAATTTTTTACAATGGCCTTTATTCCCTGTTCACCATCCTGGTCACACCCCCTCTGGCGCTCACGCCGCCACTTCCACTCTCCGTCCATCACCCCTCCATAGCTTGCCGCATTTTTTCAACCAAGGATAGCCTGAAGAGTTGGAAGTAAGATAATTTTCTGCACGTTCAACTTTTCTAGTACCTGCATACTTATCCAAATGTTTGAAGCAGTCTTAATAACATTCGTCACCTTACCGTGGTTGTACTTGCCCAACACCACTTCGAAGTACAAGTGCTTGTTCGGAATCTGTTCCTATAAACACAGTGCGTAATGCAGCTAGCTTGCAGCCCTACAGAAGATGTACTGACTTATTGGCTTGCGTATAAGCTAATCATGCAATCCGGGCCTCCAAACCGGTTAGGACTTGGTCTGCGTGCTCCTCTGCCCTCGTATGGCCAGGGTCCCTCAATGCAGGCTCTTGCACAGCAGCAGCAGCAGATGCACACGCAAACATTTGTGCCACCTCAAACGCAAAAAATGGTCAATCTCTTCATCGGTTCCATCTCGGGAGGCATCACCGACGCGTTCTTGAACGAGCTACTTTCAGTGCGTGTTTTCGCTTGTCATATTTTACTCTTTTCCCCTCTCTTTCTTCTTCCGGAGTGAGATGACGGAAGTGGGAGCTGGATAGTTGGATGGCTGGTCAAGGCTGCTAAACGGATGGGTGGTTGGATGGCCGCGTTGCGTTGAGAGTCCATCGTGCGATCCTATCCATCTTTCTCTCTGAATATTCACAGCGCTTGATCCTATTCCCTGCACGGGAAACGAATCAAAGAAATACCCTTTATGTTCTGCGCGTTCAGACCTCGCTGAAACAAAGGCAGTGCTGCGTTCTACAACGGCAGAATTCAATCAAGATTCGTTTCTGAGAGCGCGGAAAAAAGGATCCTGCACTGTGATCTGACGCGTCGCATGTAGCCCACATCATTCTTGAATGGTCGCTAAACAATTTAAACAGGCATGTGGGCCAGTCAAATCGTTCAAACGGTTGATAACGCCCGCTGGAAAGCCCCAAGGGTTCGGATTCGCAGAGTTCGAAGACCCGGATAGTGCCCTTCGAGCGATGTCACTGTTGAACAACGTAGAGCTTCCGGCGCTGGAGGAGGGCTGCGTGAGCAAAAAGCTGCTGGTGAGTGTGACTATACTTGAAATGGTGGTATTCCGTGTTACTGACAAGATAGTGTGGCTAGGTCAAAGCCGACGAAAAGACAAGGAATTTCCTCGATGCGTACTCAGCACAACGTATGAGCACAAACGTATGTCTCCCCTTATGCGCATTTCATACGTGAAGTAGATGCTCATTTATATCTAATTGCACTCCTCCAGACGGACGAAGAAGCCTCCGCCCACGCCCGTGCCACGGTCACCAAACTGCTCACGGACCTCACTCACACCTCAAAAAACGCCCCGGCCGTCAACTCCGCAGACAAATACGTCATTCCACCGCATCTACACGACCTCCAGGAAGCCGACCTGCCCGAAACTCAACGCGGGCTCGTCATCAATGAGATCGCACAGTTCCGTGAACGGGCGGCAAAGAGGGAGCGAGAAAAGTCGAAGGATATCAAGGCGCAGAATTTGGCGTTCGGGATGAATATGGGTGGAGCTGTAGGACCGTCGGCTGGTGGGGGTGGGGGTGCGGGTGCGGTGGGTAATGGGGCGATGGGTGGGAATGTGCCGAGTGGGCCGAAGGTGAGGGAGTGGGGGAAGCCACAGGGGGCACCGAGTGGCCCGGGTGGAGGGAAGGGAGCGTTGGGAAAAGACGCGCAGCAGGGCTATCAGAAACCACCAGGGTTCGTTAGGGGACAGTCTGGTGGAGAGGGCGCAGAGGAGAGGGAGTTTGCGAAGCCAACGAAGACGGATGAGGAGCTCGAGGCGGATAGGAAGGAGGCTAGGCGGAGAGACGAGGAGAATTCATTCCGCGATGTGAGTCCTCCAACATCTCCTGCTCTCCCATTGTACAAATGCTTACAAGTGTTGAGTATAGCGAGAACGTCGGTACGAGCCAAGAGAACGCGCTCGCATTCAAGCTCTAGAACGGACAATTGCCCGTGAGCGAGCCTCAAAAGATGCGCAAGCCCGCGATGCTGCCGAATTCCGTTCCCGTCTCGCCATCTGGGACGACGACGAATCCGACGAAGTCTTCTACACCGACCGGTCCCGCTGGCGAGCCCAACGTGCTAGGCGACTAGCCATGGAAGAAGCGCAGGACGCCGAATCGCGAGCCTTCGAAGAGCGCGAGGTCGACAACTTGCGGAGAGAGAGCGAGGCGTTCCTCGCGAGGCAGATGGACGAGATGCAGGCGTTGGCGGAGGAGCAGAGGAAAGCGGGGATGTTGCTCGATGATGGTGCGCCTGTCAAACTTAATGTCTCTTTGGCTCCTGGGCCGGCACCGAAGGCGGAGGGTGGAGAGAAGTCGGCGCCGGCGAAGACAGTGTTTGGACAGGAGGAGGAAGAGGAAGATGCGGTGAGGAGGAGGAAAGTGCCACTTGTGAAGTTGGACTTTAGTGCGGCGAATGATGGAGAAAAGGCGAAGGAGCGGTTGGAGAGGATCAAGGCATCGGTGCCGAAGGACAGGGAGTCGTTGTTCAAGGCGAAGGTTAGGTGGGACGGTGTTACGGACGTGAGCTCTTTTCTTTTATGTCCATGGAAGGGTAAGATGCTAAGCCTCTCGTTATAGGTCATGTTGGACAGGAAGCTCGAGCCATTAGTGAAGAAACTCATGGTCAAATACCTTGGTGAACTTGAAGACGATGACCTTGTTATGTTCGTCCTCGAGCATCTCAAAGACCATAAATCGCCACAAAAACTCGTCGAAGGTCTCGAGCCGGTGCGTCGTCCTATCCACCTCGCATTGTCTACTAATACAGCACGATCACTGTCGTCGAGCCTTGCGTTGACCTTTTTTCCCGTTTTGTCTCCATCTATGAAAAAAAATTGTGCGATGTCCTTTCTAACAGGTCCTTGAAGAAGAATCAGTCGAACTGACGATAAGCGTTTGGCGACAAGTCATCTTCGAAAGCATGGCGTACGGAGAAGGGCTACACACGGAGAAGATGCTAGTGGACTAGTCGGACGGGGGGCAGGTGCGTTCGTGTGCCATTGCACGTTTGGTTCTGCTGAGTTCTGTATGTCGTGAGATTCGCTTTTTTTGCTATCGAGTCCTAGTATCTTCGTGCCAGCCCGTGGGGACCGTATTTTGTGGAGCAGAGGGAGTTATGCTTATATTATGGTCGTGAGTAGTACCTCTTGATCCAGCGTGTTGTCGTAAATGATATGCCTTTTCTTGGTCTCTATGTCAGAGGGATGTTTGTATACTGAATTGTGCGAACATGAACGAAGCGAAGCTGAACTACCCATCCACCTTACGCTCGTGGAAGGTGTCAAATATCGTAAGCTCACCACACAAAGTGGAATACGTATGGGGGATCGTCGGCAATGCGATGGCGCGCTGCGACTAGAGTTTACACTGAGGATAAAGTAGTCCTTTAGTTAGACGAGGGGTCGGTCGTGAGTTGGCCCGAGAGTTGTCTTCCCTTCCCATGGGGAAATAGATATACTCTTTCCATTGTACCGCATCGTTTACATAGTTCCTCCTTTGAATTCCAACGTTCGCTAGGGGTTTGCGCTACGAGAAATTTCGAGAGCTCACGGTGCCACATGTGTGGCGGTGACCTTTAAGCACCCGTGGGAACTTTAGAGGCATTTTCTCGAAATCTCTCGTCCACCGTCTAACCAGTTGACCATTCTCTATCCCTACCACCAACATGAGTCTACGACTTCCCAACACGCCCTTAAGCCTTTCTGACACTGGTTCTGACGACGAGAACGAGACTGCGTCCAGCGTCAACGACGCCGAGGAAACATGGAGCGACTGGGTCTCCGACTCGATGTCCAAGCAGCCTTGTCAATCTCTCTTCGAAGACAAAACCTTGCCATCAGTCTCTGAAGCCCTCGAGTACGATAAGAATACGCATGGTTTTGATTTGAATGCTCTCTGCTCGAAGCTCGGTGCGTATATCTTGTACTCTAGAATGAAGGCGGCTTTCTGACGCTTAGCCCCTGATTGCTCTCCTATGAATGCACAGCGCTGGATTTTCATGGGCGTATCAGGTTGATCAACTTTATACGGAGATCGGTGCGTTGGTTCAATCACATATCCTTTTGGAATGGGACTGACCTAGGAAGGACGTTGGTTAGAAACCTCCTGCGGCGAATGCGTTAGCCCTGACCGGGAAGGAGTCATTCTTTTCTTCGGATGAGTTCTTGCGCCCGGTTTTAGAGGACGATCCGTTACTTTGTGAGTGTTACCTATGCCGAGTTCCTTTAACTTTTCTTCGAAATGTTGCGACGTGTTCCAAGGGCATAGTTCTCTAGGCGCTCATTACCATGGATGACTTTGGTGTGGCGTAACAAGCAGGTGAAGTATACTTTGAGCAGAATCGCACCTATAAGATGTCTCACCCAGGACTCCAAACACGTTTGGAGTCCCCTGATCTCTGTTACACGCCATGGTTATCACAGTATCGGTCTTCGTTTTATTCTCGATACGTGATGAAGTTCCTCCTTATTTACTTACGCCACACTCATCGACAGTGAACGACACATCCGACGACTGGTCCGACGACGACGAGCCCGATGCCGGTCCATCCTCCAGCCAGATTGATCCTTCTAGACGAATCGCCCTCCTCGAGCGTAAGCTACAGCAAGCCAAACAGGACCTTGCCGACTACAAGGCCCTTGTCAGTCAAAGGCTCGACCTTTCCCGTCTTCAAGACGCCATGAGAGAACCTTCCGGCTCTTCGAAAGTAGTTGAGCGGGATGATGACTCTCACTACTTCCAGTCATACGGCCAGAATGGTTAGTCCTTATTGATTTCACTCGGTCGTGGTCGTGGTGAAGCTAAGACTCTCGTTTGCAGATATTCACGCGGTGATGATTCAGGATAGCGTGCGCACATCCACCTATGCCTCATTTATTCTCCAGAATCCGGAGCTTTTCCGTGACGCCATTGTGCTGGACGTCGGCTGTGGCACTGGTATTCTCTCCTTGTTTGCTGCTCGGGCGGGGGCGAAACGTGTGATCGCGGTGGACGCGAGCGATATCGCGAAAAAAGCCAAGCAAATTGTGGAGACCAACGGACTGCAGGATACCATCACGTAAGTTGCCATTCTGACCTCCGTATGTGCATAACCGCTAACCCCTTTTTTGTTCCTAGTGTCGTCCAGGGGAAAATCGAAGATATAACACTGCCAGATGGTATCGAGAAGGTCGACATTATCGTTTCGGAGTGGATGGGTTACGCGCTACTGTATGAGAGCATGCTGGACTCAGTCTTGCGTGCGAGAGATAGATTCCTCAAGCCTGGAGGCGTCATGGCCCCCAGTCAGTGTAGGATGATGTTGGGGTTGTGTGAGGCGACAGATATTTACAAGGAGAGAATAGGATTTTGGAACGATATCTATGGTCAGTGGACAGTCTCTTTCGTGTACAGTGACAGTATCTGACACGTTACTTTGAGCAGGCTTCGATTTGTCTGCTATGGGAGAGGAAGTCTACCTCGACTCTGTCGTCGACGTCGTAGGCCCCGAAACCCTCATCAGCGAGCCGTATCCCGTCAAGGTATGTGGTTTTCATGTGCATTAGGTACCTGGCCCTTACCGTATAACATCAGGATCTCTACATTCGCGACATCCAACCTCGTCAACTCGATTTCGTATCCTCCTTCACCCTCACGTCCAACTCTGATCGGCGCACCAAAGTCCACGCTCTCGTCCTCTACTTCGACACCTTCTTCCATCCCTCCGGAGATCGCCTGCCCATCGATACTCCGGTACACATCACGAAAGAAGGCGGCGGTTCTCTCGCCGAAGTGTGGCCTCTGGGCGGGAAGCCCGATATCGTGCGAAGGAAGAGTCAGAGCGTGCAGAGGAGGACGAGCGAGGGTCCGGGGAAACCGGAGAGGAGGGCGAGTCAGAGTCCGAAGACGATGAGCTTCAGTACGGGCCCGGAGAGCGTGCCGACGCATTGGAAGCATACACTGTTTCTGTTACGGGATCCGATCGTTGTTGAGGAAGGTCAGTTCCTGATCTATCCATTGTTATGGGGCGGATGGGAGTGAGTAGATTTGTTTTGACTGACTTTGCGTTCGTAGGGAATGTGGTTACGGGAACCTTCCACTGCAAAAAGAGCGAAGACAACTCAAGAGAGCTGGACGTCGAGATCCATTATACGACAAAGGCAAGCGCGGATGTTGAGGCTTCGGGAGATGTCGTGGTACAAATATTCAAGGTACGGTAGATGAAGGTCGAGGTTATAGACTAAGTACTATGTGAAGTTGCCACTTTGTTGTATTTTGAACTTGTCCGCGAACTTTTACCATTCCACTTGCGATATAATCGAGACATGTGCTTGAAGACGCTGTTGATCGTCTATCACCGTCATCCGCCCTGCCACCGCCGTCTTTTTCTCTATGATGCTGCTCATCTAAAATCTTTGAAATTATGATAGAACTTTATGTAAAGCAACATAAATGTGGCTCCGTGGCTCAGTGGTAGAGCGTGTGATTCCAGCAGAGAAGGTGGATATCCACAAGGTCATCCGTTCAAATCGGGTCGGGGTCATTTTTAATGCCAACTGCTGGATATCTAAATCATTGATCTTTTTCGCTGGCTGCCCACTGGGTACCATATGTACCTTTTGTTTTAAATATGCATGGGTGAGTAAAAAAAAATCTGGTCAATCTCACCTCTGAATCGGCGCCGACCCGACAGGTACCACCGCCTGTGGTCGTCACTCGCCTTTTCCACTTACGTTGTCCCCAGGACTGACTTTAATCGAACGGCAGACAAAGTTTCAGCGTGACTTTTCAACGCCGCTAGAGTTCATTAAAGGTATCTTGCTACAACGATATAGCCACTGTCACTGGGTAAGCTATGGAGGAGGGCACGAGTAACGATGTCATTGCAGCGATAACCACACATCTAAGTTCGCCCATAGTCTCTCTCTCTGCCTTTGCCACGTATTTCTACGTAAATCCGAACACTCCTTGCAGAATCCCTCCCTCTCCCATTCTAGCCCGATCAAGTACTGCAGCCCCATTATAGGATCATGAAGGAAGTCGGCGACTTGAAAGAGTTCAGGCCCCACAAGTTCAAGCCACAGCAAGTCACAATGGTCTTTGTCGTCGGAGACGCATCGAGTATTTTTTGTTGGGTCTGGTGCCACTGGGGCGCAGGGTGCGAAGGAAGGTGGAGGCGAAATTGTTGTCATCCACTCTCTGACCAGGTGCTCCCTAGCATTCACAAGTCGTAAGAGGTCCTTCGTCGATATTCCTTCCACTGCGCCGTCGTCTTCATCGTCCAACATGTCTTGTTGAAACGCAGTTGCTCGCAGAAGCTCGTAGTATGCTCTCTTACGGATTTGAGGTAGGTTGCACTGCCGAGCGAGGAGGATAGAGGCAGTGGCGTTGGAGATACGATTGTCGTCAACCTTATCGAGGGAGTCGGGCCACATTTCGGTGAGAACGTGGGTGGCCCATTCGCGCGCTTTGACGAATTCGAGAGCCGTAGAAGCGCGCATGACGGAGGCTAAGATAGCGAACTGCGGTGGAGCAAATGCATAGGAGCTAGGAGGAGAAGGCAAGGTGTGTTAGCTGAGGTTCGACACAAAGAGACGCGCAACACAGTGAAATTTTTACATAGCGTCGTCCAAGAATGCTAAGAGTTGTTCGAAGTCCTCCGCCGTTGTGATACGGATGACATATTGATCGCATGCGTCGAACTGAGAGGGAACACGCTTTGCGTCTTCACGCTCGACCTCTCGCTCGACCTCTGCATCTGAACTTCCATCATTTGTCGGTTCGGCACTTACCCGCCCCCGATCGAATAAGTCGCGAAAGAAAGCCGATTGTCGAGCGAGATGAGAGCGATAGAGCTTGAAAACAGTATTCTGAATCTGTATAACGACGGAACCGTCAAGATGCCAGAACTCTCGGCTCTTTCTCAAACCAGCGCTATCATGTCGGGAACGCTTTGTCGAACTGCGAGGATTGCTTTGGACCCCCTGTGACGACTGGTTCGCTGCTTCGGGTGGCGTCTTGCGCTTCCCTGTGGTCGGTGTTGAGGATGTGGCTGTTTGGGAGGATGGTGTTGGGCGAACTCTCGTGGGCGTAGGCTTGGGCCGCTGAGTAGACGACGGAGCGGAAAGCTAGCGACAGGGTATCAGGACGGCGACAGCAGCGACATTTGACTGAAGGCACCTACCTGAGAGCTGTTCGGCATGTCCTGTGTTCCTGTCAGTAATTGTCTGACCTTAGGAAATTCGGGCTCGGGGGACGAATCACGATGAATTTGGCCCTCGGGAGATTCGGGGACAGGCTGATTTGGTGGTGTTCTACTTTTGGCATTTTCATTCCTTGCAGATTTCGGATTCAGAAAGAAATCGGGTCCTGTGTACTCGCCGCTGCAGTCTTCTGTGCCTGTACAAACTCCCTTGTCGGTCCGCGCGTATGCTGTAAGTCAGTGGATTTCCGAGCAGTGGTCAAGCATAATCAAGAAAATACCTTTTCTTCGTGTCTACTGTGGGTAAGCGACGGTTGGGGATCTGAGCGCAAGATCTCCTTCGAGGTACTGGCGGTGTTGTCGATGGCCTCCTGCTTCAGCTCGACAGCCTGAGCAATCGTATTCTTCGATCTCTGAAATACCGTGTAGCTTGAATAAGTAGTGATGTAAACTGAGAGGCATGCAAAACTGTGATCAACTCACGGTACGGGCCATATCGCTCGGATCGACGTGACGCGTGAAGGTGTGAATGGAAAGCCTGACGTTGGTCGATCGGAGAAGAGGAGATACGGTACTTTTCCATCGTCTGGCTCGGTCATTTTCTTGTGACACGCGGACGGACCGAGCGCCTGGCGCGATAGCATACGTAAGCACGTAACTCCCTTCGCGCAACGTCGAACCTCGTTCAACCCCACGGAGGGTTTTCGCATTCAGATGGCTCGGAGCTTGATTCCCAGAGTGATCACCATCTGTAGCAAACGGTGGCGTTGCGTACATGGATCTCGCGAGTCGAATCCCGCGGCCGTAAGACTAAAGCTATTACTTGGCTATTACAATCACGATACATTGAGAACAGCTAATACAAAGAGGAACAACAAAATTGAGCGACAAGTCGCAGTATATGGAGAGCAACCAATACAAAGAGAAACCACCAAATTGAGCGACAAGTCGCAATACATGAGAGCAACCAATACAAAGAGGAACAACAAAAAACTGAGTGACAAGTCGCAATACATGGAGAGTAACCAATACAAAGATGAGCAACAAAATTGAGCGACATGTCACGATACATGATAACAACCACGAATACATGGAGGCGTAACAGAGAAAAACAAGGAGGGAGATTACAGTCGACATGAAAGCATACAAGGACAACAATTGGGAGCGACAAAAAACTGCGAAGCGATAACAGCCGAAGCAGGAAGGAAAAAAATCCAAAACACGATAGAAAGCAAGAAAGAGGCATGGAGGAGGAGCAGAGATATAGAATCCAGAGTAAAGTCAGAGTGCATATGAAGAGTAGATAAGCGGAAAGATAAGGAATAGAAATAGACGAATATAAAAGGATATAAAATGCACCAGATCCCTTGGAATTAAGGCTATGAGACCGTCGATGGTAATACTCAGAACAATCCCGATGAACCACACAATTTGCTTGTGCAGCGTTTCTCGTGACCACAAAGCTTATTGAAACCCACCCTTCTACTCCTCGTCGTCCCCATCGAATAGTGAGTTGTGGGATTCGGCCGGGGATGGAGGTGTAATGAAGCCGAAGTCTAAAGAGGTGACAGGCATGATGGGAGGAAGGATCTGCGGACGCCTCAACTCTGAAGAGTGCTGGGGAGTTGTTACCTCAGATTGAGGGGGTAGTGGAAGAGCGAGCGATGATGGGTGATGTGCATTGTGGGCCATCCTTGTGCCATCCGTGGGGTTCGACGCATACCGGGTAGGATGGTGGAATTGCTCGGATAGCGCTCGAATGGGGAGCGCTGGTGACTCGGAGGACGAGGTCGAACTTCTATCTCGAGCGTTAAACGCAGCCGTGGTAGGTCTTGTCTTTATCGCAGCCGTCGAAGCTGGTGTACCGGTTGACGTAGCGGTTGTAGATGTCGTACGTACATCGTTAGAGTCAACGCTGGACCATCGATTGTGACTGGACGAGCTGGATCGTCCAGGACTGGTTCTTGTTACTGACGAAACATTAGCGACCTCTTGGATCGCGTGCTCCGCCTTCTGATGCCTTTTGAGCAGTTCTGGGGTGAAGAACCTGCACCAAGACAGCCACAGACATCAGCCAACATCTCATTATACAGCGGGAAGAAAGGGCGCACTTTCTGTGACAGCTTGGGCAGCTCTGGAAGTGGTCGCCCTTAACCCAACGGTCATGGTGCTCCCACTTGCGCCAGCAAGGACATTTACGGTGGGTGACCGTCAACCGGTGCGTAGACAAGCCCTTCTCCAAGCTCGCCTCGTCCAGTTTTCCTTTTTTTAGACTCCTGCCCATGATTGGCTTGCAACACTCGGGGATCTCCTAAAGAATATGTTAGTCTGGATGCCGGTCGTCTACGGAAGTGGTGAACATACCTCAAACTTTAATCCGTAGAGGATGCTCTGCGCGATATCCCGTCAGCCTAAGCTCAGAGTGATGGATGGACAGGTGTTAACGTACTTTTTCACCATCCAGTGATTCAAGGAACCCTTGAAGACTTTGGATTTTTTTCTCGCGAGAAACTTTCGCTGTGGCTTTAGGAGGCACGGATGAACCTTCACGACGAATCGGCGGTGACGCGGATGCGATAGTACTCGAACCCCCGGCGCCAGGAGTTTGGAGGTGGGCCTGCTTCTGGACAGACGCTAAAAGACGATGTCAATGTAAAGAGCTTGACCACGACATGCAGAGACTTTACCTGTCCCTTCTGACCAGTCCGCTGTGTTGGCGAGGCCAGGCGAGGACTGCGATACTGCAGCCTTCGTGCTCTTCGTGTAGATGTTGGAAGGGGGGAGCCAACTGTATTGTCGTGGGCCTGATGCTAACGGCGAGCATCAGTATGGAGAAATTGACAACATACAATACAGCACAAAACCCTTACCTGCCCTTCCAGGCTGGCTCGAGTTGGCCCCATTTCGGGTGGGATCTTGTTCTGCGGGAGAAGGCGCAGCTGTTTGTGCAGCTGAGGGAAAGCGTTGGGCGATGGGCGTAGATGGCACAGGCGCCGTTATCTGAGCAGAGTGAGAGTGGACAGAATTCTCGCGCGCCATCATAGGGGCAGGCACTGGGCCAACGTGAGAGGTGGGATGCTGGCCTATAGGAGTACGAATGACGCAGCCAAAACCGTCAGCAGCTACAAGATGTTCGTCAGTATGGATAGAGACGTACTGGAGTGGGAGGCGTTCTCAGTGGCCGGTTGAGGATACCCTGGCAACGGCTGAGGTTGCCCTGACCACGGCATCGTAGACGCTGTTGGTATCGCCGGAGGACCCATATCACCGATATTGACCACGGGTCCGTGAGCACTGGTCTGCTTCGTCTTCCTTTTCTTCCCCATCTTGCTCGCTTTATTGAACGCCGCTGAAGAAATCTCCTCGATCTCATCATCGTCCTCACGTGCCCGCTTGTTGGGAGACGACCAGGGAGAGCGGGGTGGCGATGGCGTCGATGGGTGTTCGTCGACTGCTGCCCTCGTCAGATCCGTGTTGACGCTTTGAGCGTCCTGCCCACCAGACTCCCCCAGTGATGCTTCCGGGTTTTGGGCGAAAGCCACGATAGAATGGAGGAGCCATCGTGAAAGGGAAGCGTCATCCAGCAGGGAACCGTCATGAGAGGCGTCCGTAGAAGGGGAGGCGGAGGAGGCGGTGGTTGTAGTAGTCGTAGCAGGGACGGCGGCAGCGGGGGCAAGAGCACTGGGAATTGTGGAAGAGGAAGCAGAGCTGGGGGCGGGAGCAGGGGTGAAAGAGGATGTGGGCATGGATGCGGAGGGAGTGCCCACGACGGTTGGAGAGGACCGTCGTGAAGCTGAAGGCACCGGGAGCGAGGGAACAGGAGGTGCTTCAGAGGGGGGCGATGCACGATTGCGTTGCGCTGAATAGGCAGTCGCGGGCTGCCTTGTATGATAGGCGTTGGAAGGACCTGTTGGACCTGCGGATGATGGGACGGTGCGAGACCCGGCAGGAAGCGGTCTATTGACTGTGAAAGGCCACATGTCGGGGTGACGAGACAGAATCGAGATACCATTCCTTTCATGTTGTGATGGAGATGAATATGAAGACGCAGATGATGGATGAGTTTGATGGGGGGCTCTTGCAGTAGTAGTTATTGTCGCTGGGAGCAATTGACTGACAGGAACCCTAGGCCGAGGGGCCATCGAGGGTGAGTCGCCTTGTATGTTATGCATGTGGGTGAGTGGTTGCGATGGGTACGCGCGTACAAAATGCCCTGGGTATGCAGCTCCACCCATCATCCAGGATGTTTGTGGGGAAGAAGTGCCATTGGTCGCGGGCGTGGGAAACAATGGGACGGGAGGAAGTTGAAACCGAGAGGAGGAGGATGCTTGAGCATGATTCGTCGGGTAGATTTGGGTTGGGATGAGTGGTTGTATGGAACTTTGGGACACCACGTGCCTCACTTGCGGGTTGCGGGTGAGGGTCGCGGGGATTTGGGGGTTGCTTTGCGCGGTGGTCGAGGACGAGGATGAGGGCGCTGAACACACTCAACTCAATACAAAAGACGATGCACAATGGAAAGGACGACGCACTTCCGTATATTGCACGACGCTCATCAATAGCACCATACAAACTCGACCACGACATATTGTTTGTCGGGGTAGTCATGTTGAGGTCTTGGGTTTGAAGCGTGTCACGGTCGAGCTTTGTTGGTATCCTGCGAGGCGACACGAAATAAGAAGCTTGGATATGAGAAAGCGCGATCAGATGGTGGTTGAGCGCGATTAGATGTTGGTTGAGCGAGACGAAGACGCGTTTAGAGACGCGTCGAGGGCAAAGAGAGGGAACAATATGTGTTGTTCTGTTTCGAGCTCCGAATCAAAAGGAATGACCGTGTTTTGACACCTCCGGAAGATGCCGGTTGGTGCCAACCAGTGCCACCACGATGTGGCGCTGTGGCCACACTTGGTCAAAGCGAGACGCGGGAATTAGCCATTTAGACATGAGACCTCTGCGCTCGGCCGCTGGCCAAATTAACAGTGGGCCTGGCACGTAACGGGCCTGTGAATTCTGGGGCAGTGTATAATAGCCATTGCCAGAGAATATGGAAGGACAGGGCGCGACGACGACAGTCCGTCTTTGTGGCCCAACACATCTGGGGCTTTGAAAGCCATGGAGGAAAAGACGGAACATAACACACCTGAGGCGGCTGTTTTTTTGAGTCCTTCTATGGACGTTGACGAGGATATAAAGAAATTGCAGCTGCCGGCGACGTCTACGATGTAGGCCTCTGGCTGTGTGGTGGCTGTATGGTGGCGCAGATTGTCGGTTTTGTCTGCGACTTGCAACGATAATCTGATGAGTTCGCCAGTACTTTTGACAAAGCTATGCACAGGCAGGAAATGTCCAAGAGTTTCAGCTAGGATAAAAGGCGTACGTGGAGGAAAAGAGGAAGGCTGCTGCAGAGTGAGATGAACAGGACGCCACCAGGTATCCCACACTGTCTCCCACGAACAGTGAAGAGTAACGCTCAGGTCTCTGCATATGGAACAAAGAATTGTGGCACGGATCACGTCCAATTAAGGCTGCTTCGAAATCAAAGCGAAACTAGCCAGAGCCGATGCGTAGGAAGCTTGGTCTATGCTGTGCTGGAGGGTTCGGTGGCGGGCATTTCTGTGGACTGATATCATGAGATGTAAGCACATTCACGACCTTCTGGGCTCTTATAACTGCTTTCTGCTTTGCTTAAACTTCAGCGCGTTAGTGGAGCACCTGGAGATTGACTTATTTCAGCATGATTCAATTGATGAGGCAACACGGAAACAGAGCAAGAAAACAAAAACAACAATAATGATACACGGGCACACGATCCAAAGACGATACAAGAAAGCTTAAACTGGCGACTACACCTCGCTGCTATAGGGAGCAAAACTTCAAGCCTCGCTTCCGTCTACCCCGATCATAGGTGCGCTCGGCGATTGGACCATGGACATGCTGACGTCTGACTGCTCTAAGTTGTCCATAGATGATGTCTGTTGGGCTTCTCGTGCGGCTGATTTGGCACGTATGTCTTGGATTTCTGAGGTGAGTTTGGACTGGAGGGAAAGTTAGCGAGGATCGTTAGGAGAAGGAGAACTTTGACTGACTAGCTTCGCCTCGAGGTCATCCTTGTTGAAAATTGAGTAGGCTGGTGGCGTTTTGGGGATGGTTTTATCGCCTGGACTGGTATTAGCAAGCAACAACAGGTAAGTTGAAGGGTTCATACCGAAGGCAGCGTGCATGAAAACTTCATTCATGAGCTCATGGTTGCGCTTGTAGCGAGAAAGAGCCAACGTCCGAGTCGATATCTGCTCCAACTCATCCGAGGAGTCCTCATCATCCACCGGTCGCTGCTGTTGTGGAGGCAGACGCTGTGTAACGTCTCTTTGAGGTTCAAGTTGCAGTGAGACGAAAGAACCGTGACGAACCTGGTTCATGCTTGCACTCCTATCCCTTTGAGCTCGCCTGTCCAATGCTTCCATCTCCCTGTTCTGTTGAGCAAGCATGGCATGGGGATCGCCACGCCCTGGGAAACCACCACCCATAGGCATCCCACCTCCTCCACCAGCCAAAGGTATCTTCTGACCAACCTTGTCACCAGCAACAAACATCGCAGGCTCGTTTAGTGGTCGGAGCGGGTACTGTCGGATAGGCTGGTTCGCGATCAATGGGGGAATCTCTGTGAGGAGAACGAGGAAAACGTCAGGAGGCGTGGTGGGAACATGGAAGACCAGTTGAGCATGTATTTATGGAACCGAAGGAAGAAGAAGGAATAAGAGAGAGTTGGTGGTGGGAGTACTGACGCAATCCTTGTCCCCTCGAATAGTGCACGAGCACAAGATTTTGATTACCGCCTTTGCTCAGTCGATACCGTCTCCTAACGCGTGAAGCACTCGTCTCTCCTGAGCCTGGTATGAAGCCGTATTTTGTCTCGTAGACCTCCAGCTCCTGTGATACGCATCAGTCTAAATGAGTTCGAAATCTGATGTGGTCGAGGCACGTACCCCGTGCGCTCCAATCATCCTCCTGTAGTGCTGCTCTGGCTCTAAAAACCGTATACCATCGTTTGGGAAACGCCCTTGCACGAAAAGAAGGAAGACCGCGCCGTCTAGAAGGCTGTGTGTGTAAGTTGACAAGGAACTCCTTCGTCCACGAATTTGTTCTCACTGACCAGACGGTTTATCAATCCAACACCATACGAACGGCTGCTGCAGGGCCAATTGAGCCGCCCGACTGAGCATGTTTATGGCTGCTTCGTGTGTGACGTTCGCCTGAGCTGGAAAGGGTTCCGGGAATCGAAGAGATGGAGCGTCTGATGCAGACATTGTTGGACTTTCCGAGGAAATTGTTGGTGGTGTTCAGACGGCTGTAACCACTTGCCTAGGCGACGAAGCTATGAAATATGTCGGGAAAGCTAGCAGACAGGACACCAATGAAAGTTTGAGGAGAGGAATGTGCAGCAGAGCAGGTATTGGGGGAGAATACGCGCTATTGCGCATGCGCTAAGTGACTTATCCGAGGGAATGGTAGCCGCCGCGCCAGTCAACGTGCTGTCTTCCTGACCTTCATCTATTCTCCAGCCTGCATGGGGAAAATTCCTTGAAAAGTATTAGAATGCGTCAAAGGCCAGTGAGGGACCTTTAATTCATGACGAAGGTCACGATTCAGAAGCACAATCAATTTCACTAGCTCGAGTTTTCCAGTCCACGCCTGGTGATACTAGACCGTGAACGCTGAGTACAGTTTACCTTCGTCTTCTGAGTTAATCGGTACTCAAATGGGTATCCAATCACCACCATGATGATAGTCTTTTGGCCTAATCAGCTATGTAGTATGCATAGACCTGCATAGGCTCGTTGTCAGGCTCACATCTGGCTTCAGGTTCGGGTCGCTCCAGATCTCGTACACTTTTTCGTCGCCTCAGACTTCTAACAAAGCATGGCCTACCTGACGCACTCTGTCGATACCAAGTCTTGCAGGAAACCTCTTTCCCTAACACATCTCAGCAGCGTCTCCTTGGGTTCTGCGAGTTCACCTTGCTCCGGGTATTTCTGGGGTTGAGTATTGGTTGAGAGCGGTCATCGTCACTGTGTATGTGGCGCGTTCCCGGATGGGCCTTTCGCCAGGTTTGTTGGCAATGACCATCAGTATCACGCGGCTCTTTGGCCTTTGCAAAGGGCTCGAGACAGGTTCATATAAGAACAAGTCCCCTCATTTGACCATTTCTGTTGACCATTTCTTAAAAGCCCGACCATTCTCCCTCCCCATCCATCGTCACCTCACCCGGAATTTGTAGAAGGCACTCGAGCACGACGTTCGTTAGCTACAGGCAGATAACCCTAAGACATCTCATCCGGCTAACACCAGCTCGGCCTCGACCTCGAGATTGAACAGGGCCTCCAACCCGACATCGAGTTGCGTCCAAATCGTCCTTCTCGAGTAGCACTGGCCCTACTAGAAGGTATGCATCAACTATGGCTTGTTATATAACCTCGACAGTTTCTTCCAGGACGCAGCTACAATGTGCCGTCGTTTCCGTTCCTGGTGTTTCCTTCGCTTTGCCCGAGGGCCACAGCGCAATTAGCGAGACCCGTTTCAGGCTGTGCGCACGCCACTGCTCTTTGTCCTTATCTTGTTTCGCTTTGCCGTCTCCCAAATCTTGATATCCTCGCGCAGTGTTCTGTGCCAACATCCGTTGCGAAGGGCAATGGCCGGCTCTTTGTGCCCGTCGTCAATGTGTTTGACTTTGAACGTGTCTGGTGCCACCGGGGTTTCCCGGTGACCTACTTAAACGCGGGGAAGGATACATGGCTCTCCCTCGTCCTCTCCTCTCAACATCTGCAGATCAGCAAATCCGAACCCGCCTCTCCTCTTCCTCAATATTCCCCTGAACTTCAACATGTCTCGTTCGGAACTTGAACGTCCCCTTTCCTACTCGGCCAAGCAGGAGAAGACGCAAGACCAGTGGATGGCTGGATGCACCGCGTCTCGTAGGTCTTCCTCACCGCCATCTTCGCGCTTTTCCTCCAGAGCTGACACCGTATCTAGAACCCTTCCCTACGGACGCTTCCAGATCGTCAGCGTCGGCCTCCTACGATACCTCCACCGTCTCGTCGTCGAACCGACACAGCTCGCCTACGAAGTCGACTAACTCCGCGACGACTCCATCGAACTTCGAACAGAATTCAAACAGTGCTGAAACTGCAACTGCGACTGGAAAACAGAGGACGGGAAGCGGAGCTTGCAAGGCCGTGTTCGGCGATATCATAACGTCAGATAATGTAAAGGTAGGTCTTACGCTGTGTCCCGTGTCACGTACAGATATTGACCCCTTTGTTGTAGCATTATCTGCATGGTCTTCGTATAGAGGTACGCCGACATTGTCTGCGAAAGTTGTACTTGGCCCAACTAACTGTTTTGTTTTTCGTAGGGAATACCCTCCTGTTGTATCAACATAATCCAGAAGACGCTCCCGGTCAAGGATCAGTCACGCGCTAATATACACAGGAAGCTTACGAAACATCGACTAGCTATAAGTCACCACACGATGTGGATGAAAATGTATGCCCGGGCTGATTCATGGAACAAGACGAAGGACCACTTCTTCGAGTGCGAGCATCCGGAATGTCGAGCCAAGTGAGTCCTTTTATTCCATGTTTTTACTCGCGTGCATGATTACTCACGATTACTTCTCGCTCCTAGGTTCATCACAGAAGACCTCCTCACAATACACCATGATAGAGAACACCGAAGAATAGCACCTCTTCCTAGCCGTGCTTCCAACTTAAAGCCCGTCAGCGAGAGCATAACAGAGAACCTCCGCACAATATACCAAGATAGTGAACACCGCAAAATCGCTCCCCTCCCCAGTCGTGCTTCTCACTCGAAGCCCGTCAACGAGACCAGAAGGTACGTTCCAGTCATCACATTGGCTCTACCTATCCGAACACTTTACTGATAGAGTCTACGTCCAGCGTTATACAACAAGGAACGCTGATAAGCGCGCAGTCAGAAAGCGACTGTTGGGACGCCTTCCTCGCGGAAGTGGCCGCTATACCCTTGCCTGTTCGCTCCCATGCCGCGGTCCCTTCGCCACCTACGCCCATTAGTGCTCCTAAGCTGACGCCTGTGAACGGCCCCTCCACATCGGTACCCGTGAATACTCCAACCCGCAGCAATCCTAGCACGAAGATAGCGCGCGGAATGACTGGCCTGACCCCTCACCAGCTCAAGCCCATGGCTCCCCCTCCTCCGCCTCGCCGTCCTGAGATTGACCAGTCACGGCCGTATATTATGCCTGACGGCTCGCAGGTTCCATGGCCGGTGAGGCCATGCAAGGATGCGTCTTTGAGAGTAGACACGCTGGTCGCGGGCATAGTTCGAATCTGCGACCGATCATCAGCCGGGAGGTCTGGATAGTTGTATGATCGGTTGTGTTCTCATGGACTGTACATCAGTTTCGTTTTCAATCCCTCCGTAGGTATCTCGTGTTTATGTTTTCCCTCTCATCTGTACATCGGTATTATGATCATCTCACTTTTTATACTTCGCCACGACTTATTCGTCCACCACAGTGTCCTTGTTCTTTCTTTATCCCCGTTATGTTTCCATCCTGTATTTTACTCTCCAAGTTAGCCCTAGTAAACGAATCCCTTGATCCTAACCGTTCGCCTTCAAGTACATCCGTCTTGCCAATTGCTCGCCAAAGTCTCTTCTAGGATATCCTTTTAGCAAAAACCAACTTTAATAGATGGTTCGATAGACACAGGGGTAGCCGTCCGCTCAACAAAGACAGCACGTCAGTCGTGCTCACAGTGGTGTCACTTGGAACGCACGGCCATAACCCAGGCCAACCTGTTGGGACTAGCGTGGCGCGCACGTGGCATTTTCGAATAGATCGCACAAAACCCACAATTACTGCATCTAATTATCCAACCATGTTGCAAAAAAGAGACAATAAATACAGGAACAAGTGACAGGTTGTCCGAGACCAGTAGCGACCACGATGAGCTCGAGAAGGAACCGAACCGGCAGCAGCAGCATCTATTAACAAGGAAGTATGATGATGAGGCGGCGGTCCGTGGCCAGTCAACAACACAAACATGAGATGGTGGAGAGCAAGATTGTACAGTAGTAAGACAGTGAACACGACGACGGCAGCAACGACAACGGAATCTTTGTTTAATCCTTCTTGAGTTCTTTCCGGAGAATGAAGACGCGCTCGCCACCAGCACGAGAGCTGACCTCCTGCACATTCCGGGCACCCTCGAGGCCCTGGAGGGAACGTCCCTTAGCGAGAACGATGAACATCTCGAGGCCATCGCCGACCTATGGAAACGGCAAGATAGGCGGCGTCAGCGGACTGCTTCCATTCATTCTAACGCCGAGGAAGAGGCGTGGCGGAACGGAAGAAGACGAGGTGCTTACCTCAATGTGGCGCTCCGTCGCGCTGGTGAAAGAGTCGATGACGATGTCAAGAACGTCAGGTAGCGGCAGATGGGTGGGGTGAGACAAGCCCTGCGCGGGGGTTTGGTTCTTGAAGTAGATCTGCGGGGAGAATCAAGTTACGCGAGGGGCGCGGGAAAAAGTCGGCGAAGCGTCGGGAAGGTGTGGAGAGCGATGCGCGGGACAAGTTGTTAGCGCGAAGAGGATGAAAGGAAGAGATAAGGAGAGGGCCGGACTCGCCTGATTGTCGAGGAAAGGTTGGACGAGGGATTGAGCAGCACCTGCAGCGCGACATGCTTCACGCTCATATGACCCTACAGGATCGAATGAGTAGACGGCGCCCGTGCCTGCAATTGAGTGGTAGGCAAAAGAAGATTGCCGGATAAAGTCAGTGAATCGACTCTAAACGCGTTTGAAGTACTGTGTAGAAAGCTCACCGTCTTCTTCTATCCCACCGAGGATGTTATAGACGTAGTAGGGAAAGAATCGCCGGCCGTAAAGCATGGTCTGAATCAATCGTGCGATGGCACGTAGGGGCATATCCTTTGCATGCGCATGACGATACCACTGAATACGATCAGAAAAGTTAGGCTGTGTTGAAAACTTCAACGCAAGTACCACGCGTACCTCGAGTCGCTGTTTCACCTGCTTCACGAACATATTGCCGTCTGCTGCGAAACCATTGACTGCTAGCACAGCGCGGTCCGTCCTGTGACCCGACAGAGAAGACGTCAGTGACCCCTTTCGTCATGTTTTACCGTATTATCGCAGAGAAGTGCTACAGCACTCCCAGGTCGTTCCCGCGGCGTATAGAACGACTGCTGAAGCCTGCCCTTGATCCGAGCAGCATGCTAAGACGTGGCCCGAATCGTGAAATCTAGGATACCATCGGAATACGTATACCTATGGAAAGAATGCCGCACGACGCATCTTGGCAGTTAAACGTTGCCTGTACTTTTCGGTGGCAAGAATCACCGTTCCAAGGATCATTGTTCCAAAACTGATCCATACATCGCGCTTGCAAGATAGCCTCTCCGCCAACATCCCAAGAACCTCTGTCTCTCCACCACCACCATACACCAACCCCGGCACGGAGCAACTTTTTGAATAAAATGAGACTCACAGTTGGAAGGCTTTAGGCGCATAACGAGTTTGAATGCTGAATCCTTCTGTCTGTCGTGTATCCGATGCGATCACAGTAAAATCGGCACCCGCAATGGCGAGTATGGTTCCGCCATTCTGAGTGTACGGGTTAAATGCACGTTGTTGTGGGTGTACGCTGGGGTACGCGCCAATGGCTGGTGATCCTGGCATTGTTAGAAAGTATGTAGCGGAGAGCGAGAGGAATGTTGGCAACAATTCAAGGAAAATATAGAGGAAAGCAGGAGGGTGCGGGGGTCAAATGAAGGGTACGCAAGCAACAGCTTATTATACGCGACGCGTCACTTGCAGGGCCCGCAGATTGGCGCGCTCGGAGTTTGAATCTGGCGAGGTTGTGGTTACTCCGAGTATTGGCCTCTTCGAGCGTCTTTTCCCGCTTCCATCTTTCATCTATCTCTGGCCTGGGAATGTTCCATGATGGCATGCACCGACATCTCACCGTATTAGTTCATGTTTCGCATCTCCCTCTCGACAGTCGAATCTACATGTCGGCAATTTCTGGGCTTCATCTAGGTTGTACTTCCAATCTGCGGACCAGACCTTGATGATCTTGCGCAACGTCCCAATCAGCGTTAAATAAATGGTTGTTGGCCGTTCTCGGCGACTCATCGTCTTTCGTGCGGACAATAGTGCAAACTGTTTTCGGCAACCGGGCTGGTCAAATGCCATGAGCCTTTCGTGTCGACTACATAGTCTATCTTGGAAACACTCCCATGTCAAATGCCCGATGATCACTTCATTGACTATGTATGAGACCAAGACTGTTGTCTTCATGCAGTCCGCGGGGTTATGGTTTGGAATAGCTTCAACCTTCAACTCTATGCAACCATAATACTGCAATGAGGTCTATACTAACGCATCTTTGTCACTCAGCACTTATCAGAAGAAAAAAATGGGTACAACTCAGTGCAGAGACCAAAATCTCATATAAAAGCGGTCTTTCCGCGTTGGTAGTGCTTGTACACACTGACTCCACTCCGAGCATGCACCTTCAGCCTGCGGAATCCCATGCGGAATCCCATCGTGTCTCTTCCAATGTTGGCTTTCGCACAGATCCTGCAAAAGCCGAGCCCACGACACTCGCGCGAGTGAATACGGACGGCGACTCTTGTAATTTGCGTTGTTCTTGCTCGAGCGTACCTCAATCTCTCTTTCATTCTCACCTAAATCCGTCTATTTCCGGCAAGTCTTGCCTTGGTCTAGGGCCAAATTATACTTGGCTTCCGGGTACTGAGAATGGAGAGCGGATCTGACCATCTCCGCGGATTCATGTCACTAATTTGGCTGGTGAACTCCAGCCTTTCAGACACCTACATGATTAGACGTTGTGAGGTGGCAAAGGTCAACATATATTCTTTGCGTGAACGTGAGCTTGGCGTGGATGACACGCTGCGGCCTTGCTTCAGCCTTCTCGCACGCAGATTTCTCGTGGATGTTGATGCTCCACAAGCACCTAGCGTTGGTTCGTCTAACATATCTGTAGAGCGGCCTTGTATCACACCACTCCGGACGGTGAGAACCTTACGTTACGACCTGCTATACACCCAGCTAATCTTGACGGGATCTCACACGTCTAGGGGCTCGTCCATTCTTCTGGTTCAGATGATGGGCAGATTCCGGAAGACGGCGCTATACATTGCGCATCCGTCCAATTATATGCATTGGTTATAGTCTACATACCCCGGATTCAACAGTCGTCATCCTTCGCCGGAGATTACATCGTCCTACGCAACATGACAGCCTCATTTCCTATACGTTCAGATTCGTTCAGGGAGAAGAATAGTAGGAGCCTCTTTCGTACGAGCCTGATCTGACCTGTTCTTCTAGACATATGTGGAGCCACTGAAGATAAATATACAGCGGCTCCGAGGGCTTACAAACAGAGACAACGACCCCCACACCCACTTATCGCCATTTCTCCGAGCGCTCGTGATAGGCTCCCAGGCCAAACGAAACTGTTGCCATACCTGTCACCCCTTCCCTTTGCGAGGAACGTCCTGCCCTGCTTTCTAAAATTATTCACGGTAAAGGATGTACCTGTGCGGCCTTAGCTGCCTCACCCGTTCTCGGAACATGTTGACGTTCGGGACATTGGAAAGGGGCTTTGGCCTCTTCTGCTTCTGTCTACACCGTTTCTCCACCAGATTAATCTAGACACACATGCCCGTGAGGCTCAGGCTTCTGGCATGATACCGTAGATCCATCAGATCGATAGACTAGCTGTACTCGACGCATCGATTTCAGCAGCTCAAGATCATCTTATGTTTCCCTTTCTCGACTACAAATTGGTGATTTTACTCCCTGCTGTGGCTCACGGGAAAACTTGAAAATAGTGTCACCAGTCCTTCCAAAATTGGCATTAGATTCTGGCTCCCATGCGTCTACGCCAATCCATCACTACTCTGTATCGTGTGATCTCCACCTCGACCCCCGGCTGCTTTTGGACTATGACCCTCGGAGGTCTCGTTGATTGTGTCCTGTTGATGTGAGAACCAGTCACTGCTCCATGGTGAGTCCAGACTGTGTTTCCCACTTCGAAGCGAGGTGTTGACGATGATGACGACAAGTGAATTGTAGAACGGCGCCTGGAAGAGCTAGGTACCTCTCGGTTCTTTTCTTCGACTTCGCTTTCAAGGGCCTCGTCCGCTGAGCTGAGAAGTCTCAATCTTAGGCTATCTAGATAACTCATTTCGTCAGATGTCGCGAGAACATCTTGTATGTCAAGAAAGGCTCTACTCAGCATATCCGATCATGTATACTGCACCGTGGAATGGGTTTGAGACATAACCCAGCACTCTTCTAAAGTTGTGGGGTAATGAGGTTTCTCGCCACATATGTTCGAGCACTCCAGCTCTGCACGTCAATATATTCGTATGGCTATCCCAGTTCCCGCGCCGCTATCTGTGAGAGATAGGAGGCAGTAAGCATCGTTCATTCGTAATCGTGATATATCAATGTCCCTGGCTGAAGACGATCACATCGCAGCTCGCATGTGCGTTTGCTGAGTACATTCACGATTGAGGTATCTGTGCATTGGCCTGGTCCCCGTCTTGAATTAGCTCGTCTGGGCTCACGTTGCTCTGGTACAGTGCCAGGCATCCATCTAGAGCAACAGTTACGGTTGCAATCCATCACTTTAAGCAAGTTCCTCGGACGGTGAATGTACGAATTAAGCACAAAGACACACAGCGCCGTAGCCGACAAGTATAACACCCGAAAACAACGCAATTCCGGAGGAACTGGCCATCTAGGTGCAGTCGATGGCCCAAGCGCTCAATCAGCAACATCTACACCGGTGAGAGTCCTGATAACGGCCGACGTGCTGACTACACCGGGGATGGTGGAGAAGCCTCGGGGGAAAACGTACAGATAATGATTGGTCTGCATGGACAATCCCTCGATACACCGATACTCGACGAGTTCCGGAGCCAGACCTCTTCACTATCATGAACAATTAATCTCCGTATCTGGTACTAGGGGCGTGCAGCCTTACACGTTGTGACTGCGCAGCGTCGGGCGCGCATCCGTAAAAGAACGAAAACAGCGGTGGGATGGGACGGACACACGAATCACGATGGTGGCGTGGCAGTGCGACATGTCAGTGGCCTATAGGTGCCTGTTTTAGTAAGTTCAACTTGTAACGTGGGCGTTTCATCGTGTCTCAAAAAAACGCACCGAATGACGGGACATGAATGTCGGTGAGAACTTGTGACTGTCGAGTGGGAAGGATGGGTTGGCATACAAGCCGTCGACAGATAATACTGAGCGCAACCATGAGGCTATATCTTCAGTGTTCCAATCAGTTACTCATGAATCCAGAGGATAACCGAGACGAACCTATCTCCTGAGAAAGAGAGGATATGTCCCGGGATTCGGCGACGAGGGACGGCGAATTTGAATGCCTACTACATGCGGGCCAGATTGCCTCTATCGTTCGAAAACGCAGAGTCTTCGAGGTCTGGTCGAGTATACCACGGTATGCACGGGTATAAAATCTATGGCACTCGGAGGGTGGGGGAGGACGGAGATACCTTGTCAGATACCTCCACATGTACACGGATGCAACATTGAGCGTTTCCTCCGTTGTTATCACAAACATGATCGCCACACGGCGTAGGCTCAGAAGATACCGAACCGAGATGCAAATGAATACCCGGAAGAAATTTCACTAGACAATGAGGACCTTTCCTGAAGCGGTCAGGCTTGGCGACGGAGCTCAGTATCGTCGAGCGCTGGCCAGCTCTCCGGAAACAAGCACAATAGAGAAGTGAGACAACATGACGCTATCACGGAGAAACAGAAGTCGGATGGACGGTAAGTGGCCCGCCCGATAGCAGCATTTAGCTGTCCAAGTGGAACAGACGTTGTGGGGCGGCGTCTTCCTCGTTAACCGGGGAAAGAACGACCTCCTCCCCACACACAAACCCCCCATGCCCCACAAGCTATTTCTAAAGAGATAGAACGCGTGTATACAATCAGTGCTCCAGTCTTATTTCTAGACAACTCACTTACCTGGCGTCTAGGGTTTCCGATACCCGACGCGGAGGTTCTACCGCACAATTCAGTATGAATGCGAGATTTGTCCTTGAACCTGTAAACATGAGGTTCAGATTGTTCTAATGCGCGTTTACCTGCTGCAAGGGGCCAAACCTGAAATCGGGTACTGCGTTAGGTACCGTCTATGATAGAAGGTTTCAAAGTGGTGTCACCAGGCCTGTCGCAACGCGGTCGACCTACTCAAACGCTCGTGCGAGCTTCGGCGAGACTAAACTTGGCAATGAGTCAGTATGAGTGGCACTAGTTGAAGCTCGATTCATTGTTCAGGGGATTGGGAGACATCCTGAGGACTTTGCAGCCGCATAAATTTGCAGAACGTGAGCGATGTAAATCTAGTAAGAGATGGTGAAATTTAGTTTCCTACCAGATAAGACCCTGTCCCCCCCACATCTTTTGAAAGCTGATAGACCACCCACAGTACATAAACCCATTCAATTCTGGACTCGCAAGGGACTATAACCCGAGGCAGCTTGGACGGATTGCTTGTCCTTCGCGCGGATACTGTCGCTCTTCATATCCAGACAGGGATGGATCTATTCCACTCTATTGAAGGCACAAGGACAACACAGTCAGCTGATTGTGAGGACGCATTGATACTTGTATAGAAGAGAAGTACGCACCAGGGACGGGGGGGAATGTTTGTGCAGGGGATGGTTCGTTGTCCAATGGTATCGACGACACTCTCCCATCGGAGAGATAGCCATAGCGTCTGATTAGTCTCGTGTTCATCGGCGGCGGACATCCGCTATACGTAGGCCAACTTTTCTGTGAACATTAAGTTAAGCTTTGGGGGGAAACGCATCGCGTCCTCGTCGTCCTTGCCCTCGTGGGCAAAGGCCGACCGTCGCCATCGAAGACTCCATAGTTCGAGGCAGAAAGTTCTACGTTGCAGAGGCCCGAACATGCTACGATGATGCGCTAGTAGCGGTTCACGTGGCAAGAGTGCACGGCGGAATCGTGGCATAATCGAAAACAAGCCGGAAATTATGACCGGTCATCTTGAATGACCTTGTCCAGCAGAACGTTGCATCAGTCAAACTTTTCAAATAACTTCGAAAAAAAATGGGACGACAGAGAACTGCACATGATATATGCATGCCTTGACAGTGGGTCCTCCAGAGGGATCAGTCATTGGCGTATTGCTTACATCGGCGTGCCAGCGGTCTTGGTCACAACAGAACGGATCGTCTATATCTGACAAGTGACCCAATGATGGGACACATAGTAAAATAAGTATCATGGCTCTCCTGAACACAACGTATAGGTGAAACGGAAAAGAAGTTTCCATGCGTGAAAGCAAGTAGCATGCTGGTTCAACCGCACGAGCGTACTTAGGGTTAGCCCGCCGTTTCCAGAACTGCGTCGGGCAAAGTTAAAGCTACAATGGTCAGTTCGTAATATTGTCTGCTAAGCTGGAGGCCAGCGGAGAAATCAAGGATGTAAAGCCCGTGCAATGCTCACCGAAGACCGTTGAACTTCTTGTTGAACTTCGGAGTTGATTCGGAGTGAATTGATCCGGAACCTTACGGAAGCCAAAACCTTTCGATCCTAACAAAGACAAACAAGCGAGCCGAACTCCGACTCTCTGTCGTCATGGCAATGTGGCGTGGCCTCGTCGGCGCTCGCGACTCGGAGCTCGCATGCGGTGACGATCTTGCTTGGGTTTTGTCTGGAATTGGTCTGGAATATCTCAATCTTGTACACATTTTGTCTAGAATATATCCTCTGGACCGAAATGCCTTCGAATGGAGAGAATATCTGCCTGCGGCTTTCGTTCTTGCAACTTTTTCGGTCCTGCATGGCACTGTTGCGTGCAATAGACGTTATCTGCAGCCTGAAAAGTAGACTTTTGAGTTGCAAGGCGACGCAACCGAACTGTAAAAGTGAGAATTTTAACTAAAATTTCAGTTCGAAGGGGAAAGTGCAGGCCGGCCGTGATTGGCTGATCGACTCCATTTGGCCTGCGTCTGGCACTTACCGAGGGTTCGAAGCGAACTATGAAATAAAAATTGAAGTTTACGAGCTCTCAAGCAGCCAATTTGAAGCTCATAGAACCTCTCGGTTTTCAGGCTGCAGATAACATCTAATGGCGTGCCAGGCAAGCCATGGGAATCTCTTAGAATCTACTGCGAACAGCGGCAGCTTATTTCGTTGGACTCTATCTAATGAGTGCTGTTGCTCTCGTTCTTAGGCTACTCGTGTTGAAACTAAGCTATCGATACAGACTGTTCCTTAATCCAAGCCACGCATTTCCAAGATCCACCTAGGCCAACCACCATGCAGTATGCGAAATTCGTAGAGGTGGCGCGCTGCCGACAGTTCATGGGAGTCAAGGTTCGGCAGGCCATGCGAAGCTAGTCTTCCCTACGCCACCCAAATAGTCTATCACGGGTGCATTTAATCATTCCGATCCACATAACGCCACATAAACCTTGGACGTGACCTACATAAGGTGCCAACAGTCCTGCGTATAAGTACGTGGGTCATTCCATCTATTCCTCCACATCTCTTCATACGCTGTGTTCCTATGTCTTCTCCACCCTCCGGCGGCTTTCGGGGTCGACCTTATTGGGGTCGGGGTAGAGGAGCAACTCGCGGATCGTCCTATTCGTCCTCTTATCGCGGCGCTAGCACAGACTACATTAGCCTACCTTCAGACAAGAATATCAAGGAGGGCTTGACAGCTACATCTCTCGAGACCTTGAACATACCTTACTTGACGGGCACGAAGACCGTTCGTGCGGATGTCCAGAACGTTGAGTATATCGGGTCGTACAACTGGATTGAAGCGAGAGAGCCCACCATAATTGTCCCAGGTAAGTGCTAACCATATTTTCTCTATCCTGAAATACTATTGACGAAAGCTTTCGGATCGTTCGTCGTAGGATCTCCACCGGAATGGACCGACCCTCGCCCGCCTATCGTCCTCTCGCCCGACTCTGGCACCTCTTTCTCCGACCAAAACGGTTTCCGCATCCCTTCCTCTACCCTCTTACCACTCTTCGCAGCCGTAGATTCTGTTGCGGCTACTACTATAGACTGGCCGTCCATCGACTTTGTCACGGATCGGAACGGTCTTCGCAAACTGTTGCGATGGATCGACGGTAGCGCCACTAAGGACTTCAGGATGGATTTGGAAATGGCCGGAACGAAGACGGTGCTGGTGAATAGGTGGGACAAGAGGCAGAGGGAGGCTGCGAACGGGAAGTCTTTTGGGTATGAATTTGAGAAGGCGACGACGAGGGCGGCGAAGGGCTGTGAAATGAGTACGGGGCATCATAGGATTATCAAATATGTGAGACTTTGGCAATGTTATCTGTCTGTTTCTGACGTGAAAGACTGTGGCTAACAATCGAATTGTTCCTTGTATCCGCAGGACTTCTGCGGAATGAAAATGGTGGTCAGGTTTGAGGTGGACGCTTGCCTGCCCACCCCACGTGCAACAACCACGGCGAAGCAAGCTGTGACAGCGCCCTCCAGATCATCCTCCGCACAGAGCCCAGACGATCTAGCTGACGCCCTTGCGGGACTCAACATCATATCCTCGCTGCCGGACGTTGATGACACAAGCAGCAGCCCCGACGCCAAACCTCGATCTTCGTCAATCAAGATTATTCATGGCGGTACTGAAGTCCCACAAGAGTCCATCATGGAGCTTGCCACACGGTCTCAGTACTTCATCCACGAGATAAATTGGGGCGAAATCTTCCCTCAACTCTTCCTCTCCAATACGCCCCACTTTTACCTCGGGGTGCATAACCGCGGCCGCTTTGACGAGATCCGGAAGATGGAGCTATCAGGCGACGAGCTAGGAAGCCAAAGGGAGGAGGCAGAGGTCAATTTCAGGAAGCTCGGGAAGGCTTTGAGTACTATCCAGGAGATTGTGCAGAAGTACGGTAAGGAGAGGCGGGTGAGCTTAGTGTGCGAGAGTGGGACGTTGAAGGTTTATGAGAGGGTTGGTAGAAAGAGTTGCCTGCCTTCTGGGCCAGAGGGTGTAGGTAGGTTTGAATAGATGTGTGGTGACTTTTGAGGACATGTCCTTGTGCTATCTTTTCACGTAGTAGCGTGACCATGCGTACCTCTATGCAAAAGAAAGATGAAGCACCCCTACAGACGGCCTTAAATACAGAAAGATGATTTACAATTACCACGGATAATTGGCAGCCCAGCGTATGGAGAGCGTCGAAAAATTAACCGTTATTGCATGCGTGAAGTCGATCAAAAATTTCGTGTGCCACACCACCGCCACACGGGCCACGCGCAGGCACCGGAGTGGCTGCGGCAAAGGCTCACGCTAGCGCTGGCTCACGCGGTGCGTAGCCCCAAAAAGGCAACACAACACTCTTCACACCTTTCAGCACCACCGTCGTCACCGTCTTCACCGTCCTCCTCCTCCCTCCTCTCGCCGTCGTCTCCATCGTGCTCGCCGTCTTCCACGTCGTAGCCTCCGACTCGCATACTGTGCACACCGTTTTTCTCCTAGCCCATCGCCAGCAACTACTCTACTACGTCTAATATGTATCTTCTGCACCTGGCTGCCCTCGTTCTCGCCACTGTCAATGCCGCCCTCGCACAAGACATAGTGTATGACTCTATCCACAACGCCACTGTCATTACCGGCACTTGGGCATCAGGAGCGAAGAACGTCGTCACTGGTTCGGTGCGTCTTTTCTCGTTGTTAGTTCCCATCAGCAAATTCACACGATCTTCTTTCCTAGGGCTTCGCTAACCCAGCAAACGAGTCGTTCACATACCCAAAGACAACAGGTGTCTCATACTCATTGTGCGTAATTGTAGCTCTCTTGATAGTTGCATGTATTGACTTCTTATCAGCTCCGATGACGGGTTCTACGAGATTGCGAGATATCGCTTCACTGGCAACGGCACACAACCGAACTGCATCACTGGCGTTGTCAACTGGGTTCACGGCAAATACGAACTGGTCTCTAACGGCTCAATCGTCATGACACCATTCGGCGATGGTTTCCAACAAATTCAAGATACTTGCGCTGCCGTCTCAAACTTCATCGAGACCTACAACGACACTGAGCTCTACAACTCGTGGCGTATATTCACAGACCCCACCGACGGCTACAAGCTTCATCTGTTCAACTACGATGGTAGTGCTGTCGCTCCCCAGTTCCAGGTCTCCACCACTCCGAATATGCTTCCCACCTACTCGCTCCGGAACGATTCGACCACCACCGTCGAAAAGAGGAGTTTTTTCAAGAGGACCTCCGATGCTACCAGCACGAAATGGAGTACTTCGCGAGTGGCAGCTGGATTCGCCACTATGGGTGGTATCACCCTCTTGGCAGCGCTCTTGTAGATGGGTTGGCTGGTGTTGGTCGTGATGTCATTCGTCCTCCCGCAGTATAGTCAGGGTTAGGTTTTGGACACGCGGAGCCGTCGTCCTTCGTCGGTGATCCTTTTTGTTCTGCATTGATCAATTACTCTTCTCTTTCTTCTTTCGAACTTTATTCTTCTCATATCTCTATACATTTCGTCGATCTCCGCGAGCACCTATCACCTTCTAGCTTCTCGCCACCCTTTCACCGTTGCAACTTCAGCCTCCTTCCTACCATCTTCTCCTAGCATCGCCTTTGTCCCTTTCTTTTCTTCGCCACCTCTGCGTGAGTAATGACCGACGCTTCGACTGTATGACTGATATGGATACCCAACCTCTCCCCGTTGCATCACATCGCATCCCATACGTATCATAGCCCATTCTTCAGCACAATCACCCCATCGTCCGCGTGGTATCTCACTTTTAACAACTACACCGACACTGGCAGGTCTTTCGTCTTCTCGGGCTCCAGTCCTCTGTATGCCACTTGAACCGTGTGTTGTGTAGAAAGGCTACGTTCTCTGTGCATATGGTATAGATGTTGATAGACCAGGGAGAATACACGCTCGTTTAGACTCACTTCGCTCTTTTTCTTCTTCTGGTTCTCGATTTGTCTTGCAAGCAAGGACTAATATGGACTATTCAAGTTTGTGGCATGTAGTTAGAGGGACTTTTTGGACTGCAGAACTGCCACATACGGCCATGTGCGCATTGAATGTGCCATGCGCATGGCGGCGCCAAGGGTCGCCAAGGCTGTTACATCTGGACAGCGCATCTGAGAGTTCGGCGTTGGTTACGATCGAAAACTGTCCGAAAGCCGACGGCTCCTGATCCTAACAAGTACAAACAACCGCCTATTGTTCACTGCTTCCAGCATGGTCCGAGCGCTACCATACCTCTTCGCTGCCCTCTTGCTCTCCTATGAGTCTGTCTACCACAGCTTCAGGTCAGTGCGTGGTCATAGCGAAATGAATGCCACTTCAAAAGTCTGCCATAGGTAGGCTTTCGGTAAAGGCGCCTCCATTCGATTCAATCCTTAGGTGCGTGTGCCTTTCCCAGTGATGTGACCTCGTCGCTACTTCACACCCGTGAGCCAAAGCCAAACATATAATGTAGATATCCTGGTTTCTTCAACCAGTCTCGTCTCCTACCCTCGACCACTTTCCAGAAGAGAGGTACGCGTCCTCTCGTACGTAAAAGGGAAAAAGATACCCATATTGGGTAATATCCTCATAGGGAGAGATCCTGCTGCCCATTTGGTTTATTTCCTGGTACAAGCATGCAGCCAGCAACTGGAAATATAAAATCATACAGTCCACATTCCTGTAGGACCACATCCGTATCCCGTCCTGCGTTCGCGTTGGGTACAAGGTGCAACATCGTAGCGAATTACAGGCACGACGAGCTTCTGCCCAGTTTTCCGATGCTGCATCGCCTTCCCGCGCTGTAGAACCCATCTGTGACCACTGTTCCTATCGAAATACGTGGTCTGGCGAATTGAAAACGTCGCGCCCTGAAGGGCGACGTCGTTTCACCCGAGATGGGGCAATATGACTGTCGCAGCCTTGGGTTTGATCAACACTGCTCAACAGTTTCTGCATCAGACATGACATTAAGGCGCCATATGAGCGTGCAAAGAGACAAATGTCTATGCTGGAGCGCGGATGGCTGCTAGGATGACACTGACAAGCGGTCTAGATTTTCGGTGCACATCAAACCGTATTGTCTGTCTCTCTCACATTCAGATGGGAACCATTTCCACGTTGGAATGAGCTCCCATCTGGATGGAAGAGAGACAAAGGGCGCTCCCACAACCTCCAGATTATGTGCACAGTCGTTGCTCCGCTTCGAGCAGAAAGTGTCGCACCATCGCTGCAAGCAGCACGAAAGAAACTTCGATTTCGCAGGTCTATTCTCTGGAAATATGACACGATTTATCGAAGGAGGCGTCATGTCATTCTTATATCGAAGAGCAGAGACTGTACGCATCTTTCCTAGAACTGAACCACGAACACAGCAGTCGCGCGTCTGCGCGTATTGGCACCATGTCGACTTTCCCCCAGAGTACGGTGCGCGGGGACCCTTCCCGCGCACCATACACAGAGGCAGAATCAAGAAAGAACTCAGAGTACAGTCACCTTTCGGCCAAAAGGAACTTGCGAACAACCTCGGAAATTTGTGGTTCATACGCAGAGAGTGGGCGAAACGGATGGAACGAAGACGACTGCCGCGACGATATGCGGCCATTGCCGAACAAGCGGGAGAAAGGCCCATTGTTCGCTCAACGTGTTGGCCGCGACAAACACCACGGTCTCGTGACTGACACACGTCTGCACGTTCAGCCACCTCCTTCTATCCAGTCAACCACCGTGTCATAGCCTGCGTTACGCGCCGGTTTCATCTCCCTCTCATTCTCTTATTATCTTTAGACTCCACCCCCCTTTCACCTTGACAGATGGCCACCTGGGAGCCAAAGTCGCGATCTACATCGGTCGCATCGTCCTCGGCGGGAAGCCGGAAGTTCTCCCCGCCAGGGTTCACCCTCTCGAGCCCGGGTTATGAGGCTAAACTCTACTTCTGGATCGCTATGGAGAAGCGATACACAGAACAATATCAATATAGTCGCGAGACCAACGACTGGGCCTTCTTCAACGAACACGTCAAGAACGCCCAGTTCGACAGTGCTACAGCCAGATTGTTAGAAAACCCCGGCCGCCAACACACTTTCCATTTCGACCCCGACGGCAGCGTCGCCGTCGATATAGTTACAATCCAGACGAAGAAAATGGTAGAGCAAAAGTCGGGCGGGCGTGAAAAGACGACTGGTGCCGCGCCTAGGGCACGGGGCGCGAAGGGTTCGAGTGCGAACCAGGAGTCGCGGACCGTGGCAAAGGTGGGTACTTTTGTGGTTGTTCTCGCGACTTTCGTGCCAATAGCCCTCCTTTTCTCCAAAGAAACCAAGTCGATCGAACAATCAACCTGGCATCCCATCGCACGGCAAGGAAAAAGGGAAGGGGAAAGGCAAGGTGCGAGATCGGAAGGATTCGAAGGCTAAACCGGCACGAGGGATCGAGTCTGACCATCATAACGAAGAGGTGAGTCCCCTATCAAATTTCTGAACAAAGGTTGTGAGCCAACATGCATTGTTAGATTGTGTTGGTTTCCGGGCCAACCTTACCTGCTGGTGCCCAGGATGCGCCGTCGGGGCTAGCAGGCTTGATCATTCCAGTCGATGTAAGGTTTCACCACCAAAATATCCGTAGAGTTTTTGTCCCGCTCACCGTCTTGTTTGCGTACCCCAAGTCGTCATTTCCGCAAGACAACACTCGCCGTGAGCTGCGTCACGCAGACAAGAGCCCTATAGCAGGTCCCTCGACTCAGAAAGCTTCGGAAGACACGTCTTCCGCCGAGAAAAAACTCACGCGTCAACTCGTATGTCTTCTCTTGATCAATTTTCGTCTAGATCTAACATTGGCCCGGCAGCCGGTCCCACAACAACCAACCGTGGTCAACGCAAGGCTCGACGTCACCGTGCTCGATTCCACTCGCCCTACCGATTATGCCAAAAGCTTTGGTCCTGTGAGTGGCCCATCGCTGGTCGGCGCTAAGAAGTCGTCGTCGGACGCGGCACTCCAGAGTGCTATCTCTTCCAAGACTGGGACTGCCAATAATGATATCCCCGCACCCGCTCATCGACAGACAGCGCTTCCTGCTCCCTCTCTTTCCTCGACGCTTTCGAGCCAGTCCGCCACATCGAAAGGTCTTCTCGCGCAGAACCAGCGTGCCTCTGATCCCGTCAAGCGTGCGCCAGCGCTAAACCCTATCCCGGTTCCTCCGCCGCGTGCCAGCGCAGCCCACCGTACATCATCTTCCGAAGAGCCCTCTCCACACCACCTGAGCGACACCCTGCCTGCAGCCTCTCCAGTAGGCCAGAGGGCTGCTTCCCCCGCTTCACAGTCCTCGAACAGGCCTTGTTACCACCCCTCTCAAGATGGGGGCATCCCGAAGGACGAGCTCGTAGACGTCGAGTCCTTCTGGTCGGTTTTACGCCCTGCTCTCGAGAAAAGCGAGGACATCACTCCGGAATGGGTTGAAGACGTGCACCGCTATCTGCAGTGCGATCCACTTTTCTGGACGTCTCTTCGTGCGGTATATGATCTGCCAAAAGCAGACCGCAAATCTATCTTCACCGACGCCTGTCATCACTCTTTTGCGGCGCTGAATGCGGCATACGGCGCCGACGCACTGCTATGGCTACAATTAGCACTCTTTGGCAAAATCTTGGCGCTAAACTCAGTCCCTGACAATCGATCGGGATGACGACTCCAGCGACGATTCTAGTCTTTGTCATTACTTTTCATGTTCTAAGACGAGCCTGTATAGTCACCTGTACAAACATATATCTTCTTCTCGCTGATGTATATATTTCTGCACAATGTAAGCTTATAATGTTGTACGTTCAACATTTTGAACACTTGTTTTCCAACCTTCATGATGCGTTGCCAAGCTGTCGTACACCTGATATTCTGGCTGCCAGAGCCTTTTCTCAATATTGCCACAGAAGCACTGGCTGAGCGCACGAGATCTCGGAGGACTTGTGTGAAGACTTTATCAATGCAATGGTCAAATTGATAGATAAGACGTAGTGTCTTCATATGTATCTGTGAGCTGTAGAAAGTAATACAGATGGATGACACCAAGCCCAAACCTCCTACAGCCCCAGCCACACTCATGCATGCCTCGAGATTGACGAGGGGGTCTTTCCTCCCCTTCTTCCGAGTCATAACCTGGATGATGTATGCTCTCTCTGTCTGCCGCCCCTCCCTCCCTACTAACCCTTCAAGCTGGACAACTGACTAAAAACGCGCCCACCGATCCTGGGATCTCAAAGCATCCATCACTCCCTGCATCCGTCGTCGTCCCGCCTGCCTCAGGATCACAAGTGTGAACATCATGGTAAACTACATCGCACGCTCCACCACTGCTCGAGAGGCTGATTGGCCCCGCGCCTTTCCGAGGCTCCTGTGATATTGTCAGAGGAAATGATGTTGCCGGTACAGTCGGTATTGCTGTAGAGCGTCCACGATTCGGCATGGACGGAGGAGAGGAATACAGCGAGCAAAGCCGAAGTGAAGATGGCGTAGAGAGGAGCCATGTTGAGGTTCGATGTTGCTGCACACGGGGTTCTGTGAATATGACTAACGAGTGAATGAGGTGGCCGTAGTTGCTGATCAGATATTCGCTCGTGAGAAGAAAAGAAAGATAAAACATACTGATGCTGGAAATGTGCGGCTAGAGATTCTGGTAGTAATCGGAAAAAGACCCTCCCATTTATACAGAAACATACCCCAAGGCTAGTAGATGAATGACGTGTTTGTTTTGGGGTTATTTAATGACCACTTCCGCATGGTGCGTACAGCTATAAGGTTCTCCTGTGATGGACATGTTAGGCCCTCCCTGATGGACCAAAATATTGACAGCGGAGATTGACCATAGAATTGAATATCGCACACGTGTGCTAGGATGAGAACCAGGAGAAGTACACTGGTGTACTTAGTACCCGTGATGGGACCGTTGTGGACAGCCTCAAGGTATTAGGACGCGAGTGTCATCATTACTAGATTAAAGCAGCTGCTCTTCAGCGCTACCACCAACGCCGAGACGAAGATTACTCCACGCTTGCCAGAACCCAAAATGCGCTCCTACCAGCAGTCTATCGGGACCGCTGACGGCTCACGACTTGCATCACACACAGCTAATCGCCGAGCTAGCCCTCTACTGTGGCAGTCCAACCTAGGACCAAATATACACGCTAAATACGTTGATTATTATCACATAGAGACATGACCTGAGTATGAAATGTAAATATAAAGGTGCTGAAAAGTTCGCGCAGAAATCGGACAAACGGATCTGGACACTGTTTGCTTGGGAACCGAAGTCAACTGAAACACTGTGAGGCTGCCCAAGATGATAGCAGATTCGAAATGATTGATCTCAAAGAAGCAGTTGTTGAAGTGGCCTGCCTTCAAGCGCATGATTTGGAAGGGGAAGACGAGGCGGAAGAACGTAACAAGAAGAAAGAACCTCAGGCTGGAATTCGAAACAACAGTCTTCCGATCCTAACAACCGCAAACAGGCGCAAGCAAGCCACCCCGCCGCCACGTGGCGTATGGGCCTTCGCTATCACTTCCCATGATGTCCCATGAGCGTAGGCTGTGCCTTCTGCTCAACTCGAATCTTCTGATTATAATCATAGGCATCCACCGACCATGACTGTGAGGAAGCCACCATTGATCACCTTGTCGACAAAAACTCGAAGATGATTGGTACGACTCGGAGAAGTGCACATACCGCACGGCTTCAAGTTGTGGTCCTAGCGCCAGTGACTCCCCTTCTACTATAATTTCTTCGTTCATCAGTCTGATGGGGTGAATGAGGGCATCTTTTTAGGAAGAAAATGCTTCCCTCTCCGATCAATGTACGTTCTTTCGTCATGTCATTGTGCCGGACGGTGGACGTGGTGTGTGGCGCGCCCTCGCTAAGGTTGCGAACAGGTGAGACCTGCTGTCAAGATTTGTCTCTGGCACTGGTAGGAACAATAGCGCTGCCATCTAGGAAGCTCAAGACCATTCATGGGCGCGTCTATCTCGTAGGGGCCCGCTTTGTCCTATTCTTAGACGCTGACTGGCCTCTATTTTGCTGTTTACGTGTCTCACTCTATTCTCAAGGCGCGGGCACCACGCCACCCACACAGCGTAGGCACTGTACCATGGAGATCTCGGTCGCCTTCGATACGATACGTAAGTACATGAAAGACCTCTCTCTCATACGCTCAGGTGCCGCCACCCGCACGCTATAAAGCGTGTGCGTTCAAACAGGCTGCCAGCATCCTCCTTCATCCCCACTCGCATCGTTCGTAGCCTGATCCATCCTCTCCATCTCACGCACAGTCCAGAACTGGAGCACCAAGCACCTCTTTTCACCATTATGACCCCCCGACAAACCCTAGACAACATTTTCCCTCCACCGATGGCTCCGAGCGACAGCACCTTAAGGACTCAGATGTCTCGGTCGCGGTCCCTGAAGTCACGTCAAAGTTCTCTCGCCTCTCTCGCCTCTTCGGTCTATCCCAGCCGTACGAATACACCAAGCAGCGAGGGCCAAGGTCCGGCTCGGTCCATGACTCCCAGCAGTGTCAGCGCGATCTCTACCATTGGGTCAGATCTTATTGGATCGCGCTCTTCGTCTTTCTCTTCGTCCACTATTGAAGGACATCCCAGTCCGGCTCTATCCACGACTCCTACCCTTAGTGTGGCCTCCACCGTCTCTGATCTTGCTACGATTCGCGGATCGCCTTCTATGGGCAGCATCTCTTCTGCTTCGTTCGCTGTCGAACCAGCTCCGTATAACCTTGGTTCCTCGGGTGACAAGCTTGACGCATCCACAATATGGATGCTCCAAAACCCCGACCCGACGATTGGACCTGCCGATGAGTCGCCACGCTACACTACACTCAATGCGCTCGAGCTGGACATAATCAAGTTCACGCCCCGATATTACGACCTCCTCAGCCAGTACATCACCGACGAACCGACGGGCTGGTCATGTCCCGCCCAAGCCGACCAACCCGGGCCTCTCCCATACTTTGATTTTAGGACCGCGACGTTCGAGGATACATTGGAAGAGAAGAACTTGTTCGCGGAATTTTTGTTGGGGCACCTCTTTCCTGAAGACTTGGGAGTATACTCGTTCCCGATGTTCGAGGAAGTGTGGCCGATCACCAGGGTCATCTACAACTTAAATTTCGAGAACAGGAAAATTGGTTTCAAATGGTGGTTGTTCGATAATGAGGAAACATACGCTGCCAGGGGGGAGATCTTAGATGCCGATGATAGAGTGGAGGGCGGCGTGGTTCAGTTTCGGAAGTGGATAGGGACGATGTTGTTTTTGCACGGTGAGGACCTCGGGCGGGCCCACCGCTTTTGCTGAGGGTGGTCGTCCGGATTTCTAGCCATGTATATCAACTGGGTGGTCTGTTCCAATCCACTATCTTCCATGATTTCTCTTCTTCCTGTATACCGGTTACATGTATAGATATGTCGGCTGGGTGATGGTGTTCTTCAATGATCAGTATATTTCTTGCGTACGCACGTCTTCGGTCCAGCATACACGTCGTTCCTTTGGCCGTGACAGCATATTACTGCAAACAAAATAAAATTGTACGGCATAGGTACTGGTATACAAAAACACAACGAAGTGGTAAAAAGATGAGCAAGACGAAGACTGTGGCGTAAGACACATGAAACGGGAGAGGGGTGCGCTAATGAAAGGAAAGTTGAATGGTGTCAATTGTGGTAGTACAGCAATGATCAGTAAACGATAGGTACCCAGGAGATGGTAACTGAAAAGAGATGGAAAGGACTGCATGTGGAAATAAGTTACCGAAGTGCTATGGGAACAAGGATGAGAGGTGAGGTGATATAGAGAGAAATAGCTACAAGGATAGATGAACGGCCGTGATCGTGATTGGACATGAGAATAAACTAGGTATCGTCGGCGACTGCGAGTCTGTGTGTCGACCTGACGTCGAGCCAGGAACTGCCGCTACAACAGATGAGCAAGGAATAGAACCAGAAAAATAGGAGGAAGGTTACAAGGCAGAGAAGATCAACGACAGCATAACAATATGCACAATGCACTTCCAAATATTCATGGATGCGGCACTTTTAGATTACCTCGTCTTTGATTCCTCACTTACGTTCCCCACCGGTCCACACTCCGGCTCCGAACGTCCTTCAACACACCCGTCGCCGTCGTCCCCCTCTCCGTCGACCTCCTCCTCATTCCGAGTCTCATTCCTCCTCCCATCTCGCTCGCACCCTCGTCCCTTTCTCTCTCCCTCTCCCTCTCTGGAGACACCGACACCGACCCCCTCGCCACGACCTTGCTCATCGCCGAAACTGGCGTGTTATGGCTCGATCGCCTGCTGAGAATCCATCCACGGGGAGAAGTGCCAGGCGCAGAAGATCCAGCAGGCGTGGTCCCCGTCGACCCAGACGTAAAAGGCGGCGTGCTTCCGGATCTACGTCCCCTATTGACGTTGACGACAGAATTGGTGGGAGGAATGGCCCGTGCTTCAGCTTCGGGGACGTCGTTCGACCGGGACCTAGACGTCGACGTCCTCTGGCTCATCCTTCTCCTGCGCCCTCTGGCCACCGATTGTGACTGTGAAGACCTCGCCGGAGAAGCCGAGTCCGAATCGTTCAACATCCATCTCGTATTCGGGCTACCGTCCTCGCCATCGTCGACTTCGCCCTCATCTACCGCTTCGAGTCCGAAGTCTCGGAAACCTTTCCTTCCTCTGGATGGATCCCTCTGTGACGGCTCCAGAGCCCCAGACTCAGACTCAGATTCGGGTATAGCAAAGGAAGTGTAACCCAGTTTGTCCAACCCGTCAACTCCGTCCTTCGGCGTCATCGGTGCCACACTGGGACTAGGAGATGCGGGAGACGTTTTACGGCCTGGAATGTTGATTCCGCTATTCATATTCGTGCCATCAGCGAGGGCGTGCCTGTGAGAGCGTCCGCGCTCTGGAGAAGGCGAAAATTGGGTGAGTTTGTGAAGATTAGGGAGGGGAGAAGGGGGATATTCGTTGGAGGATGAGGCGGTAGCGTCCGCGGCTTGTACGAGTGGTGTCACGGACGATGCGAACGAACGTAGAGGTTGAGGAGAGGGCGGAGGGATAATTTCTCGGTCTTGCGGAAGAACGCTGACATTGCTCAGCGGACTTCTCTTCGATATGGAGCGAGATCTCGAGACGGATAGATGAGCATGGACAGGACTATGAAGTGGTGAGGTAGAAGTCCTCCGCGAGGGCATCCTCGTCTTCGACTCTTGAATGCCGCCAGCTTCGGACTCGTCATCTTCATACTCGCATTCAAACTCTTCCGGAGCATGTAACGGTGCTGACGCACTGCCCGAAGGGGACATCGACCCGTAGGAATCGTCTGAGAACACACTACCAGATCTCTTCCGATTTCTGCTCATGCTCCTCATCCTCGCCTCCTGGACGACTCTCTCGATCTCGATCTCCGTCCTCTCTTCATCCACCCCTCCTCCGTCAATATCTTCGCCTCTCCATCCCACGCTCCATCCCACCTCATCTACCATGGCAATATCCCACCTATCTGCTACATTCGCTGTCAGACACCCCACCAACACCTTCTCTGCCCCCTTGCCGACTTCCTTCGGCATATCGAAGACACCTTGAATATTCACGTTATTCAACATAAAGGTATTAGCATCGATGACCCAAGTGAAGAACACGTACCGTGTAGAATTTTCATCTGCAGTCTCGGCTCGAAGCTATCCTGGAAGGGAAGCCGGCCTTCTAACAACGCGTAAAGCATCACGCCCAGGGCCCAGATGTCTTGGGCCGGATATGGGCGGTAGGGATTTGAAGGTGACGGAGGGTGGAGCAGTTCTGGAGCGGCGTATGGGAGCGAGCCAGGTGGGAGTTCGTATTGTTGGTGTGTTTGCGACGAAGTGGGCGCGGTGGCGGTATACGGTGACGCTTGGATGGAAGGTAGAGGAGACGAGTTACGATGCCGAGGACCGGAATGATGACGGAGTAAAGAGAGGTGGGTCGGTAATTTCGAGTTGTTCGATTGCCTTCTCGAGTGGATGGCTTGCACCGCTGTGGCGCTTTTTTCCATCGTGACCGATCGCTGTCTGCGCACCAACAAGGGGTCCGTCCCGAGTGCGACGTCGTCCTCCCGAATCTCGCCTATCTTGCTGGCCATCCCAAAGTCCCCGATCCTGCACACGCCCATTTCATCGACCATCACATTCTCTAGTTTCAGGTCCCCGTGCACGAGACCCGCAGTTTCATGCAGATACCGCACGCCCCGCACGACCTGCCTGAACATCATGCCCGCGTCGTCTAGCGGCACCCTTCTCTTACCCTGACCATCCACCTGCGCCCTCCGTAGGATATCAAAAAGGGAACCAGCTGGGCAATAGAGCATGAAGAAGAAGTCGGCATAGGGGGTCGAATGGTAGCGAAAGAGGGGTAGTATGTGTTCGTGCGAGAGGGATGACCAAATATTGGATTCGTGGTCAAGACGAGTACGAGCGAGGGATGGGTTCGAGGAAGAGTCCAGCGAGGACCGGCGTACTATTTTGACGGCAACTGTGTGGCTGACTCCAGCACTCGAGGCTGAGGGGGATAGCAAAGGGGTGGCACGACGAATAATGCTGAAGCCCCCGTAGCCGATAATTGCGCCAAGTCTGTATTCGGCAACCTCTGCACCTTCGTCGTCAGGGAAAGTTGTTGGCATGGATGAGATAGATGCGACGGAGGCAACTGGGCTGAAAGCAGAGAGGAACATGGCAGCGGGGGACATGGAACTGTCCATGCTGGCGGGAAGCTCATCATGAATTGGTTCGGGAGCAGAGGCAGCGACCGGGGCAAGGTCTTGTTCAAGAAGTTGTCGAGAAAGAAGCTGGTCGGCATCTTGCTCGTCTGAGTTGTACTGATGATGATGATGAGCGAAGGGGTGTGGATGCACTGCGTCTTCATCTTTGTGCTCGAGCTGTGTGCTGTCCGTGAAGATCCAGGGTATACTCGAACGAGCAGACGATGAATGAGAAGTCGGCGTGTGGGAAGCTGAAGATGACGACGAGTAGGTTGACGGAGTAGGGCGGCTGTCAATAATAGACTGGGCGAGCATCGACGTGTTCTTTAATGAGCGAAGTCGAAGCTCCTGTACTGATCAGTTAAGCAATCTTTTTGACAAGAGTTCTAGCGTTTCTCGACAATGAGCAGCCTGAGAGAGAGGATATCAGGGATATATGAGCAGAAGCCAAGAGTCGCCAGAGGTGGTGGTAGGAAGCAAGGAGATCTTGGAGCTTGGAGTCGACTCAGCGCAGGAGGAAAGCGACGCGGAACCGACCCCAGGAAATCCCATAATCTGAGCAATTTGTCATCGGACCCGCGAAGGTCCGAAGGTGGCTGTGCTCCGATATAATGAATTTAAACGCCATCCGCCGGAGTTCCGTCTGATCACCCGAGCTGTGGCCCACGAAGTTCGGACCCAAGTAAGTTAGTGGCGGGTCTGCATTTTCTCAAGGGAGAATGTGAACGGGGCTCACCGTCAGCAGGTTGTACAATTATGGACGGTTAAAGCTGTAGTCTTTTCCGACTGATTTTTTCTAATCTTTTATACCACAGGGCCCGTATCGATATGACCTGAATATTTACGACTCGCACCGGTTCAAGCCAACTTGTGGTGGAGAGCCGTGAGAGGCAGAGGTCGATGATGGCGGTTGGGGACAAGGGACAAAGCAATCCGTAGACCGTCGGGGAGAGCGGACTTCTTTATATATGTTGTTGCAACTCACGAAGCATCGGAAGTTCGAGACTGTGGCGTGTTGATGACGTCTTCTTGCGAGAGGGCGAGCTTATGAGACTCAGACTTTGCGCAGATGGAAGAAGCGTAACCGAATGGACCGCAAGCGCTCTTTAGGTTAGGAATGATCAGCGGTATATGTACAGGAATATTCTACGGAAAGCGAATACTTGGTAGGGTTCAGAACCAGCCAGACAAAAATAAGATGTAAATTCGAATACTTGGAAAGTAGAGTCTACTCCGGGATGAGAGGGCGTATGGCAAGATGTGTATACGATGGAGCGACAATACGGTGCTGCGGGAGAAAATATATACAAGTACCACGGGATGGTAACTACACTACTAAATCGTCGAACGGTGAAGTTCCATGAGCACGCAATAAAACGTTCATCCACTCCACATATCTTCTCTCCCTCTCCATACGCTCCTGGCACTTTCTTAAGGTGTCGGGCCGCGTATACCCTGAAAGATATATTTTCTCGTCCTTCTGATGCCTCTCATGAATAGCCTGCATCGTTTGTCGAAGTATGGCCAGCCTTTGACCTCTCCAACTGTCCATAACAACCCTTGTCTCCATCCAAAATTTTTCAAACAAGTCCCAATACCGACCCAGCTCTGACTCATTAGAGATCCCCAAACATGGAAACAAGAACGCCGCCAACAGCGCATGCTGCCTCGCAACTTCGATCAGCGGGGGCGGAAAAGGGGAGTTGAAGCGGCAGGCCGGTAGCCCTACGACTTGTGAAGGATGTTCGTAGTAGGTCCGTTCATGAGGTAAAACGAGCGACTCGAGGTTCGGGAAGGACGTGACCTGGGCCCAATCGTCAGAGCGGAGACTGGGGACGACGTCGTCGAGAGCCGGCTTAGATAGCTCGTAGAAATTCTCGGCAAAAGGCAAGGGTGCACGCCTTGGCTTTTGCTGCATTTCGCATCGTTCGAACTCCAACCATTCCGGTGAGGTCCAAAAAGATGGATCCTCCACAGGATATGCGTCGCCGGCAGCAATAGACTCACTCGAACCGGGGGGTGTCGCTGTCGCATCGGCAAGTGCAGCCTCAATCGAAGCCACGTCGTCGAAATCGCTAGCCTCTGAAGATATCGGTGGGGAAGCGAGGGAGTCCAACGTCTGGGGAGTTGGGTAGTCAAGATGGGCATGGTCAACGGAGGTGGTGTCGTGGTCCGCGACAGCACTACTCGAGCCGAGCAAAGCTAGCAGTACCGCTGTGGCATCAATAGGCGCAGCGTCAGTCGAAGCCACGCTGCCATCGTCACCAGCCTGTAAAGATATCGGCGGGGAAGCAACGAAATTCGACGTCGGAGGAATTGGATCAAGATGGGCATCGTCGGCGCAGGTCGTGTCATGGTCTGCCACAGTGCTACCAGGGGTCGAAGGCCCGAGGCTGGGTTCTCCAGTGGATTCGCGCTGAGACATCTCTAAATGATCGTGAGATAGGTCTTGTTGAGGCTGAGGAGATTCTAGATCTAGAGACGGAGCCAAAGGGAAATGCAAAACAGCAGGAGAGGGGGCAGGAGAGGGAAGAGGGCTTGGGAGCGAGTCGGCGTTGATGACGTGACGTGCGAGAGGCGAAGGCCGCTTAGGGGCCTGCTTATGCTGGAAGTAACTCTGGAATTGCTGGTGGTGATTACGCTTCTGTTGAACTCGATGACGGGCGATAACTGGTATGACGCCTTTATGCCGGACCCGAGGTTTCTGCGCCTGGGGCAGGCGAAGCTGGGAGCTGGAACGGACAAGGGGGATATTGGCGGGGCGGCGGTTATGTGGAGGAGCTGATTGTCTAGTCGCAAGATTCTGTATGGGAGAGTCTAAGGAAATCGATGGGTGGGGAGAACGTGCAGACGACGCCTGAGGTCGCTTTTGTACTGAAGACGACTTAGGATCGGCCGATTCCGGTGACACGGCAACAGGGGTCGGTGCGCTTTGTGCCTTTATGAGCGAAGATCATAGATGACACCCAAGTCAGTGCGGGAACAACAGCGCTTGGAAAGAAAGGGAACAATAAAAAGAGGCGGGACGAACCTGACGAATGCTTTGACCTTTCGAAGCCTCCACATTACTTATCCGCAGCGAGACCCCTCGCGACAACACGGCGGCCTTCTTGAGTTCAGCACTTGAATCCCTCTTCTCTTGTGCCTACCCATTGCAGGGCCCAAGCGTCAGATCGCGATACGGACAAGAAAGGGACAAATAGACGCACATCCTCAGGCTGAGAGGGTAAGGCTTTCCCCTGGTTCCCTTTCGTCATCTTTCGCGGCCGGTCTTCGTCCTCCGGACTGGCAGGCGATGGGTATGATTTCGAAGGGGAGTGGGCAGTCGGTTCGTTGTTGTCGAGCACGATGGGGTCGGTCCTGCTACGTCCTTGATGATCATCCTGAGATGCCTTCCGCTTCCTACCGCCGTTATCTGTCGATACATCTGGCGAGCCCCCAGAAGAGGGAAGAGTGCGAGTGATTCGCAACGACGACGGTCGAGGTCGAGAAAGCTGGTGTGGTGATGGTCCAGGCAGATAGCCCTTCACACTGGCAAGCCATTCCGGTGAGGCCCACCGCCCAGCCTTGACCCATGCCTCCAGCTTTGGCTGGAATAGCTCGAATATCTTGATGAACTCGCTCCAATTCCTGGTCGCCAGACCTTCCTGGTATCGCTGAGCACAGTATTTAGACACGATGGACCAAAACAACGATATATGTCTGAAGTGCGGGTGTTCCCATGAAGGCAAGGGAGGGAGAAAATCTGCCCATTTATCCGTTTCACAGGCTTTGAGAAGGGTGACGAAGAATGCGGTGTCCGGAGCAGAAGTCAGAGTTGTTGTTGATGGGGCAGCGATAGGGACGGTAGGGGGAGATTGAAGGATTTGCGAATGAGATGGTTGTCCAGCTCCTCGAGGAGGTTGGCCGTTGAGCGAAAGCACATTCATGAGTGTATTTAACACGGATGAGTACACTGTATGGCTGGGTAAAGGCTGAAGCCGGGGATAGAGCAGATGGGGGTGAATCGAGACGGAAGGGGCAGAAGTGTGTCGCGGAGAGGAGCAGGGCCCAGCGCGTGTCAAAGGTCCATGCACCGGGTTTGCCACGAGGCGAGGCACGGTCCTGGGGTCCATTGGATATTGTGTTCCGCTTTCGGAGTGCCTGCTCATTGTTCTCCTTCGGGAGTAACCGAGCACGCCTGTTTGAGAAAGGCAACCTGATACAAAACGACACACGCGTTCGCCACTTGTCGATATCAGTCCCGTGAAGTTTTTCCGCCATTATACATTGAGAAATATAGAACACACTGACCCCAATCTGTAGCGCCGTCGTCTTCATGTTGCTCGTCACGACCGTTATCAAGGATTGTCTGCGCATTGGCCGCACTGTTGATATGGCCCAAGCACGCACTGTGCCGCTGGAGAGAGCAGATGTCTGCCCATCACTGTTGTATAGTGATGAAAAAAAAAGGTAGATGCGCTAAGTATGTCCTGCGCGATCAAGTTACGGAGGCGAGTACTTAGACAGAGCAATCATCAGTGACTCGGAATTGTGGCCCGAGGCGCCACACACGGCGATGGTTGTTTGCGCTTGTTAGGATCCGACGACGTCGGCCCTAAGTTTGAGCCTTTCATCAAAGCGCCAATCTTCCATGACCAAACCACAAGCCAAACCCCGATGGAATAGTCACACATCTTTCATTGCCTTCATGTCCATTCTGTTTCCTTCTCCGAGATGAGGAGTACCAAGCATCTGATTTTCTTGTCATATTGACCTCACCCTTCGGGCGTTGACTAACACAGCGCCGTGAGTGCGTTTGGTACCTGAGGCTGTCAAGCGCTGTGCCTCGCTGTGCATGGCATTTTCGTGTGGACATGTTACTCGCGCTCACGCCGACGGCGTTAATATAGCTTTCGTCACCTGCTGTAGCACTCAAGAGCTGCGAATACCCTGTTTATGTACTGTATCTTCGAGAGAATCGATAATATACTCTTCCCCTGGACCTATAGTGAATAAACGTACATATAAGCACCTATTTGACCTATTGTTTTCGTGCCGAGTAGAAATGCAAGCAGAAAGCAGGCTTATAACGAGCGTCCTCCATCTCTCTCCCGAATCCGGCCTGAAGCTCCGAAGTGAGGCCGTCAGCGACCAACTCTGCAGATAAGGGTCCTGTCATTGCGCCTACGACTGAAGTTTTCATGACCTTCGCAAGCGGTGCAAGAGGGTCTTCTGCAGGTCGAGGTTGAGGTCAGTATACACGAGAAGTCTGATGGCTGGACTGTGGTAATGACCTACCCTGGCTGGTTTCATAGAAAGGAAGATCAACCCTGAGAGAAGAGAGATCGACAAGAGATCGACTCTCTTTCAAGATTGCCTCCAGATTTTCCCCAATACAGGGGTCGCAAGCCCTCGATCTCATATATCGGTCTGTGATGCGGAACAGTTCCTCGTGGCAAGGCCCACTATTTCTGCAATTTAAAAGGCAAATATCTTCAATGACGAGCCAACCGCCAGGTTTGAGAAGCGCGATGATTCGAGGGAGGATATCATGTACGTTGGGCACCTAAACGTATGTTAGGCTTATAACATCGAAGAATGGAATAGCATAAGGACGCACGTAGAACAATACAAGCCTTAGGTGGATAAGGTCGAAAGACTGGGACTCGAATGGCAGAGGCTCAAAAATATTCGCTCTCTGAAAAGTGAGATTTGAGGGCAGAGGCCTATATCGTAACGATTAACAAAGGTGCGTTGTCTTAGGTCTGATACATACCTCGGCGGGAGAGGACTCGCATCTACAGCTTGTACATCGGCATGCGGGTATGTCTTCGCGGCTTGTATCGCCCTATGACACTCAGTGAGCTTTGGTCCTAAGCTTTAGATTCGAAAAGTGGAGTTTACCAAGCACCAGATCCACAGCTAACCATTAGATGAGTTTGGCTGTTTTTCTCGTAGAATAGTCCACGTCACATACCCAAGTTCCAATATCCTATCCGGGCGTCCGAAGTTCGCGAGGGAGAGACGGTTCCCAAGATACTCGTTGATTCCGGCATGCATCTCATCGAGTCTGATACCAGTAACTGTGAGTCTCCCACAACGCAAGGCGAGGCAAGGCGCAAAACGAGGAGCAACGTACCTCTTCCACTCGTCATCGCCTCCCTGATGATGGTTTACTCGAAGATTAGCCTTCGACACGTACTGGTGGTAATCATGATAGGCACGCACCTGTGGAAGTAGGTACAAACCAGAAACTCCTGACTCTACGGAAGTCATGATATGGTAACCACTGGCGAGCGATTCAAGGTAACGTCGCGGTATCGTGCTGCCTAAGGCTACGATATAGGTTCAAGCAGGGAGCAGCAATCGATGGGGGGAGTGCAAGGTACGGGCTCACCAAGCATCCAGACGGTTTATCTACACGACTCGACAAGAATAGGGGAATCGTTGATGAAATCAATCAATGTTACTCAATGAAAGGTTTCACGTCCACGGGGCACCCTTCATGCGCGCAGGTACGGAAAAGGCTCAAACTGGGGGCGAGGGCCCGTGAAGACCGTGAACTGAGACGGATTTCTTTTCGGTTGGAGGTTCATTTTGGTCATGCTGTGCGCGATGTGGCCATGCTGAAGATGTGGTGATTACATCAAGAGCGACCATATAATCAGCATGCCCTCAAATTTCAACATGCTTTGCACTGCTCACCTTAAGATCAGAACGTTACAACTCAGCATGAAGTCATTGTGATTTCGTAGCTTTCGCGCAGCGCAGTACGCGGTATCATAGGACGTCCACTACTTCCATTGGGTACGTCACCCGCCGAAGATCAGCGCCCACGAGTACGTCTCAGGACCCAACAGGTTTAGCGTAGTATAGGAGATAAACACGACAGACTCCAAAGAGATACACAGGACCTCCAAATGGAAGCATCCAGAAAAACATGTGAAATTGATAGAGAAACTCGCCTACAAGGAACTCTACGCCCTCGCTCTGCTGGCACCTTCAGCTACATCTTTCTTGTTCTGGTCTTCCGTTGCCTTCGTCTCCGCCAACAGCCTTCTCCGTTTCGCTTCCTTCACCTTCGCCTCGGCTTGTGCCCTCTTCTTCGCCTCGCGCTTCTTCCTTCTTCTCTCCTTTAGCGGGTCCACAACTACACTCCTCTCGTCGAACTTACCAACCCTAACGATGAGGAACACGTTCCCATACGCACAAGCTATCTGTGGCTCATTTCCATGCGCCACATACTTACTGTCCAACTTCGTATGCGATGTTGGGACTGCCCAGATCACCTCATCCTCGACATCGACGTACTTGCTGTTCGAGGTTATGACGATGGCTCCATATTGCTATCGCAGCCTGGTCTGACCCTCCACGTGATACATGTGGTCGCCAAACTTTAGAACGTAATCAAGCGTCGTTCCACCACTGTATGCCCTTTCGTCAGAGTAGAGGAGATGAAGTCGCGCTGGGAGAGAGAGGGAAGTACAGGTACGGAGTATGACGGCGTCGGATCCCTTGAGGAGTTTATAGACATGTTCTAGGGAGTCTTTGATAGGGTATTCGTGCTGCAATCCAAAGCCGAGGGCGCCGCCGTGAGGAAGGAACTCCGGATTGTTGAGTAGATCCTCAAATGTCGAGCGGAAAGGCTGCTCTCCGGACGACATGACGGGTGCGAGAGACGTGCGAGTGGCGATACCGGGCTGAGATTCTCCAGAATCGATCTCGATGTCGCCAAAGTAGAGATTATAGGTGAGCGTGACCCGATGACCTGAGGTGATGGGGGTGATTTCATGCTCGACGTCGCTGAATAATGTGATGAAGGCGATCTAAGGGTCTGGATGAGAGAGACAAGCATCCGCAGAGTCAAACGTCCACTCTTCGTCGTTGTGGCGCGTGATGAGGGAGCCTCTCTCGTGAGGCATTGGGAATACTATAACGAGAGAACCGAACATGGTCTCACTGGGAGGCGTATCCTTGTGAGCTTTGAAGAAAGAGCCCTCGCCTGCGATTCAAAGTAGGCTTGCTAGGCTTGAGCTTGGAAGAGCTTGTGTGGCACTTACCATAGACATTGAGCTTATAGAGCTCGAGCGCTACAGGGTGAGTAGAATCCGGGCCGTCGAGAAGCTGAGTGCTAATAGCGTCAATAAGGCCGGTACGCTCGGGGATTATCGACGTCGCGAAGGACGTCGTGTCCATCTTGCCCGCCTTGCGATAGGTCTCGTCCAAAACGTGTTCTTGATTCCGTCCAAACGTGGCCGGCTCGCAGGCATCACCGAGATTCTGCAGCTCCTCGGGCGATGCGCTCGCAAGGTTTACGGAGCTAACAAATGTGCCATGGGTAAATGATGTGAATGATCAGCAACTTAAGGGAGAAACAGTGGGATAGTCTTCGTACCAAGCTGTGCGCGAAACATCTCGAGACTCGTATGTAGAAGAGCTTGAAGTGGCCGGACGACAAAGCCAGTGTACCGGCAGTGTAGGGAGGCTGGCTAGGGAGTGCTTCACAGAGAGCCTTGGCCCCTTTTTCGCTGGCAGTCGTTTTCGCTTTCTTGGCTCTTGGTGGCATGTCAAGTTTCCGTAATCAGGAAACGAAGATGTAGGGGGCTGTTGTAAGGGAGGGGCAGGCCGATCGTCTGAAGGTCTGAACCAAAGCAGAGGAAGACCCTTTATATGTAGTTCCGAACAAAAGCGAGAGTAGCCCCTAACATTGACACGGCAGGTCGAACAATGGCGAAAAAAAATCGAGTCACGAATCACGATGCCATACGCCGATCAAGGCTCGGAAAATTTTTCATCTCGAGCAGTACCGTCTGTAGCCGGAATAAGCCAGTAACGTGGTTGGAAGCAAAGCCTGATTGAGCCACCTCATTATGAGATCTAACTCGGATGGGAAAGTGCTCGATGCGGAAGAAAAGAAAAGAGTCAGACGTCACGCTGAACGCTGGCTCGGGAAATTCCGGCGGTCTTTGACCAGTGTCACGACCTCGGTGGCGAGCGGTGGTTGGTGTCAACGAGGAGTTGCCACATCAGTTCGCCAACAACATCTCCGAGCTGAGCTTCAATTTCAACAGGAATCTACTACTCCCAAGATGTCAGACGGTATGGCATTCAAACCTGAATAGCCTTCAAGGAGCTAAACAGTATCTCAATGATGGTTGACAGATCCTGTGCAGTCTCAATCATCGATATCGCAGAGCGGCCTTGATGCAGTTCATCAACACGCCGAGCCTATCTCGAGCAACTTGAACCACGAGCCGTCAGAGCCTGAGGTGGTCAACACGGAGTCGAGAGGGATTGGACCCCAAGCCGCCGATGTCGAAGACCCGACATCGAGTCCCCCTGCGGACGACGATGCGCCGTCGGACAGTGGATCGGAAGCCTCGTACCACACCGCAGAAGAGGAAGATTCCATAGACGTTCCCGACGATGATCATGCCAGCCAGCATAGCACAGAGAGCTACGATTCATGGACATGGTTTGATCAATTCCGCAGCCCAGAGAGAGGGAAGAACCGGTGGTACGTCGTCCTCGTTGGACGAGAAACGGGCGTGTTCAAAAATTAGTGAGGGCCTCTGTTTCGATTGACTACAACAGAAGAGATAGAGCTATGCTTGTACTGGCTGCTCATTTGCCTCTCACGACCATAGTCATGCACTTGTCACTGGTTATCCAGGAGCAGTCTTCAGGAAAGTGCGTGGAAAAGAGAAAGCTGAGGAGCTGTACCGTATCGGGATGGCTTCGTTGCGGGCAGCTGCAGAGAGAGAGAAGGCTCGAGAAGAGTTTCTGGATGTATTCTGACAAGGCACTGTGGTTCGAAGGCTACTAGCGCTCCAACACGTATGTCGAATGTATATTTTATAACACCGTGATCAACAAGTCTAAACGTATCATCCACAATAAAAACGGTATATGCTTGGGTGTGAGCAGCTATACCATACTCGACGGCTCAGTCTTCTCCACTTTCGTTACTGGCTCCTTCTCCGTGCTCTCCCTCGACCCTCCACTGTCCACCGCCACATCCTGTTTCTGTTCCGCCGCCGCCTTCTGCTTCTCCCTCTCCATCACAACCTTCTTCCTCCACTCCGTCCCACCCTCATACCCAAACCACGTATACCTCTCCACATGCGGCCCCCTCATAAACAACACAATCAACTGGAAGCCCGTCCACCCAAGCGAAAGTCCAGCCGCCGCCCTCCACCCATTCGCAACGAACACCTTCGTGCCCACCGCAGTCCCCATAACCTGCCCGATGAAAATCGACAGAATAAGGACGGCGTTCAGCCTCGAACGCGCGGACTCCGAGATCGCGAAGACGGCGGTGGTGAGCGAGACCTGTTGCATTTGGCGGGCGACGTCAAGTCCGAAACAGACGATGACGGGGACGGCGACGTTTAGGCCTGCTCCGCCGGTGTTGACGCCTTGCATGACGAGGCAGGCGAAGGTGGCGATTAGGGTGGCGTACCAGGGAACTAAGCGATCGACGAGCCGTCCGACGAAGGGAGAGGTTATGACACCGAGCATGCCTACGAGACCAAAGAGACCGATGACGAGCCTAATCTCCGCGGTACATTAGTGGGGATTCAGACAGAAAACGGATAGTGAGGGGGGAAACGTACGTCGAGTAGTTGTAAGGAGGTCCACCAAGCAAGAACGTCAAAGTGACCCAGAAATTCGCGAAACAAGCACTCGATGCAAGACTGATGAAGCCCGCCTGAATCAACCTCGGCTCCGTCACCGCCAACTTCGCCATACTCCACAAGATGCTGAAATAATGCAAGTCCTTATTCTTCGCCGGATAATCGGGCAATGTCGCCCATACCATCGCCAGCACGAGGGCCTGCACACCGATGGCCATGTAGTACACGATCCGCCAGGTGACGAACTCGGCTATGACACCGGCGATGACTCGGGCGATGAGGATACCGAGGAGAAGACCGGCTAGGACGATGGAGATTGCTGAGGCGCGGCGGTGGGGTGGGGCGAGGTCGGCGGCGAGAGGAATAAGGATTTGAGGGGCGACAGAGAAAGCGCCGACGAGGAAGGAGAGGGCCTCGAAGACTTCGAGGGAGCGCGTGATGGCGAGGCCGATTGAGAGGGTGGTGGAGAGGAAGATAATCAGGAGTAGGAGAGGTCGACGACGAACGAGATCCCCGAGGGGGGAGATCAGGAGAAGACCTGTTGCGTAGCCTGCTTGTACGAGTGTGGGGACTCTGGAGACAGGGACATCAGTAGGTGTGAAATGCTATTATTTGAAGAATATTTACCTGGAGACTTCGTCATACGACACATCGAATGAATCTGCTAACTGGACTGTAAGGAATGAAGGTCAGCCAGAATACATACGTGGAAGAGGGTGATCGCCAGAAAATGGACGTGATTGTGAATTATGAACGTTGACTCTCATTAAGCCTGCATAGATATGTTCTACATGTCATACACAACTCTGATGGCCTAGCGTCACCGCAGTCTGCGCGAGGGTAAAGTATGCGCACGGCTGGTCACGACCATTCAAGATTGTACGCAGTATCCAAGTTTCAACGACACGTCAAGGAAAGCACAAAATTATGTCTCTCGGGAAAGTCAAGTGGGGAAAGCAGGGTCAAGGCGCTCCTGACGGGAGGGCGAACGGCAGTCCATGCCTAATATTGGCAGATGTATATCGTGAACACGATTGTTAGAGACTGACCAAAAATATAATGACACCACTTCAACTGGATCACGGAGGTTGGGGTGGGGTATCATGAGATCAAGCCTGAACTCCTCTGGGCAAGGAAAATGACATCGCTGCGATCGGAACGGAGCACAACAGCTTGACGAGAGCGTCTGTTGGATGATGGGCGAGGCGGACAAGACAACAGGACAGAATTCAAAACGCTCTGTCTACCGCTACTTGAGAAGAGAGTGAAGGACCCAGGCTACACACGCCTAAACCTCGAACACTTCCACGACTTCGGGGGGAAATAATGGGTAGAGCACTCACTCAATAACGGTTGACAGTAGTACAAGTTCGCAACAACTGTTTCACATCCCGTGCATCAGCATGGAACCAACTCCGAAATATCAAGAAACACGCACTGAAAGTACTCGCAAAACCAAAGACCGCGTTCAGCAACAGGCCAAAGTGCGCCGGTTTCTCCGAATCGTATCTCAACCTAGGCGGTATAGGTACGACGAAGAAGTCAAACTTGCCCCCAACTTCCCTTATCGGTCCCTCAACATTCTCCTTTTTCTCCTCGCTGGCTACCGCGGTATTCAGCCTTGTATCGTCCGAGGCGGGATGTGAGGCGTCCAAAGTCGTCATCCGAGACATGGGTACGGGCTCTGCGTTAGCATGTCCTTCATCGATGATTGATCCATTCGTCGTGCTCATCATAGCTAGGGCGTCTCGTCAGAGGCAGTACGAGAGCGCTGGAAGAGATGGGAGGGATGAAGAGCTGCCCCATCTGCGTAGGGCAAAAGCTCATGTATGTTTTATTTCGAGAGATGGCGGAACGGATTCCGTCGAGTCTCACGAAGTGGGTCACGCCCGAAACGGGTCACTTCTGCACCTTTTTTGTCCTTTCTGATGCAGTTCACGGTGAAAAGACATTTTTAGGGGCAGATATGTGCACGGCATCGTCGGATGGAATGCGGCGGCCGTTGACATCCTCCCTAGTGTAGCGTTCAATTCGCAAATCTTCGCGGTGTATAGCGCTCAGGCTCGAAGACGAAGCAGTTAGCCTCCTCGTTCAAAGCTCTTCGCTTCGATAACTTCTCGTATCAATCACAGTCTACGATTTGTCTACGATTGTACCCGTGGAGGTCGCTTTTTTTCCCTGACTATATATACAGCACCGTGACCCATGGCGGGGAGTATATAATCTGCCAAGCAATGAGAATTAGAGAGTTCTCAAGACATTATAGACATGGGTGGTACGAGTACGATAATGTCCGAACATCAATCCCAACACGACCCTCGCTTTTCCACCAGCAGACCACAGAGAAACGATCGCCCACCACACGTCAATCAACACGAAAGTTTGAGAGCTTCACAAACGCCCAAACGCACATCGCCCCCTACGCCCCCTATCCCCTCAACCCACTAATTTGCATTAGCAAAGACAATCTGTAGCCGAAAGTGCAGCCCTTAGACGTAGGTGAGCCCCAAGAATTGGACATTCGCGTCCGTATAATCGACAGAGGAGTCGCCGTTGATGGAGAGGCAGCTCACTCGGGCGGTACCTAATTGGGCACGAAGATGGGAACGACAATGTTAGTGCTTTGATCTTGAGGAGATAAACGGGACGGTGGAGGGAAGAATGAAGATGTGCGGGGAGATTATATGAGGGTACGTGAAGTACGAAAGGGAGTATGCACCCCATGCAGCATTCCTCACCACAGCAGATGGAAGAATGTGGAGGAATAAGAGACGATATAAGACAGTGGGGGAATGTCATACCTGCGCCGTCATACCCATCGCTACAGGTCACGTATGAGTTGCCCGTATTCCCAACGACAGTGGTACAAGTTTCGTCCCACGATCGACAGAATATGTCAGTACTCTCGCCGTCGGGCGTCTATAACCCCCGGAAAGACGTCAATTAGAGGAACGTGAGTAACTCAGTGGAGGAATGTAGGTTGAGAAGTACGCACGTAGACTTCGCGAGTGACATCGGCGGCGTGAACGAACGCGACGGCGGAGAGGGTGATGGTGAGAATGGAGCGGAAGAACATGGTACTTGAAAGAAAACCTTGTTGACTTGATGGACTCGGTGTGGTTAAGATTGAAGAAGGAAGGTAGCAGATATACCGCCATTTTATACCCTCGCGCACATCATTAACAACACTCCCCAGGTGACGCAGAGCCTGACATTCGACGGAGACGGTTGACCGTGGGCGGGAAAGGTGGAATGTATTGAGCACAGGTTAGACGTAATGTTCAGCATATGGTTTCAGAGTATCCTCATTAGTGGGCAGAAACAAGCGGAAGTACTCGAGGTGGACACGGGCCCAGGCAAGGTCCAGGAAACAACCTTTGGATTATTGAGCGTGCGGGGGGTGATCACCGTCAGATGCTTGGCAGAGCAGAGTTACGGGCAGCCTGTGAAGATACTGTGCGGCAAGGCACGGTGAAGTGAAACGAGTAGCAAGCTGAAAGCAAAGTCAGGGAGAGAGCTCGTCCCGTCTGACTGAGGCTAGAGAAGAGCTGCTTAGAGCAGGAAGAGGTCGGTGTTTGGTGCCACATTGACGACACCCAACTGCGTTCGTCCGGCCTTGGAAAGCATTCACTGTTTTCGGTGAGATCGGTGTACATAATCCGATAATTTCAGTCCATTGATAGGTACTGAACCATAGTTGTGACTGACAGTAGTGAGAGGGAGAGGAACACGCTGCCGATGCGCGGTGTGATGGAGAGTTGATGGAGAGCGTTAAAAATGGGACCATGTCGGACAAAGCCGCTCAAAGAAAATGCGGCACGGGCGCTTATTGTGTCGCGCAGATGTTCTGTCCCACGCGAAGGCGGTGGCCGATGTCAACCTTGCCTAAATCTCTCTATCCCTGGACCCCTCATGGCCGGGCAATCGCAGTCGGGTCATTTATGCCAACGTAGCATAAGTGTCACTGAGTATCAAAATATTGTACATAAGATCAGAGGAAGATCAGAGGAAGAAAAATCAGGTGGGTACAAAATCAACACCAGTCACGCGGCTACGGTCTTAAACAAGAGCCCCCTCTGCAAAATAAATCTTGCGTGGCTCGGTATCCAGATCTCTCTCAGCTCTACCCTTTAAATAGGATGGATCAGCGACAAATTTCCCGCAAATTCAATCGCCTCCTTCCTATAATCATCCGTCTGTATCTTCATTGGGAATAATGCATTGTCCTGGAAGACCAGCGCCTTCGGATTCGTGACTTCGTAATTGGGCCAAGGGATCCCAAGGCCGACACGCCCGTTCGGGTCGAGGTTGACTGTGAAACGGATGATGTAGTCTCTCATTTCGCCTGTACCAAAACTGTTGGAGAGGTCGTGGCCATGGTACTATAAGGACAGATAAAAGGATCGTTAGGTCAGGGATGGTGGTGATTGCGTACATACATAGGGGAAGTAGAGGAAAGAGACAAAGCGCGAGGCTCGGCGCTCAAGTTGAAGGGGCAGAGGGTATAAGAATACGAACCGATCCAATGTACGGGACCCACTTGCTCCTCTTGCTCACTGTATGGGTCGCGCATACCCATCAGTCAGCCACATGAAGGAACATCAGCGTTAGGATAGTTACGGAAAGACCAAGCTTTCTCCTTCCTCGCCAGGTTGAAGTTCAACATCATCCTCCTAGGTCCATGAAACACGATGTCTCCTTGGATAGCAGCGATGCGCTTGAATTGCGGTCCTAAATTATTTCTGAAGCCCGTATCGAAGGGGCATCCGGCGGGCGGAAAAGAAGGATAGTGGAGCAGTACGAGGTCGAGCTCATGGTCCGTCGCCTCCGGCGCCATGTAGTCGTGAAGAAAGTCGCGTAGATGTACGTCGGTGCTATCAATACAAGCTATCATCAATACGTGGTGATAATGTGACTGTAAAAATGATTGAAGATGTATAAAAACGTGCGCACGAGAGGTTGGAGCTGCGGACGGAGAACATTGAACCTGAGATTGCGTCAGATTGGTATAACAGGTCTCGCGAACAATACAGTGTATCTTCCTCACCTTCATCATCGCAATTACCTTGGAAAGCAAAGTAGTTAGTCACACAGAAAGAGCAATCAAGCCAAAGCATAACGTGCCTGTGATAAAGGGTACATCGGCTACTCTGTCCCCCAAGACCGAGTGCTGAGGCGGCTCCACCAAGACGCGTCCATCGACCCTCGGAAGCCACGCCAGCACTAATCCCTAGTATCATCCAAAGTCGAAAGTTCATCAACACATACCCTCCAGACACGTGCCATAACTTCATCATAAACATACATACCTGAAAAGCAAAGATATCTGGACTCTCATCTATAGCCCCTTTCAACTTCGAGTACGGTACCCGCCTCAAGCAATCCAGCGTATCCGTCGCGTCTTCACATCCCGTCTTCTTGACCACATCGTCGTAATATATTTGACCGTGCTCGATGTCGCCGACCGGAATGGGACCTCCGCTTTGCATGATTCCGCCACGGAAGAGGCCTTCGTTGTCGCCACCGTTCATAATCATCTGGAGTGATACAGAGATTGCACCGGCGGATTGTCCCCAGCTGTGTGCATATGAGAAATTAGTTTGGGATTCTAAGGTACGAAAATCACGTCGCGGTCTGGAAGTATGGAGCGAAGGGAGGAAAGGATGGAAGAATGTCTGTGCGCACATTGTTACTTTCTTCGGGTCGCCACCAAAGGCGCTAATGTATTTCTGAACCCAGCGAAGAGCGAGGCGTTCTGGGCACATGAAATGCATATATACAGCAGTTCATCTGGATGACAGGAAAGGAAATAGGTCTTACGATCTTCAAGACCAAGGTTACCGACACCAGCAGCTATATTGTGGTAAAACAATGAGTTTTCAATGTGACGTGATAGCAGTAACACCAGCACCACGAACCTTTAACTTCCTTGCTTGCCATGAAACCAAATCCTATAAAAGGATAGTTAGTTCAAATGTTCTTCGTAGCTGCAGCCTATACGCCTTGAGTACGTACCATTGACACTGTTGAATATTGACCATCAGGCATATGAAGTCAAAATAAACGTTCACGAGTAAACATACCGATAGTTCATGCTAACAAAGATGATCGGCGTCTCAAATTTGGTGGCACGACTGACAATGGAACTTCCATTATATCTGCATGATTGGTGGAAGCCGTCCCATGAGCGATCACGCATGGAGGAGGATACAATAGATGACGCTGTCACTTACGAAGCTGTCCCTCCAAATTCGAAAGCGCCTGCATACAACATGATCAGTATTCAATGCTATCTCCAGACATGCCCACTATGGGCATGGCGATCATCATCCCTCACCTCCATAAATCCACTACATTTCAGGCATCCCATTAGACGAACGGTTCGTGTGTGATACTTCAGAGAATCTGTTCTCTACATACCACCAGTACGGGCAGATTCGCTGTCGTACCCGCATTCAGAGGCGTCACAACGTTGATGGTAAGACCTGCACACAACGTCGGAGGAGCATCCGGTAAATCAACTGGTAAGATGACCTCACTGGTTAAGAAGGTGACCTACAATCTTCATTCTCGGGCACATCCTTCTCATACATCGGATCGACAGCACTATCCAAGTTCTTTGCCAAGTTTGGGTCCTTCTTTCCCGGTATTTTTATACGCTGTTGTGGACAAGAAAACCCCCATTCGGTGGCGTTGTGATCACCCACATATTTGCCCACGGGTTTCGGGGGTCTGAACCTGAGATCCTCGACTCTGTTGTAAGATGAATGCTATATAAATGTGCCATGGGCAACAACAGATATAGAAGACGGGGACAACGGGGACGTACGGCGGCTCGGCATACGGAATGCCCAGGAACTGGGCGGTATCGTAGTAGATCTCTCCTGTGAACGTTGCATCGTCTAGGTGAACTGTGGGGGTTGGTACGGCATCCCAAGCGTGCTTGTTGACGGTCAGAGGCGTCTGAGGTGTAGCAAAGACGGCTGTGATACCCAAAAGCGCTATGAGCGAGCGCATCTTGGGGGCGATTGCGTGTCTGCGTACAATGGAAGATGCCTTCGGGACAGTATGCGAAAAGTCAAGGGGCAGTACTAGTCTTATTAGAGCTGCAAAGAGTTCATTATAATAATTACACATCAGATGTATGAATGAAAAGCTTGCACGGATAAGGACTGCTCGGTAGAGTGAATATTAGAGTCGTGATACTGAATCTTCCAACTCGGACCCGCCGTGCATGAAGTGCTGATTTCGAGCCGGGGAAGGCGTTCCATGGCCAGTCCGAGTTCAGGTCAATGATGAATGTCTATCATCGAGAAATGCGTTCTTGGCCATTTGGAAGTCACAGGTGTCAATCGAAAGGCTCGAGACTCGATTCTGGACAACATAGCAAGGTGAAAGGTGTAAAAACAGCAAATATCCAGTGTCCCTTCCTGGGTCGTCGGCAATCACCGAGCGTCCACGTGGTCCCAATTTCTCTCCGTTGCAAGCAGAACGCTGCGCATGCAGCAGAACGTTGTTCAGTCACGATCATCTCTTCCCATTGAAACTCACCAGCCAAATACAAGTATACGAGACAGAAGCGAAAATCCCGGCGGGTAAAGTTATCAGCAAAATATGACACGCAAACAGTAGAAGAAAATACTTATGCTCAGAGCAAGCTAAGCCTTTTTTTCGGACGGGATGAGAGGGTGCTCTCCTGACAACTCTCCGAGATATCACAGTTACTAACAACATACATAATTCTCTTCGGTGTCTCCTTTCATTTTCTCAGGCTCCGTTCCTTGACACGGTACTCGGTGTGCATCCACAACTCGGCCGCCGATCGCACCCTGAAAGTGTTCCTCTTCCTGATGACTCGTTGACAACGTCGTGTTCGCTTGAAGAGATGCACCTCCAACTCGCTACAGAGCCGACCTCGTCAGCGTCGCTCCATAAACTCCTCTGCATGACAAAACGTTCACATATCACAAATATAGACGCTCTGAGAATCCTCAAGATCCCCAGGCATCGTATACTTCCAGTTCTATCCGTACGTTCATTTCACGAATGCCCCGATCTCAGGCTGGTGAAGCTCCACTTTTGCATCTTTGATTTTATTCAGAAACTTAGTGATCGACATCCTAGATTTGTTCAACTTACAACCATCCGTTCGCCAAGACGATGTCGTGCGTTCATTTTCTCGTTGTAAGATGTTCGGCTTGTGGAACTTATATTCCTCGTGTCTTCCTACTATGGAAGGCGATTCTGGAGCCTTACACATACCTCGTGCAGGCACCAGGAAAAGATATCCGAACCACGATGATATTGGCTTTCAACAGCTGGCTCAATGTCCCGGGCAGGAAGCTCCTTCTGATTTCCAACGTGGTCAGTACGCTTCATAATGCCAGTCTTCTGTAAGTACCGTCTGGTTTGTAGCGGGCTGTCCTGCTTGCTTACCAATCTCTCTTGTAGGATTGACGACATTGAAGACAGTTCAGATTTGCGTAGAGGACGAACAGGTTCGTAAATGACCATGTCTTTTGTCACGCCGACCGTATTCGGTACCTATTGTCGTGCTCTGATCCGCTTTGAAGCCCTTGAAGTAAACTGATCATTTCTGTTCAATCCAGCTGCACACATCAAATACGGAATACCTAAGACCATAAACGCCGCCTGTTATATATATTTCCTTGCCTATCAGGAACTACTGGAGATACTAAATTATCCGAACACGGATAATCCGATGAATAGCTCTCCTGCACACTCCGACAACATTATTCATCACCCCCAGCATAGTCAGCAGCGGATTTACTCTGATCGAGATCTACCTGGGATTGTGACGGGTAGGCAGCACTCCTCGTGAATCTCTGTGCTCTTTATCTTTCAACATAAATTTTTGATTAGACGAGCTGCTTGATCTTCATCGTGGCCAAGGGATGGAAATGATATGGCGGGACTCTCTTCAATGCCCAACCGAAGCGGAGTATCTTGTTATGATCAGTAATAGTTGAGTCGTGGTCGCTTACCGCTGTTAGTCGTGGTAGCGATTCAAGCTTAACTTAATTCGCGTAGAGACTGGCGGTCTCTTTAGACTCGCGATCAAGCTGTCGATGGCGTACTCTACCACCAACGTAAACGTGTATGTATATCGCACTCAAGTCACCTTTGCATGAGGTGGAGTATCCGAAGTACTATTGACGAGATACAATTTCAGGGATTATATTCCCCTGGTCAACCTGTTGGGCGAGTACTTTCAAGTTCGCGATGATTACATGAATCTAGACAGTTCCAAGGTCCGTCTTCTGGTTCATTTGTCTGCGGCTTAAGTCACGACTAAAGAAACATGCTATAGTACACCGAGAGCAAAGGCTTCGCTGAGGATTTGACGGAGGGAAAATTCTCGCACCCCATCATTCACGGCATTTGCGCGGATGAGTCGGACAGAACACTCATCGGCGCGTACCTCCAGTCTGCTATTCCCGACATTGATACCTTAGTCGCGGCTAACAGTTACGACAGATATCCTTGAGCAACGGCCTACAAGTCCAACACTAAAAGTGCAGGCCATCACCTACCTCAAGTTGCAAACCAAGTCATTCGAATATACGCACGGAGTTCTGCGGAAGTTGGAAAGTGAAATTATGACCACCATAGAACAGCTTGGAGGAAACGAACGCCTGAGTACCCTGCTAGAATCTCTTCGAGTTCCTTCCCTGAATGATTGAAGCAGACATCGTGTTGTTCGCCTTAGCTTCATGTGCGTGAAATACAACTTGAAGAACATTACCTTCCTTGTGACTCCGCAGATATGCCATAAGCGTGTGCTTCGTGAGGTAAAGAATCTTTCTGCTTATCATACTTGGGGTGATAACCTGGAAGTAATGACGTCTCATTTTCGTCCGACTCACCACCTCGACCCTTGCACGCCTGCGAGTCTTCAGCACAGACATCAGTATCCATTGCACGACTCTCGTCATAAAACCTACCCTCGCCAATTCCAGTTGATTTGGTTAATCTGGACGAGATCTCGAACCTGAGTACTTGGCTGAGGCTTGACTGCAGGGTATTCTGATGACGTTTACAATATACATCCTCTGACATCGACTCTCGCAACAAAATGAGGACAATATGCCATATACAGTGACCGCATAAACTTGCAGCTTGCATCCCGACCTACTATCCATAGGTGGGGCAGTGGTACTTATTCATTTATGATTCGAAGATCACGCTATAACATGCTGCACAGCTCTGGGAAGAACATATGTACTTGGGCCCAGCTTAAGCGCAGCATACCAGGACGGTGCATGAGACGGATATGTACTTAAAATAGAGGAGCCTCGTGGATTGGGGGCGTTCGCTGCATAGCACAGCACCACTAACCCTCGCTCCTTGGCTCCTACTCTCTTGAGCATTGTTCTTCTTAACTCCCTCCACAACAACATCTCCCGCAGATGGCCACAGTCGCCTTTTGCTTTTGGATCCTTTGGCGGCATTATCACCGTCATCCAGCTCGCACACTCCATTCTGAACACCCTCAGAAGCAGTGCTTATTCCCCCTACGAACGTGTCGAGCTGGCAAAGGAACTGGAGATTCATACCCAACTCCTTCACGCCATCTATCTTGAGCTTGAAATGGACGCTTTCAGACGAGTAAGTATACAGACTGTATGTACTACATGATACATCGCCGGGATTACAAGGTATGGTAGATACAAACTGAGGGTTAGGTTCCGTAAAACATCCAACCACCGCGAGTAGACAATTCAAAACCAGACTGGAGACGACACTGAAAGAAAGCAAGAAAAATACAAAAACAATCTAGCAAGATTATGTTAAATCTATGACCTCTACAACAGTCGCGTCCGACTTGAACACCTGCAAAAGCATCTCCGCGAACTTGATCTCCCTCATCTTCTTTACCCGACCCCTCACCCCATCTTCTTCAACCTCAGATACGCACTCCCACCAAAAGTCCATCGCTAACCCTCGCCTCTTATGTTCCGGCTTCTCCCAAATCCGTAACACGATCTCCGGAAACTCGATCCACATCGGGTCCTCGTCGAACGATCCCGAGTTCAGCGAGTCTTCGAAGATCGACCAGAAGGCGGAGTCGTCGTTCTGACGCAAAAATTCGACGCCACCGATGAGGTGTGAGTTGGAGGTGGAGGTGAAGGTGGAGGGTCGGATAGTGGTGGGACGTTCGTTCGAGGGGTTGTGTGGGCCGAGACAGGGGATGCAGTAGGTCGAGTGAGGGAGTGAGAAGACGTCGGGGGGAGGGGTGGTGTAGGATACGGGAGGAGGCGTTGCGGAGGAGGAGGATGATTGCTGGGGTTGGACGGATTCACGAGCGGCACGGAGTTCTGGACGGTGTAGTGTATCGCTCCCAGTCGAACCACTACGTACATGCGAAGAATTCGTATGACTCGTCGAACCGCTGGCTACAGGTTGTTGTCCTTGTTGTTGCTGTAGTCCTTGTAGCTGCCGCTGCTGCAGCTGCTTCCGTAATTGTTGTTGCTGTCCCGACCGTTCCTTCGTTTTCTGCGTCTTCTGTATCTGTTGTGAGATATTGCGCACGTTCCCCGGATTAGATGGTCGAGGTCTAGACGTAGGCATAAGATGACGAAGGAAACCACCGTTCCCAGGCTCGTAGTACTGCGTGGCGCCTGATACCTGTTGTTGAGTCTGGTGCGAGACGGTTTGAACGTCTGGTAGACGCGAAGGACCAGCAACAGGCATGGTCGTACTCTGTTGTTCGGAATAGTTCCCGTTCTCGTATGATTGAGGTGAGTAATGCTGCTGTGTGGCATCTGATCCGTGTTGTTGAGTATGGTGCGAGACAGCATGAACGTCCGGTAGACGCGACGATCCAGCAACGGGCATGGACGCGTTCTGCTGATCAAGATAATTCCCGTTCTCGTATGATTGAGGCGCGTAGAACTGCTGTTCGACGTCCGACGCCTGTTGTTGAGTATAGTGCGAGGCGGTATAAACATCCTGCGATGGTCCAGCAACGGGCATGAACGCGCTCTGCTGGTCAGCATAGTTCCCGTACTCGTACGACCCGGACTGTGGCTCGTAGTTCTGTGGCGTGTAGTACTCCGGCGCGATGCTCATCCCCTGCGCATCATAACCCACCATACCGGCGACCTACAAAAAGAGCGAACACGAGCGTCAGACACAAGCGCTAGAAGAACAATGATCAATATGAAGAGATTTAGGGTACGAACCTGAAAGTCCTGCACGCTCTGCGCCACTCCTTGACCCGCTCCCGGCGTCATATTGGTGTACATCGCTGGTGAGCCCTGCCACATCCCCATCCCCATCCCCATCTCCATCATCCCTGTTCCCGTCCCCATCTGCATCTGTGGAACAGATCCCTGCACATATCCCATTCCCATTCCCATCCCTCCCCCATTTCCCATTTGTACCCCCACACCAACTGCACTCGCCATCCCACTCGCCACCTCTCCTCCTCCCCCTCCGCCACGCCCGCCACTCCCCCCAGCCGCGCGCCCAGCCATCCGCTCCCTCATAGCCCTCATACTCGTCTCCATCCACACCAAAAACGGGCTCCAATCCCCCGTAACATCACATTTCGCGAATTCCCTTTCTGGATGGAGCCCGAGTGCGATTTGCCAGAACTTGTGGGCTTGGGTGGCGCCGAGGGTGTCGAGGATGAGTTGGGGGACGGGACGGGGTTGGGCGCGTTGGAATGGTTGAGGTTGTTGTTGTTGAGGATGAGGTGGGTGGGTGGGATGCGTTTGTCTTTGTCCGGGATAAAGGGGATGGGGATGGGGATGGGGAGAGTGACGAGGTGGACTGTGGTGTGGCGTGTGGTGTGGCGTGGGTTGGGATGATGAAGCTCTGGATGTGGATGGACGTGCATATGGGTGAAATGGGGAGGAGGATGAAGAAGAGGGTTGTGTACGATGGACAGAGGACGACGGTCTGTTACTGTTTGGTTTCGAGATGCGTGGCGCGTCCATAGTAGTGGCGTGAACAGTAGTTCGACTTCAACACAAAAGCAAAAGTTATGGAATCACGACTTCAGATGAGTGACAGTCTCGGACTGGGACTCGGACTCGGTGGACGAGATGGAGGATGTAGTTGGAAGAGAGAGAGAAAGACGACGCCATGGCCGACACCTGTCCTCGGCTCATCACGCTCGGACAATCCTCTTTGTCTTCAAAAGAGGGCGGAGTGGCTCAGTGCCGTGCCTTCGTCTTAAGCTTCGGTGGCGGCTTGCGGCACTGCCCCTCCGGATCTGGAAGTATATGTGTGTTGCTTTGTCCCTCTTGGGCTGGAGTACAATGACATCTGTGGGGGGTTGTAGTAGGCAGATAAGTAGGGCCATAGCATAGACATGAAGGGGGGAACGCGTGAGGTCTGAGGTGAGGCTGTTATCTGTGCGCTTGGGCCGTTGACGGGTTGATCAAGGGGGTGGGAGATGATCAACACGCCCTGTTTACACTTACCGTCATACCTATAATATGAGTATACAGAGACGTTTATATGCCTCGTTTGAGATCATACTTATCAGAGAAATGGAGCCCTGCGTCGACTCCCCGGCGCTATCCTGAGCGTCACTGGACATAGAGATGATTTTTTTTTACTTTCGATTCGTTTATCCTTCATTGGAAGAATCGAATTATATAACGGGTCAAATTTTTGGATAGAGAGGAGAAGGCTAGTTGTCGCTCAAGTGGTACGGGTGGTGCGCGGGAAGGGTCAAGTAGGATTTCACTCGCGACTCGCGTTTCGTTCGGCCCCCGGCAAGCACCGGATATCCACCCGCTCTCGTTCCTTCGTCAAGCTCCCTCATATGGCAATACCAGGCATGGTGAGAGATAAATATCATGATACTATCCTCAATAGAAAGGGCCAATATGTCTTTATGAATATTCTGGGGATTTTTGGCGATTTATAGCATGAGTGTATACCGTGAGAAAATACTCGACTCTCCGGCGCGGCAAATGTACAAAGTCGGTGTGGCACCTCTCCGTTACGCTCCTGTTCGTCCAGACAAGAACATATTTACCTTACCCTCTGAGTTAGAGACCTGGAGACCATTTGAGATATCTCTCTGTATGCAAATAAAAGACCCCTGTAGCAAAATTATGTGTGATTTCTCCGTTTCGACAAAATGCCACGAAAAGTTGCCAGGCGCCACACGCTGTCATCGGCTTACGCCGAGCATTATTCCCACACTTGCCTTGTGCACGAAATGATTCCAAAAAGCTACAAAATATTCCACGGTCGTTTCTGACACCTTCAAAAGTGCTACTACGCCCTTAAAATGCTCAGATACTGGACCACCGTCGTGAATAATGGGAAAGGAGCCTCGAAGCCGTCACTAGGACTCTCGGCCAACATCGACAGCCGGCGGTGGCTGTGGCTGATCGCAATCCGCGCAGCGAAATCCTACTTGACCCTTCCCGCGCACCATATACGGGCTAGCATGATGACGGACTCGGAGGAGAGGGGCCACAGCAAGCGTATGTCGCTCGCCACACCGCCGACAACCATCCACGTGTTTATCTATTCCCACCTCCAAAAATTTGAATCTTTGATCTAATCTAAAGCAGTTGCTGGGAGTCATGATGCTCTCAAGTGCCAGCAGCAACACTGTTCATTCCCTTTCCCTCTCACTGGATTCCGGGGTACTGTATATACCGTCGTCCCACGTCTAACTATAAAACCAACCCACAAACTACGCATCCAAAATGTCCTCATCGACATCCGACTTCCCCTACCCCACCAACTTCTTCTCCTCAATGCCCCTACCAGGCCAAGAAAACGGTCCCAACACCTTCAAACCCGTGCTCGACAAGCTCGTCCGCACACCAGAGTACTTCCGACCCGCCGACCTCAAGTCCGCTTTGGACCACATCTTCGAGCCGGGATGCGTCCTGCCTGCTCAAATCGGCGCCTTCCTGATGGCGCTGCATTTGTTGAGAATAGAGCGGAGGCCGGAGATGTTGGCGGCTGCGGCGGATGTGTTGAGGAAGAGGGCGTTGAAGGCTGCGATTGAGGATTGGGATAAGGATTTTGTGGTTGATATTGTGGGGACGGGTGGGGATGGACATAATACGTTCAATGTTAGTACGACGGCGGCTGTCGTTGCTGCTGGTGCTGGCGCACGGGTTATCAAGGTGAGGATCATTTTTATTTGCTGGAATTGTATCCATAGCTCTGGGGAAGCGCAAATGCTACTCCATCCGACGTGGTCTTCTGCCCGTACCAATTTCCGACTAGTCGGAGGTAATCTGTGGCTTGCCACACGAGCTAGATATAGTTACGCCACACGGTGTCGATAGAGCATCTACTCTAGAGGCTCGGTAATGTCGAGATACAGTCATATTCTTGAACATCTTATTTCACCAGCGCGAGACGATACAGCACCCATTTCTGACCACATCCTCCCACAGCACGGCAGTCGCGCCTCGACCTCCTCCTCCGGCTCCGCCGACCTCCTCCAATCCCTGAACTGCCTCTTCGTCCCCCCAACTGTCGACACGCCCATGCCCATCTCCCGCATCCCCTTCACCTTTATCCTCGCCCCGCACTACCACCCCTCCCTGGCCTTCCTCGCACCCTACCGCAAATCCCTCCCCTTCCGCACCATGTTCAACGTCCTCGGCCCGCTCATCAATCCCGCCAATCCACGCGGAATGGTCCTCGGCGTCGCCGAACGCGAACTCGGAATGACCTTCGCACATTCGCTTCAGGACAGTGGAGTCGAGCGTGCGCTCGTCGTCTGTGGTGCGGAGGGATTGGACGAGATCTCGTGTGCGGGGGATACGTACGTTTGGGAGTTGAAGAGCGGCCAGATCAGCGAGACGAGGATTAATCCGACTATGTTCGGGTTGAAGGCGCATTTGTTGGCGGAGGTGGCGGGGGGGACGCCGGAGGAGAATTCGAGGACGTTTAGGGAGCTGTTGAGGTCTGGGAGCGATATTCCGGAGAGGTTGACGGCTGTGTTGGATTTCGTGCTTATGAATGCGTCGGCGCTGCTGGTTGTTGCTGGGGTGGCGAAGGATTATATAGAGGGGACGAAGCTGGCGAGGGAGTCGATTGTTTCGGGGAAGGCGTGGGAGGCATTGGAGACGTTCAGGAAAGAGGGAGAGCGGGTGGCGGACGAGGCGTTCCCTAACAGGGACAGAAGCCTCCCGGTGAAGAATATCTTCTAGAGTAGTGTATTCACAAAATTGTAACGAGTAGAAGAGACAGTGTTCTACGGACTGGTGGAGCCAATTCCTCGGTTCCTCTTGAACTTGGGCACGCCACAGTGGCGTCACGCACGTGGTCCCCAATTTGCGGCGAACCCATTTTCATTTTCCGAAATTTCTTTGCCGAGTCCATTCAATTCAGCCAGTGACTCGACGCTCACCTTCAAAAACGCTCAGGCCTCCATCGAACCCAATTCTTTATCTACCAGCCTACACACTCATCTGCGCTCACATTAAAATCTTGGTTCATACTCTAAAGATGGCAGGCATGGCTTTGAGTGAGCCTCTTACCGCTTTCGTCTGTGGCCCCGATGTCTGACTTACTGACTTTAGGATGGCGGCGATGTTGATGTCTAGATCCTGAAACGCTCGACGGTCGCTTGCTTTTCGCGATTCCGAAAAAAGGTGGGATATCTCAGGATACGAAACAAAAAAAAATGAGATGAGGCTGACGAGGATGTATGTCCAGGCCGGCTGCACGAAAAATGTCTGGAGATACTCTCTGGTACGTTGTACGAGACTTATTCCTTACCGAATGGATTCCTCATACTCGTCCGTGCCCAGGCGCTGATATTCAATTCCGGAGACACAACCGCCTCGACGTCGCCCTCGTCCTAAACCACCCAATCGCACTGTACGTACCCACCACCCATCCCCTCCCTCCTCCGCACCTGACTCACACTCACATCTTGCAAAAAAAAACCCCACACAGCGTCTTCCTCCCCGCCTCCGACATCCCCTCCTTCGTCGGCAAAGGTAACGTCGACCTCGGGATAACAGGCCACGACGTCATCCTCGAATCACAAATGCAAGCCCACGTCACCGAGGCCCTCCGTCTGGGCTTCGGGAAATGCGCCCTACAAGTACAAGTACCTGAAGCGGGCGCGATCCGCACGGTGGAGGATTTGGCGGGGAAGAGGGTCGTGACGAGCTTTGAGGTGCTCGCGGGGGCGTATTTTGGGGAGATCGATAAGAGGCTGGGCTTGGGGTTGGGTGCGGGTGGGGAGGGAGAGAAGACGAAGATTGAGTATGTGGGGGGAAGTGTGGAGGCTGCGTGTTCGTTAGGGCTTGCGGATGGGATCGGTGCGTTGTCTTTCAATTCTTCTGTGTTTCCTTTGTAGTGGGGAAAGGAGACTAATGCTGTCATGTTATGGATACAGTCGATCTCGTCGAGTCAGGCGAGACCATGCGAGCAGCAGGTCTCCATCCCATCGCCACAGTCCTCCAAACCGAAGCCGTCCTCATCAAATCCTCAACACCCAAACACCCCGGCCTCACCCCCCTCATCGACCTCATCACCTCCCGCATCGCCGGCATCATCGCCGCCTCGCGCTTCGTCATCTGCGAATACAACGTCCCGCGTTCGCTGCTGAGCCAGGCTACGGCCGTGACGCCGGGACGGAGGGCGCCGACGATCAGTCCGTTGGAGGATAGCGATTGGGTTGCGGTGAGTGCGATGGTGGAGAAGAAGAAGCAGGCGACGGTGATGGATGAGTTGGTCAGGATTGGGGCGGAGGATATCATGATCTTCAATTTGGATAATTGCAGAGTCTGAGGGTCTCAGCGTTCAGGGCGTGGCGACGAATGTGTGGGGTGAGTATACGCTAGAAGGGAAGCATGTATGAAAATGTAATGTCCGACATAGATGCCTAGGTCTGTCCAGATCTGCTTGTGTGCTCCAACGAACCGCGTGTTTTGAAGTTTCTTTGTTCAGTGTCTCGTTAGAAAGCCAATCATTGTGGGCGACCGGGTAACGTGAACGATGTACTTATACTATCATCGTGGACCGGCATTCTGGCGGAGTGTCTCCTTTGTCTGTTCCTTCCAGGATTGAGTTTCACACGGCACGAAATCGATGTCCTCCTTTGTCGTACGACAGACCTGCTCGAGCTACAGAGCCATGGCCACTACTTACCTTTCTAGGTCTGTCCAGGCCTCGTGGTGTCCTCTGGTGGTGCGAAAAGTTCTTCTTAGCGTCATTGTTCAGTGCCTCATCCAAGAGCCGATCAGTGAGGGAGCAAATTCCTGGCAAGTACAATAGACGTACGTATATCATCATCTCGGATTGGCGTTCTGGTGAAGAGTCTAAAGCGATCAGTACCGTATGGGTCCAATCTTCCTCGTGTTGCGGAGGATGGTTACCGTCTCTACGTGTGATGACATCGCACAACGGACTGGATTTTTATGGCCTAGCTTGGATGTGAACGGGAAGGAAGTATTCCCTTCCCGATCCAAAGCAACTCGTACCGGGTAGGTCCCATCCTGCCTCGTGCTGCGGGAGTATGGTTACCGTCTCTACGTGTGATGACATCGCACAAGGGATTGGTCTGTTATGGTCTAGCTTGGTTATGAGCCAGAAGCGAATGTCCCCCTCTTCGCACACATATAAAGCACTCGTCCTCATCGTTTCTTTGTTCCCTACCCGCAGATTCCTAGCCTTTCCTCCTTTGTCGCCATGCCCGCTCACTCAACACTGAAAGGCTGGACGCATACCAATCAAGAATCCTCTCTCCCATCGGTCGATACAACACAGCTAGCAGATCACCAATACTCCCCAGTAATATCGTCTTCTCAACTGCTCGATGAAGATAAAGTGAATTCAGGACGCCTAGATCATCTCCTCCCGTCCCTCTCAAGCCCTGATTACCGCCCACTTGTTTGCCTATGGGAGCAAGTTCGAGTCGAGTGTCCCCTCCTATACGACGGCGCGGTTTCAAGTGATGTGGACTCTCTGTCCTCCCTCATTCAGCTCGCAGATTGGCTCGCGGATTGGTTTTCGAAAAAATTAGCTAGGCTTGAGGGGGGCGGTCGCCCCGGGTTCAGGGAGCCGCGGAAGCTGCCCGAGCTCACTAGGCTGAGAGCATGGATTCTTGTGACGATACGGAAACAAGTCGAGAAGGATTTGGGGGTTGCGAAGCCTCGCCGGGGCCGGGCGGCGCAGAAGACGGACAAGAAGAAGAGAACAGCGAGGCCCGAGGACGAGCGGCTGCGTATCAAGCTCACTATGTATACAACCGCGTTGAGGCTTGTACAGACCTGGAGCAGCTTACTCCGGAAGAGAAAGGATTCTTTGGTCTCCCAAGTGGTGCGTTCCCAGGCGCGCTATACTCTCTTTTTCAAGCGTGTCTAATTATCGTTCTCTCACCAACGTTCAGGTTCAAGATGATGAATCCTCGCGTATGGTATGATGTTCCACAATTGTTCGTCTTTTTACGTGCTTCTGATTCTCGTATCACACTCCAGGATCCGTCGACGGTCTTTGCCAATTCGAAATTGTTTGACTCATCGGAACAACAAGCTTCGATCGTTGAGCAGGACCATTCTCCATCCGCTAGTCCTGCCACTGCCACTCCACCATCTCCTGCACGTGACCGATCTCCTGCTCTTGCACTCTCTCTTGATCCAGCGTCAATCGCTCCAGCTAGTCCAGTCCTCTCTGCTCCAATTCCGATGGTGACATATTCTCCATCCGCTGAGACGTCTCTCCCTCAAACCCAAGACGACTACGGAGAGTTCGGTCCCATCACAGACTTCCTGGACCCATTGGCGTACTGGGATTCTTCCGATTACACGGAACCATTGGCGGCACTGCTCCCTGCTCCGAACACAATGGCTACATATTATCCATCAGATGAGACACCTCTCCCTCCAATCCAAGACGACTACGGAGATTTAGATGCCTTCACAGGTTTCTTGAACCCAATGGCTCAGGCTTACTTGAATTCTTTCGAACCGACGCAACCCTTGATGGCACTGCTCTCTGCTCCCATCGCGGTGGCTCCAGTTCCGCCCCCTTCTCTTGCACGAGTCTCTCCTGATCTAGCTTCGACCGCTCCAGCCAGTCCACTTTTCTCTGCTCCAATTACGACGGCGACATATTCTCCATCGGCTGACACGCCTCTCGCTCAAATCCAAGACGAATCCGGAAATATCGACTACGTCACAGACTTCCTGAACTCGTCGGCTTACTGGGACTCTTTCGAATCCACGCAACCATTGGCGCCACTGCTCCCTCCTGCGATCACGATGGCTCCAGTCCCGTCCTCTTCTCTTGCGCACTCCCTTAATCTAGCTTCGACCGCTCCAGCTAGTCCACTTCTCCCTGCTCCAAGTACGATGGCTGCATATTCTCCATTCGCTGAGACGCCTCTTTATCAAAATCAAGATGACAACGGAGATTTCGATACCCTCACAGACTTCATGAACCCATTGGCGTACTTGGACTCTTTCGAATCGGCGCAACCCTTGGAGGCAATACTCCCTGCTCCAATCACGATGGCTCCAGTTCCGTCCCCTTCTCTTGCGCGCTCTCCTGATCCAGCTTGGACCGCTCCAGCTAGTCCGGTCATCCCTGCTCCAATTACGATGGCGACATATTCCCCATCAGTTGAGACGCCCCTCCTTCAAATTGAAGACGACGACAGAGGTTACAATACTTTCATGGACTTCATGGACCCATTGGCCTACTGGAACTCTTTCATGTCGACCTAACCCTTGGCGACCATTCATCACCCTATCAATCCGGTACGAAATTATCTCCAAAGGATATTCGTTGATGTGTGCTCTACTTCATAACGACGCCGATAACGAGTCGACTTTTTTCTTCTCGCGCGCTGCTTTTAAATTACGCTATTTCTTGACGGTTATGACTGGTTCTGGCTACGGTGCTTTGTTTGAATAATCTCTGATATGTACAAATTAGTCGAACAGTAGTATGTGGATTGCATTGTTTTGCGTTCCTGATCAACCGACCGCTGTGTTGTTCTTTCGCTTGCCTGTGTGAATCGGTTCAGTCGTATTCCTTCCTTTCTTCCTAACTGACAGCCCGTCAGACGCTTTCGCTGAGAGCATGACAAAGTCTACACCATCTGTGGTGGGCATCGTTCCTCACGCTAGTTTCGCTCCGCGCGTGTCCTCGGACGAACGTCCGAGTTTCTTCCGCTATGGAACCACAAAGCGGCTTGACAATCCCGGATTCCTACCCACGTTTCTCTCAGTGCCAAGCGGTACCTCGATTATCCTATGACTATCGATGGATACGTACGCCTCCGGTTCCATCAACGACTTTTAAAGTGGGATGTGGCACCGGCCACCGTGCCACGACTCCCGTAAATAAAGTACTTGTGTCGAGAGGAAGATGTCGGATCGTGTTCCTAATATATGACGACGACGACGGCTTGAAAGAATTCGCTACTCTTGTCTTCCGCGTGTGGACGACGAGGTGGACGGACTCGCGACTGAAGCAGGATAGTAAGTAACGCGGCGAGGCTCGTGACGGCAATCACCGAAAAAACTCGTCACCGCTGACTCAGCCTGTGTCCCTCGGTTGCCTTTTTGGCGATCTTGAACGTTGAATATCTCATGCCCTAATTATATAGGCCACGGCTACGCTGTCGACTGAGGACGTCAACAATCGGACTGGAGAATCAGCTATTGGGTTGCGGTCCATCCAACATTAATGGTGGAGAAACGGAGGCAGGCAACTGGTGTATCGGCGGCTGAGAATATCTACATAGACTCGGAGGGCATCTTCAGGGTTTCCGGACCGTGTTGGGGCGTGTAGGGGGAGCGTACGATTACAAAACAAGCACCTATGCATATGTCTAGGTCCTGGTCTGTCCAGGCCTGTTTATTTTCTCCGATGGAGCGCATTCCTCTTAGCGTCTTTGTTCCTCGCAGTAGGGAGCCAATCAGTGAGGAGGCCGGCTCTGTGGTTAACAGAAGGACGTACGTATACCATTATTGCGGACCGGTATTCTGGCGAAGAGCACATCCATTGTCTGCCCTTGCAGGGTCGAATTTCACACGTTCGAAGATCATTGTCCTCCTGTGTTGCATGGCGGCTTCAGACGGCTTCCTCGATCTAAATCGATTCGTACCGTGTGGGTCCTTTCCGCCTCATGTTGCGGGAGTATGATTACCATCTCTACCGTGTGATGACATCGCATAAAGCACTGGTTGTTTATGGTCTAGCTTGGATGTGAGCAGGAAGTGAACGTCCCCTCTCCGCACACATATAAAACATGCGTCCATATCGCTTCTTTGTTCCCTCCCCGCTGATTCCTAGCCTTTCCTACTTTATCACCATGCCCGCTTACTTAACACTGAAAGGCCAGACGTATACAGGTGAAGAACACTCTCTCCCATCGGTCAATAAACCAAAGCCAGCAAAACCCCAAAACTCCGCAGAAACATCGTCTTCCAAAGTGTTCGATGAAAGGCGGCTCCTCGTGGACGGACTCCTTCCATCCACCCAACGCCCTGATTACCACGTCACATTCGTCGGCTTATGGAGGAAAGTTCGTACGGAGTATCCCCTCATATACGACGGCGCCATTTCAAGCGACGTGGACTCTTTTACCTCCCTCATTCAGATCGCAGATTGGTTCTCTGATTTCTTCTCGACAAGATTAGCTTGCCTTCAGGAGGGCGAGCGCCGCGGGTCCAAGGCGCAGCTCCCCTCGAAGCTGCCCGAATTTGCTAGGCTGAATGCATGGATCCTCAAGAAGGCACGGGACCAAGCCCATAAGGATTTGGGCATCGTGAAGCCTCGCCGGGCGGAGCAGACGACGGACAAGAAGAAGAAGATGAGGGTGAGACCCAAGGATGAAATGCTGCGTATCAAGCTCTCTATGTACACAGCCGCGTTGACGCTCGTACATACCTGGAAAAACTTACTCCAGAAAAGAAAGGATTCTTTGGTCTCCCAAGTGGTGCGTTCCCAGAAAAAAGTCTACTCTCTTTCCCAGCACGTCTAATTATCGTTCCGTCCCCAACGTTCAGGTTCACGTTGATGAATCCTCGCATATGGTATGTTATCCCACAATTGTTTGTCTTTTTACGTGCTTCTGATCCTCGTATCACACTCCAGAATCCGTCGACGGTCCCTGCCAATTCGCAGTTGCTTAGATGGCTGGAACAACAAGCTGCGATCGTGTATCAGGATCGTTCTCCATTCTCTAGTCCTACCATAGCCACTCCACCCTCCCCTGCTCTTGCAATCTATCCTGATGCAGCTGGGACCACTCCAGCCAGTACAGTTCTCCCTGCTTCAATTACTAAGGCTCCAGATTCTCCGTCAGCTGAGGTTTCTCTCCCTCAAACCCAAGGCGACTACGGAGATTTCGATTCCTTCACAGACTTCATGGACTCATTGTTTTACTGGGATTCTTTCGATTCGACGCAACCCTTGGCAACACTGCTCTCTGCTCCGAACACGATGGCTACATATTCTCCATCGGCTGAGACGCCCGCGCTCGTTGATCAGGATCATTCTCCGTCCTCTAGTCCCGCCACCGCCACCGCCACTCCACCCTCCCCTGCTCCGGTGCCGTCCCCTTCTCTTGCAATGCAGACTGAGATACCTCTCCCTCAAATCAAAGACGAACCCGTAGATCTCGATTCATTCATGGACTTGCTGAACTGGGATTCCTTTGGATCGACGCAACCCTTGGCGGCACTGCTCCCTGTTCCGATTACGACGCCTACATATTTTCCATCAGCTGGGACGTCCGCGCTCGTTAATCAGGTTCATGCTCCATCCTCTAGTCCTGCCACCGCCACCGTCACTCCCTCATTTACTCCAGTTCCTTCCCCTTCCCTTGCGCACTCTCTTGATCCAGCTTTGGCCGCTCCAGCCAGTCTACCCCCCTCTGCTTCAGCAACGATGTCGACATATTCTCCATCGGCGGATATGCCTCTCCCTCAGATCAAAGACGAACCCATAGAATTCGATCCCTTCTTAGACTTCCTGGACCCATTTGCTTGCTGGAATTCTTTCGAATCGATGCGACCCTCAGCGACCCTGCTCCCTGCTCCGAACACGATGGCTATGTATTCTCCATCAGCTGGGGCGCCCGCGCTCCCTCATCAGGATAATGCTCCATCCTCTAGTCCTGCCACCGCCACCGCCTCTGCCACGCCACGCTCCCGTGCTCCAGTTCCGTCCCCTTCTCTTGCACTCTCTCCTGAACAAGCTTGGGCCGTTCCAGATGGTCCACTTATCCCTGATCCATCTGATGAGGCGTCTCTCCATCAAATCCAAGACGAACACGGAGATTGCGATACCTTCACAGACTTCATGAATCCGTTGGCTTACTGGGATTCTTTCGTCTTGACACACTCCTCGGCGCCCATTCATCCCCCCGTCGATCCAGCAAGTATCTCCAAGGAAAATTCGTTGATGTATGCTCTCGGTCCCTTGTAGAACCATCGTATACTTCAGAACGACTACGATAACGAATCGATTTTCTCTCGCACGCGCTCCTTTTGAATTACGCTCCTTTCTTGACGGCTATGACTGGTTCTGCTTCCGGCCACGGTGCTTTGTTTGAATACCTTCCGCTCTTTTGAATTTCTGATATGTACAAATTAGTCGAACAATTATATGTGGTTTGCATTGTTTTGCGTTCCTGGTCACCGACCATTGTGTTGGCAGGTGTTGGCTACGGTTCGGCCTTGTGGCCGGCTCTTTCTTTCCCGAAAGAAAGGATAGGTTCTTTTTCAGAGCTCTAAATGACGCACTGTGTAGCCTCAGCAGAGTCGCGCTGGTTCCCCGGCCTCGTCTTCCCTACACGGCTACGCTCGTTCTTCTGCACGGTCGCACCCAAGATACTGCTCACCGCTGAGGCCTTTCTCTCCGCTTCCATGATACTTTTTCGGTGGCCTGTATACATTTACTCGGTCGTCGAGTGACTTTCACCTAACTTCCAACCTTACAGACGCTTTTGCGGAGAACGGCTCTTCCGCTCTGAGTCCACAAAGTGGCTTGACGAGCTCGGATTCCTACCTCTGGCCTCAAGGCCTCAGTATCAAGCTGTATTTCACCTGTCCTATGACAATCGACGAATACATACGACTCCGGATCCACCAACGTCGGCCCTAAGCGTTTATTGCTCACCTTCAAACACCGATAGATCAGTGAAGCAGTAAAAGTGAGAGACACGTTCGACGCCACAAAGTATTTTCGGGAACTACTGCAAACACGTTATAAATACGTCCGAACTCCTACAAGAATAAAACAAGTATCGACATCGATAAGAAAGAGAAGGTTATGTCCGTTTGATATACCATAACTCGAACTGGTACGTATAAATAGACCTGGATGCTCAAGGTACGGAACGCAGCTTCATGCAGGTGAAGGGGCAGTACTAGTATAACTAGGCGGAGGTACAGACGGTTCGCTACCGTCATCGAAGGGAGATATATCTACTACACTGTCCCCCAAAACCTCTACCGGTGGAGGTGCTGGTGGGCTCGAAGTACGCTGTGGCACTGCACTAGGCAGATTTCGAGCAGATCCGGTGCCCTTGGAATTATGAGAGGTGGATGCCGGAGGCACTATGAAAGGCGTGATGGTTTCTGCTGCAGATGAATTGAAAGCCGAATAAGTGATGTTGAGCGACTGCAGAAGGCATACGTGATTTACCTTCGTTCATTTCATGCACTAGCGTTCCTTGGGTGAGTGACATGGAGTCGATTGAGTCTCGTGACCCTGTCTGTCGGCGTCTGGCAGACCTCCTTAGTCGAATGAACAGATACAATACGACTAGAGCGATTATGAGAGTGGTGGGCACCACCGATCCTGCAATCGCCGCGGCATCCGATTTGTGTGGGCCCGTAGCATTCGCAGTGCTCGTACTGGCACCCGCGCTGCTGGATGTGGAGCTACTCGACTCGGCGGCATTACCAAGGGAGGGTATGTACGACTTGGATGACTCGACTGTGATGTAGTCAAGGCAAAACTCGTCCGAACTAGCGGTGATTTCGAGGATATGTTGCTGTTCATCTCCGTTGAGCGGAAAGGTTTCGCTGATGAAGACAAAATTTGGCCACACCCCAGGATGCAGCGGTACACGGACATCATTTGGAGTATCTCCGTCTATTGTGTAGGTGGCAGCAGGAGCCGTACCATTGATGGCTATTCCATATACATCGAGTCCCCGTCCTACAATCCGAAAAAGAACTGGGTCAGCATTTGTTTCGCATGGATTCAAGAAGGATTAGCGATTTGACCTATGAAAGTGAAGGAGACGTTTGCGCCTGCCTTTAAGGCTCGCGTGGAGGTGCCATTGTTCACGATATCGCTTTGCGGCCAGTTCGGAACCAAGTTGGGAGTGGTATTGGTCCAATCGGCTATCGGGGAATAGACTAAAAAGGTGCTGGTGTCGTCGATGAAGAGCTGAGACGTGGGGGAATTCTCAATCGATGTATTGGCACTCGCTTGCACGAGGAAGTAGTCGAAATGGAAATCGGAAGCGATTGTCTGCGTCAGAATGGTGATTTCGACGGTGTGATTGCCATCTGCTAGCGGGCCAAGCGCGAAAATCTCTTGATGAGACAATGTCACGCCCGCAGTCCCAGACTTGATAGTGTAGGGTACAGCGGTGCCGTTGTCCAGGGAGTAAGTTATGTTCGTGTTGACGTTTGAACCATTTATTGAGGCATAGGCAGCTATGGAAATTCCTAAGAGTGACGAGTGATAAACATAGAGGTTCAAATGCTGGAAAGGACCATCTCTTACCTTCGAAAGTGTATGCCAACGTAGAACCATTAAGCCCTGATTGTGTTACTGTTTCTAAGTAGTTCGCACCGGATGCTAGCGACTGTCTCAGTGCTACGAATAGTACGAAAAATCATGACAAATATGCATACCTGGACTCGGCACCCAGCCGTCAAGCTGACTCCCACTAGAATCCAACTTCTGTGGTGAATAGGCGATCCTTGGATCCGTGTCATCGACTATTAGGGAGGTTGGGCAACGCCAAATATCGGAGTTCAAATCTCGTGATAAGATAAGGCAATATTCGGAATAGCCCACGTGGCGTGCCGGAGTGCGCGCCAAACACGCATTTTGTGGCCAAATCGACTGCTTGGGCAAAGAAGAGCACACCAGGTGCCGCTGTACAAATCATGCCATTCCACACTACTAAAAGATATCGAGAAGACCCAATACAGCCTATTTGCCCCAATGTCGAACCCAAGAAACGTACTCTCTGTCTCGCTGTCGTAATGGGTTGCCTACTCACACAAAGTATTCCAAATATTGGAACATCTTTGTGCATAATGCCCAGAAAGACTGAGGGCATCAACACTTTCTGTGTTCTGGTAAATATGGTAGCCCTAAAGATGCCTCTTTCGTTCGAACCACCATCATCGCCCGCGCCCGCGGCACGGGCAACTTTGCAACAGCTCCACAAAGCCGTATTTGCCATCGCTCTCCCGAAGACTTCAACTGCACGTACATGCACCGTTTCGCTCCCTGCCCTGCACGCCATACGCAAGCTCCTTGACGAGCTCGTTGCACAACCCCAACAACCACCGCCAGACCCTCGTGTCACTGAGCTCGCCTCCAAGATCGATGCCTTATCCGACAAACTTGACTCTCTCGCTGCTACTCAGCCGACCTCTTACGCTGACGCCGTGCGTTGCTCAACCCCCTCTCGCCAACACACCTGTAGTCCCTCCAAGGCGTCTCCCATCGCTTCGCGTGCCCCAGTGCATCCACCCCAAGCTCCCTCTCATCCCGCCGTCGCTCGCGACACTTCTCTTGATGTTGTTCTCACCCCAAAAGACTCCCGCCATCCTGCCTTCATCGGTGATAGCCCCGCTGTGGTCCTCGCTCGATTCAACGAACTCATGTCGACTACGAAACCTCTTGTCTACCCTGTCTCTGCTCGCGCTGTCGCCCGACTCCGAAACGGGAACCTTCGTCTCACGCTCAATCAGGAAGGGGCAGCCGATGACCTCACCGACAAACAAGCGCTCTGGCTCCCCGATTTCTCGCCACTCTTGTCGATCCACGTTCCTCTATATCCCATTATTGTCCACCGTGTTCCGACCACTTTCAACTTGTACTGCTGCGCCAGTCCCGGGCCCGACAGCTCCTGCAATGGCGACTACTGCAGCATGATGCGCGAGAATTCACTTCGTTTCCCTGAACTCCCGACTCATGCTCGGCTCCGCTGGGTCTCCCCACTCGCCAAAAGGCCCTCAAAGACACACTCTTCGATCATCATGTTCCTCCCCTACAAAGACCTTGCTTCTCAAATCATCCAGGAGCGCTTCGCCATCAATGGCATACTTCTTCGTACCGAAAAATATCACTTTCCCCCTGTTCAATGCTACAACTGCTTCCACTTCGGTCATACTGCGGCTCACTGTACTCGTTCCACTGTCTGTGGGTGCTGTGCCGGTCCACACACCACCTCTGACTGCTGCTGCACAGAGCCGTCTCCCTGCACCGATCACCACACATGCACACATATCCCCGAGAAGTGCTCCCTCCCTGGTTGCGGAGGCTCTCATCGTTCGACATCTCGGGATTGCCCAGTATGGCGCTCAATCACTGAAAAATCCCACCAACGGCATATTGACTCTGGACCCCTCTACATATAGTTTCCCCACCACACAATTCTGTAATCTAGCACACATCTTGGACCCGGACTGTTGTCCTATCTTGTTGACAGTACATGTTTCTATTCCTGCCTCATTTCTGTTGTTCTTCCCCTCCATCATCCTCCTCCTTCCTCCTCCCTTCCCTTGTGCCCTTCGGGGTTCCTGTCAGTTTGGAGTCGGCGCGTTCCCATGCGTCCCGTGTCCGCTCTCTGAACGGAATTTGCGCAAGATCTCCTGTTCGCTCACCGTGTCATTTATACAACTTTATGTTTGTCTATCTCTGCTCTATGCTGCCCTTCACCTTCTTCTCAGTTGGCGCTTTCTTCCCCTTGACCTTCCCTGGCTTCTTCTCTGTATCAACCATGATGCGCGACGCTGATGGGTCTGGGCCAGCTCTTGCGATTCGAGCTCTGCATTTTCATCTAGGAATTTGCGAGAAGTCACCATTGCGGTGCTTGAGCGGAGGCTGATTTCGCAGAAGTAGCGGGTTGCTCCCTTCCACCGATTGGGCGCCAACATAGATGAGTCTCCCGTTTTCAAATCGTACCTGATCGGGCTTCTAACAATGATGTTGCTATGATAGCTTCAAAAATTGCAAGGATACAAAATTCCCATTCCACAAAGCAATATGACCCAGGCTGCTGACTAGCTGTTGAGTTAGAGCTCTCAATTGTTGCACCGCGACCACCGGAGTCGACTCCTTTTCTTTGGCGGGTTACGACGCGGTGCTGTAATCCCCAAATGGGAAGCTACTCATGCTGGCTCTTCATAACTATTGCGTGCTGGCCTTGTAAGATCGCGCGCTGTAGGGCATTCCTTGGCTCAATGTCTTCTGTAGAGTGGCAGAATTTGTCCCTTCTATGGGAGAAGGAGCGCTGATGTTCTGATATTGCTCCTACAGTCTAGAATATCGCTGTTCATGTTCTTGTATGAAAACATCAGCGCCTCAGTTACTCTTGGCATCTGCATCAGACCATCGCTAGGCCCGTGCCCACATAAATCACGGCTTGTGCTTCGACCTCAGGCCACGGTGGCTTCGTGGACCCCCTCCCACCGTACCCAGCGCCCCTCGATCTTCTCATGACGGTTTTTAATATAATAGACAGGTTGGGCAACGGCAATATCCGGAGTAGCGTGCTCCGATATTTGGGTTGCGTTCCTCCTATTTTCGCTTTTCGGAGACATTGGAGAGCGCTCATCTCCTGACTTTTTTTATGGAGTAGGAGACAATTTAGGGCTACCATTTTTTTTTTTTTTTTTTTTTGAATCCAATTTATTGTCCATCAGCGAAGAAAGCCGCTATGTAAGACAGAACCAGACGAGGGTATACAGACAGTGAGAGACTTCAAAAAGGTAAGACAAAACGAATATGACATGGTCTATGATACACGAGCTATATTCATTGCAAGGTAGTGACTGGAAGAGGAGTGCAGGCGATGGATGAATGGACGGATGGATGAATGAATGGAAAAGCTAAATGGATGAGGACGTATCGTTCAAAGGCCCGAGGCTGGATCAATTGCAAGGCGAGTAGAGGAGAGGAGATGAACAGGAAAGATGAACTAATTAAGCGAATAGCGACAAACGAGACCATGTCTAATTGTACTTTGTCATCTCCTCCAGTTCCTTCGGGACCCTAGCGAACAAAAGCAAATGATCAGTCGCGTTGATTCATGGTCGGAGGCATCAATACTTGAAAGAGGACATAGACGTACTCCCATCCATGCGTGGCTGCCGCGCGCTTGAAGCCAGCGACCGCTTCGGGCACGGTGTACGGTTGATCCCAATGATCTACAACGACGTCGACATCAGGCATGAGTATGTTATATATTGAACGACATGCTTCGCCTGAAGCAGAGAGCTCACCAGGATGCAGACGCGCAGGTCTGGGCTCCAAGTTCGACATGGCCATGCGAATCTACGAAGGGTAGAGTTGGGGATGAGATCGAAACAAACAAACAAAAGTGCGATGCGGCGGCGGTGAGCTTACCTGGAGCAAGATCGACGCAACGCTGTATGTCGAGATCCATCCAGAGGAAGTAAGCAGGTCCTATGAAAAGTGGTCAGATTCGAAACAAACATGTCTAGACGTCACCATGTTACACACCATGCACATCGAACCACCGCCCGTGACATGACCACCGCCACCATGAATCTGTGATATGAACCGGTCAGGACTTGAGAGAACGTAGACCATTCAATTGACGCTCACGAATGGCAAGAACCTAGACGTGGAACAGTAATGATATAAGCCACGCAGTCGACCACTACAACAAAGACAAGACGCACCGAGGAGAAATCACACGGAAGAATGGCGGAGCGAACGGGAAATTCTGGACGAACAAAGTCAACACAGATAGGAAGAGGCCAGCCATCAGGCGGAGAAGAGTAAACCGACTAAACCACGCACCTGGCTGAACCGAACCTCCATCACGATCGCCTTGACACCCCTCGCCTTCATATCCTTCGCTAAAGGCAGCTCTGGGTCGAACCCAAACAGCTCTACTACCCATCTATAACCAGGACGTCAACGGGGAGCTAAGACGGTTGCAGGCAGGTAAAAAAGCACGCACTGGAATAGATTGTCGTCGGTTGTGTCCGGATCGTAATACCAGCCTCTCATACTAGGCGGTTCATCCTCCTGCATCTTCATCATAGCCTTAACCTCCCTCGCCAATACGCTCAACGCCATAGGGTTAGCCTAGATCCACCGACCACCAAATGACATGTCAATATCGCAATCAAAGCTTCGCAGAATGCCAGCCCTTGTGCACTGCTTACCCTCGTCGGCGGTGGGATCAACGTAACGTGCTTCAACACCTCCGCAGCGCAAGGCTCATACGGCGGCTCATCAGCAGCGGTCTTCTTCCTCTGCTGAGCCTGAGACGAAGACGCCGACGGTTCCACATTCGAAGATTCCTTCCCGGGCTCGAACTCCATCAACTCGTGATCCGTATCGTCCAAGTCGAACTCCGTATCCGAGGCCATCTCTCCCTCCAGCTTAGCCAGCTTCGCAGCAATAGCAGGCACATAGATCTTGGTGCCATGCATAAGGGCCTGGTGCTGAAAGGGCGTGGATATCGGCGCATGAGACGGCGAGAGCACGAAGGGGGATAGACTTACTTCTGGATCCATGGGCAACATCTCGCCTGTCGGGGGCTCTGCGGGCTCCTCGCCAGCGCTGGTTGCTCCAGCCACAAGAACGCCATGTCGTAATTGCGGTACCGTGCTGGCGGCGTGCTGGACGATGAGATAGCGAGCTTGGATCCAGTCAAGCTGAACACAGGACGTGTGATTAGTCGCGTAGACAAGGCCGTAGTTGCGACTAGGAATGACTTACGTGCTGAACCACGAGGTGAGGCGTCTTGGAAGTGAACTCGTTCTGAACGTAGCCAACGAAACCCACGTCAACTAGTCTATCTCGAAACATCTAACACATATATAATCTTACCGGTAGATTCACAACTGACAATCCCCGAAACCAGATCAGCTCAAAAAGAACCCCAAGAGTTATGACAAGCTCAGAGACTCACTCTCACAAAGCGCCATAACCTTCACGATCCCATTCTCCGCGTTCTTCCAGTTCATCGAAGTCGACGGCGACGCATACTGCGACACCGACGCCGCGCCATCCTTCGCAAAATACACTCCGTCTCCGAACGCCCGTCCGTTCGTCCTCTTCTTGAAGTGCAGGCCCCTGCCATATCATCATCGATCATGGGAGCGGAGAACGTCAGCATGCGGTGCAAAGACGCCAGTGAGACAAAGGAAAGAATTCAACCCACTCCCGAATGATCGCATGCCAATTCCTCGCCCCGCTCCCATGAAACGCGAACAGCGTCGGATACTGCTTCGCATTCACACATCTCGCCTGAGCTGCCTGGATCGCCAGTTTGAGCTTATGCTCCTTATCCGGAGATCCCGTGACGAATCGGAATTGGGTGTAGCCTGGGAGCTGTGGCGCACGAAAAGAAAAAAAAAGGACAAACGCGAGAAACGTGAGTTGGTCTGGTGAGAGGACGGGTGGAGATGAGGAAGTGTTTGTTACCCCGTGGACCATTTCATCTGGATCTGAGAGCGCGCGGAGGTAGGAAGTATTCGAGGCGATAATCTGGAGCGAACGAAACAGTGTCAATGAATTTGTTCTATTAACGCACCAAGAAAATGAGAACGAAGAAAACTGACCCAACGAAGAAGCTTAAACGCAGATTCCGGGATCTTCCCGCCATCTATGTCCTTAACATCCCCATAGAAATAAGCATGCGGAAAATGAAAAGGCAAGGATCTCATACACACCTTCAACTTCCTAATCTTCCCCGAATGTCTTTCATTGTCCGTCATATTCTCTATATAGGCTTTATAAGCCCGCGCGGAAAGACTGCACAGCACAGATTGCGGCACGTACCTCCTTCCAGCCACGACTTCATCGAAGCCTATCCAGATGAATGACCTTACATCAATCTCTTTCTCTCCGTCAAGAGAAAAGGGACCACGACTTACGATAGACGGCAATTGATCCAACAGCATAGTCACAGCCTTACCCTTCTCTTCCGGCGACAACCCGTCAAAATCCACCTCTTCGTCGCCAGGTTTCCAACCGGCTACACCTGGTCTGAAAGAAGAAATAGATAACCTCTCAGCATCCCGTACTCCGTGAACGCTACCAGGAAGCTTGGGAGTGTAACGGTGGTGGTGGTGGTAGTTGTGATGGTGTTAGTGGCGGCTTACTTGGGCGCCTGTAAATGAATACCGTCAGGATATTCCTTCATCTCTGTCTCGCCCGCACTGTGGTACGCAAATCTATAAGACAAAATGAAAGGAACGTTCAGTCCAAAGACTCGTCATTCAAAGGCAGGTTTGGTCTCACTGTACGAGCTATGTGGCAGGCAGAGATAGGTCAGTCACTCGCTAAGAACAATGAAACCAAAGTAAACTCACTAGATCAACCGCAGGCCCATTCGTCACGATCTACGGCCATACGAAGAATCCCACCAATAGATGACATCAGAACGAGGCGATCCGAACTTAGAAAGACCTTCACGCACCTCATAATCGATCGATGGTCCCAGTCCCACAGACATATACTACATCAAAAGACGAGCGCACATCAACCACCATTTCTATTCCGTCGAAGAAGAGAAAGAAAAGAGGCAGCAGAACACTCAACTCACCTGGTACAAACAAAGCTGATCCCCGCAAACGTACGGTTTCAAAGCCTGCACCTCGCTATTGATCCCTCGATGGCAGACCTACGCCCATACATATGTCAATCAGTAGATGGTTAGCGTCGAATGGGGGGAGGAGGAAAGGGAACCTACGAGACAGAACCTCGGACACATCTTGAACCGTCTCACGAGATAGCTGAAAGCGATGAGCGGGAAGTTATCCTTATATTCTGGATCGCGCAACGGATCTTCTGGCAGCTATGTCCCAAAACACATTCAGTCAATGGCAATGGTACATCCACAAGAAAATATGTCATGTCACTCACGTTATACGTCTCCGCCAGCTCTTGCTCTTCCTCATCCTCCATCTCCGCTTGCTAAAATACACAACACAACTCAGCTCACGTCCCATCCTCACTCATGTTTCCGGGGGACAAAAAGAGGAACACCACGCACCCTCGGATCGACAACACCCACCCCCGCCATCTCCCCCACCTTCCCCAAACACACCCTCTCCGCCCCCGCCCACCCAAACGGCCTCACCTTCTTCACCTTCCCCCTCGCCGCCGACATGCCCGAATGCCAAATCACGCTCGTGTTCGTGCTCGACGTCGTACTCTGTCCCCGCTGTTGACCCTGCTGCTGATTCGCGCTCGAAGTCTGGCTCCCCTGCTCGCTCGACGTCTGCCGCGGCCTCCTCCTAAACTTAACCAACTCCACAAAATGCTCCTTCATCAACGCCGCCAACGGCTGGCCCACACTAAACGGCTCGAAATCCGCCTTGCTCCCGTCTTTGCCTTCCCCTTTCACTGGCAGCCGGGAGGAGTGTGCGCGGAAGGCGGAGGTGACGGCTTCTTTGCTTGGTTTGTACTGTCGTATAGGTGGGAAAGTGGGGTTAAGTGAGTATGGGAGGGTGAAAGTGGGTGAGTCGGGATGGAAGGGAAGAGGAGGAGAGGGGCAAGAGAGGATGTACCTTCGAACCGAGCCCAACCGCGAATTTAACGTCCCCATTACGGAGCTGGTCGATATCGAGGGGATAGCTCGCTCCGATGTTGATTAACAAACTGCAGCAGAAAAACAAAAAAGCACATCAATTTTCCGTATGCATATTCGCCCAACTCCGCAAGAAGTGAACGTACGTGAGATACATATTGCCTCCCTGGCGGAACTTCGCGTCCCAGGCCTACAGAAAAGGTACCATCGTGGTTTATCAGTCGTCAGTCGTCAGTCCTCATTCAATTCAGGCTGGGTGGGGGATGGACCATGGACGGCACGTGGAACATAACCCACCTCCAGGACAGAAAGCGGAATGTCCAAAGTGCCCACTTTGACCGAAACGCTGATCACATTATCAAGCTCGTTAATCCTCGTAAAACCCGGACGATATCCCGACGCCGAGATCTGCAAGAAGTCACTGTGCACAACAAGAGTTCAGCCACACAATCGTAGACGTCACTCAGACAACAGACAGAAGAGGAAAGAAAAAACGAACGCACCGTTTAAGCGCAAGCTTCATCGCCGTCTCCGCCGCTCCATCTCTCGGCTTAATATCGAAATACTCATCGTCCGGATAATCGTCTACATCCGAGTCGTCCTCGGCTTCCGCCTCCTCCTCGACCGTCGCACGACTACTATTCGCCGTCAACGCCTGTCTCGCCTTTCCCCTCCCATTCGCCTTATTATTCCCATTCCCACCCCCTCCCCCGTCCGAAGACGCCAAAACGCTCTGTGCCATGACCAACTGCAGATCCACATCCTCGCTCTTACTCTTCCACACCTTCCTCGCGATCCACGCACAAGCTTCATACACCGCCACACTTCCCAGCTCTGATGCGCCCGCCAACACCTCACTCACAGAGGAAGAAACGTCGTCGTCCGTGTAGGCGAAAAATTGGTGGTCGTGCAGGTAGGACGAGGTGTCGGCGCACATGAGGGTTATGCTGAGCGTGCGGGAGGGGTTGGAAGGGTGCGGGAGAGTGAAGAGGATTGTGTCGTCTGATTCTTGTTTGAAGCCTGTACAGCATGATGACGATTAGTATCATAAGTTGGTGAAGTGGGATTAGGATGGGATGGGATTCGGGAGGCGCCACATAGAGAGGATAATTGAGTGGCATGTTGTGTAGACATGCGAAACGACGCGTAACAAAGAAAGGAATAAACAAGCTCACCTCGAATGACCGCCTCATCATCATCATCACCCCACAACTCCGTCAACTGCTGCACATGCAACCCCCACACCCTCCTCGGGCTCATCTTCCCCTTCCCATTCTCTTTCCCACCACTCTCCTTCCCTGTAGCTGCAGGCACATCATCATCGTCCGTCAGCTCTATAGGATTCTCTTCCGTGCCAGCATCTGCATCAGGCGAGCCCATCAATACATCCCCATCCTCATCCATATCTTCGTTGGAGTCGTTGGAGTCGGAGAGCGAGATAGGCGTAGGAATACTCCTCTCGGCGTCGTCGATGCCTATTTCGGGGCCTATGCTTCGTCGGGTTTTGGTGCCCTGGTTCGATCTAATAGCATCACACACACACACACAGCACACAAATACAACGATACGCGGTTGAGAGACGCGACGGCGTGAAGAGTCCAGATATGCGTACGTACGTGAGATCAGGCGTGGCCTTCCGCTTCAGATTGCTCATATTCTCGCTAGGTTAAGTATCTGTCTGTCTGTCGTCGTCGTCGTCGTCGCCGGTAAGTAGGATGAGATTTTTAGATTATTGATGGAGATGACGGCGGGGACGGGTGGCGGACGGACGGACGCGACCGCGTCGAGACGCGTCTTAATTAGGCAATTGCAAATTTGGCGAAATTTGGGTCGGAGATGGACTGGGAGGAATGACTCTGTACTCCGCGATGCACTTATCCGCAGACCCACTGGTTTGACTGTCTACTGGTTGCTTTATGGACGGATGAATATCCCGGGCTTGCGATCCCTTGGCATCAGCTGGTGTATGCTGGAATTTGGTGCTCGATGTCGAGCGTGCCAGTAGTATCACAGTCGTACTTACTCTTGTTCTCACCGATAACCGTGACGGTGCTTTACAGTGTCGTTGCCAGTGTGCACGTTATCTTAGGGGAACGACTATCTTCCTCCTCCTACAGGTCTGATCTCGGGAGACTAAGGTAGGCGTGGTTCTGAACGCCATTGTGACCGCCCTTTTAGCCGAGTGAGGTGGAACGATGGGTACCTGGACTGTCTCGGAATTTTCAAGGTCCTTTGTTCAGTCCTCTCGGGATCATCAAACACCGTCTACGTACAAAAGAGCTCATACATGAGCACCGCGCCGCTGAGCTTTCTCCACCGGTCCTTCTTGAGCCTGCTTGCAAGTCTGTCGGAACTCCGTTAGTGAGTCATATGCCACAGTTCTTGTCTCGCAGCCTCCATCGATTCAGCTGGATATCGATACTTACATCACCTTACGGACCGGAGATAGTCAGTAACTCCTGCATACTTAACCCGCCGAGTACCTGAGAAACGACGCATCAACTCTACCCTCATACCGCGAAATAGTTCGTCATGTCCAGCGACTCCAAGATCGGACACGTAGCTCTCGTTACTGGTGCTGCCCAGGGTCTGTTCTCCCTCTCACCATACACACATTGCGAGCTAAGGTTATCCTGACGACTTGCATTTGAAGGTATTGGGCGATCGATCGCTTTACGCCTTGCCAAGGACGGATGTGATCTCGCCGTGAACGACATCCCGGGGAAGATCCAGGAGTTGATTGCGTTACAGGCTGAGATCAAAGGACAACATTCGCGGAGATGCGTTGTCGTGACAGGCGACGTTTCAGTGGAGGACGATGTGCGGAAAGTCTTTGAAGAAGTCGTGGCTCAGCTTGGGGGGCTTGATATCGTGCGTTTTCTATATCTTTCATCAACCTTCCCATAGTCTTTTGAAATCGTTCTGCTAGATGGTAGCAAACGCCGGAATATGCGCAATAAAGCCTTTCGTGGATAGTGCGTAGCATCTCCCGAACCGTGGTTTCCATATAAGATGCCAGCTAAAACTTCAGTTAGTTTCTGTCAACGATCTCGACAAGATGTTCGCCGTGAACCTTCGCGGAGTATTCTTATGTGAATAAATCCCCTCGAGGCGAACTGTAGAAGATACCACTCATGACAATTTGTTCAGGCTATCAGTTTGCTGCAAGGCAAATGATCAAACAAGGTCGCGGCGGCAAAATCATAGGTGCTTCGTCCGAAGCTGGAAAGCAAGGTATGCTTCCCCCCTACCTAATACTTCTTTCGTGACTTATAGCCTTTGATTTATGAACTTCAGGACACCCGTTGATGACCTCGTACTGTGCTATGAAGTTCGCCGTCCGTGGTCTTACGCAAGCGGTCGGTAAGCAATCGAATGAGCTCATCTTCGATATAGCCCAGTGAATTTAAATTGGTGTAAACAGCCACCGAGCTTGGAGCGCACAACATCAACGTTAACGCTTACGCACCGTAAGTCAGGTATTAACCCGTCTTTTGCGCGTGGTATGAACTTACTGAATTAATAGGGGAGTCATCCTGACGGATATGCGTATGTTCGCTATTACAATCGACGAACCAGAGTTTACATTTGCGTTCATCACAGAACAAGCTATCGCGAACCATAAACCTGATCCCGATGCGTTCCTCAACGAAGTAAGACCAGCGTTCCCTTCTACAGATGTGTTCGATATGCTCACGGTCGCTGTAGGAGAGCAATAAGCCTGCCCTTCGACGGAATGGAACTGCCGAGGATGTAGCCTCTGTAGTATCTTATCTAGCATCTGAAAACTCTGGATATATCACCGGTACGCTGTCTTGTATTAGCTGATTTAACGAAATTAAACTCCTTATTCCTGTGTTTATCTAGGTCAAACTGTAGGCTTTTTCACTACTATTATGATTAACATCACTCATGTATTTTCCATAGATCACGATAGACGGAGGGCGCTACTTTGACTAGCCACACTAAGGAAGATGCGATGGGTTTCGTGTTAAGGATTGAAGAGATGGAACGGGTAATGGGCGCTTGAAGGGTGTGCAAGGGATTACCTTGCTTGAAGGTCTATTTAACCTTCGCGATTGCACTAGAGTAGACTAAACAGATCTGACCCTGTACTATAAATTCTGAGCTCGTCGCACCCTAATGTGAACCACAGACAATCGGTGGCATGGTCGATGCAGGATGTTCAGGAAGTAAGTAGTACTTCTCCTCCTCTTCTCCCTGCTCCGTTCACCGTTCCCTCCGTCTCCCTTTTCCATCCGAGCTCTTTAGATGACCATGCGACCTAGCCAACGCCGGCTTCCACCTCCTTGCAGTCCTCTTCCACTACCTTCGGTAGGAGAAACAATCCGAATACCATCGCTCTAGCCCGAAGCCATCGCCAGTCTTCAGCGCCTTCTCTTCTTGAGGACGCGCTGGAAGGTTGAGTTCCTCCTGAGTACGGCGAAATTCCTCGCGCTGACGCAGTTGATCGTCTCGTTCCCGCTGGACCCGCTCATGTTCTTGTTGTTCCACCCTGCGCCGAAAATCTTCGCGCTTGTTTTCCTCTATCTGTCGCTGTTTGTCTTCAAGTTGGGCGCGCCGTTGCTCTTCCAGCAATCGCTCAAGAGCACGTTGGAGCTGTTCCTGTTGTTCTCGTTCTATCCTTCGTTCTTCTTCCGCCAACCGTTCCATTTCCTCAATCATCCTTTGCGTCGCCTGCTCTTCCTCGGCTTGTCTCTTAACTTCCTCCTCCTCCTCCACATTTCGTTTTGCTTCCTCCGTCAGTCGCTTTCGGTCTCCTTCCTGCGCGATCCGTCTCGTGTCAGCCTGTTCCATCCACAACCTGTTGCTTGTTTCTTCATCCGCCTCTTGAGCTTTCTGGTCCTCTTCTTTCTTGGACATTTCAGCTTCTCTCTGTGCCACATCCCTTCGCTCCTTCTCCCTCCGCTGTATTTCTGCCTCTCTCTGCATCTCTTCCTCCTGATCCCCCCTTTTGTCCCCTCCCTTCTGTGCGAGTGCTTCCTCCCACCGCTCCTTCTCCAAGTTCTCCGGCTTCCGCCTCGCCATCACCCTCGCCTCTACTTACCTCCCTGCGAACTAGCGCTTCTTCTCTCTTTTTTTTTTTTGAATTCTAGCTCTCGCCGCTTCAGATATCCGTCCCTTCTTGCCCTCTTGCTCCTTCCTTTGCTCTGCGCTTCTCTTTCCTTCTGCTTTATCCCCTCCTCCCGCCGTCTGACATCCCTCAGCCTTCCGCTGCAAGTCTGAATCCCTCTCTTGCAATTCCAATTCCGTCTGTATCTCCTCCAGGCCGCGTCCAGTACATATCGCGGAGCTCTCGGTTGAGAGTGATGTGATGGTGGATTCTCGGCTGGAAGATGGATGCTATACGGGCCGCTTGACCTCACGTATCGATGACTGCACGCGTCCTATGAGGTCCTATGCAATAAATATACAGAAGCTGCGATTGCGATTGCGATTGCGATTAGGAAACCTGGTACATACCTAACAAAACTGAGAGAAAACACGTACAGTACTCATCTTCATCGTACATAGACGCTTTCCCCAGCTCTAGCCTCTCGAGCTTGTCAATGAAGGACCTGTCAATGCACGGCTGCCGATATTAATATTGTCAATGACTGGCTGACGTTTTCCAAGTTCAACAAATAATTTATTAATAAAGTCTAAGTGTGGCCGGAAGTATCTCCCGAGCTTCCGATTCGGACGACCTTCCAAGTCCTGTTACAGTTTCTCTCGAGCCTCCCTGTGGATCTTCAGCACGAACTTCGCTAAACGAGGGCGAGCGAGCGTCCGTGCACGGTGCCAGTGACGGCTTTGGGACCATCCTCAATATTAATATGCGTCGGCGGAGCTGCATGGGCTGTGGACAGTATGTACGTAGATCCTGAGCAGCTGTCTCGTGGATAGATAGCGTTCGACTTTCGAATGTGCTGGCTGTTTGGATTCGAGTAACGGGGATAGTGGCGTGAGTGTGGCTCCGAGTAGTACTACGGCGAAATCGACAAATTGGCGATAAAGGGCTCGAGCCTCTGAACCGCATACAAGCAAGGCAATGAAAGAGCAGGAAATTTAAATACATAGTTTGCTTCATACAACAGTACACTTCTCGTCTATTCCATCCCATTTCGCCCACCCCGCTTCGCTCGCCCACCCCGCTTCGCTCGGTCAAACCCACTCCCTCGGATTCTTCAACACCTCCAACAACCTCTTCTCCTCCGTGCCCTCCTCCGTCCCCACCTCGCTCATATACTCCCACCTCACCTCGTCCGGCAAACTGACCAATATACTCTCAATCCTCGCCCCCGGCGTCATCAGCCCAAACTTCGTCCCCCTATCATACACGAGATTGAACTCGACGTAACGTCCGCGCCTCAGGAGCTGCCACCTTCGCTGCTCGTCCGTAACGGGGGTATGGATGCGCCGGGAAAGGATGGGGAGGTAGGAGGGAATAAAGGCGTCGCCTGCGGTGCGTATGAACGCGAAGATATCTTCCTGCGACCACGGGCGAGACGATTTATCGTCGAACGAGGTCGCAGAGGGGATCCGTTTATGTACTTCGGAGCAGAGATCATCGAAGAACAAACCGCCTATACCTCTCGATTCTCCACGATGGGTGATATAAAAATACTCGTCGCACCATTTTTTGAACACAGGATACAGCGCACTTCCATGCTTATCGCACGCCTCCTTGATCGTCCCATGAAAATGCACCGCGTCTTCTTCATACAGATAATTAGGCGTGAGATCGCTCCCACCGCCGAACCACCACGCGAGGACCTTGCTCGGGTCAGCATGGTCCGTTATTTCGAAGTAGCGGTAGTTAGCGTGTACGGTGGGTGCGTGCGGGTTGCGCGGGTGGATGATGAGTGATATGCCGGCTGCGAAGAAGGGGAGGGCGGAGGTGGAGGTGGGGTCGTAGGGGATCGTGGCGTGCTCGACGCGCATTTGTTTGATGGCGGCGGGGGGGAGGGAGCCATGGACGACGGAGATGTTGACGCCCGCTTTGGAGAGCGCTGTTGTGGGTGGTGGGGAGGAGGAAGGGGAGAAAGGGAGCTGGAAGATGGAGGAGATGCCGTAGCCGCCTTCGGGGCGTTGCCATTTGTCGCGGATGAAGCGCGGGGCGGACGGGTCGAGTGATTCGAGGGAGGTTACGATTTGGTCTTGAAGGGATTCGATGTATTGTGACATGCGTTCGCGCATTGGTTTGGTGGGCGACGACGACATTGTTGTGGGTTTTGTTTTGGGGATGGACGATGTGGTGGAAGGAGGTGAGAGGCTTTATGAGAATGCGCTCGATTCAGCGGATCACACGATTTCGCGCCGGATGGGTACGGCTCTCTGCATTCGGCTCTGAAATACTTGGTCTGGATGGAACTAGAAAAATAATTGGGGACATCGAGGCTCTCGAGTCTGGCTGGAACGAGACACGGGTGGTGATGGACGAAAGGAGGATGGTCTTTCATCAAAGCGTTGTATCCTTCGGCCAAAACACACGTAAATATGGTCTAAATTCTGACGCTCGATGAGACGGGAACAGAGGCGGAACCAACTTGAATGCTACAACGATGCCTTCGAGAAAGGTCTGTCTATTATTTTGAGATGCGGTAGTAAACTATCGAGGTCGGACCAGCTTGGAAGCTTCATGATTGATTTAAATAAAGAGCGGATCACCGTCAACTTTCAAGAATGAGGTGTTGCTTGTGTCACTGTGCACGACGGCAAGAAACGGGGATCTCCCTTCCTTCCGTTCAAATAAGTTACACGGATCGTAGACCATATAAATTCCAATAATGACCCTAACAATACAAACACTCGTACAACCCATCTCTCCAACCTCAACCCCACCACCCCATCAACCCTCCTCAACCTCACCACCCCATCATCCACCCTACCCACCCCCGCCTCTACTCACTCATTCAACGTCGGCACCCTCAACATCTCCAACAACCCCATCAAATGTTTATTCCCCCCAAACCGCGCAATCTCATCCATAATCTCCCCGTCGAGCCGTTCGAGCAGATCGTGTGTGTGCTCGAACGATTTCGTTCGAGAGCGGAGGTAGGCGATCGCGCGGGTTTTGAGGGTGGGGGTTGTGGGGCGTTGTTTGAGGATGTCTGGAGGATTGATAGGGAGGACGGTATCAGACATGAGTGTGCAGGGAAGGGGGAAGGAGAAGGGAGGGAAGGAGGGAAGAATGGGTAAAGGGAGGAAGGACGCACCGATGAGTGTCCCGTCGTTTTGATTCGCACGTATACCGTGGATGACGGGGTATGAGAATTTGCCCTCCGTCAGATCCTCGGCGAACCCTTTGCTTTGGGTGTACTGCACGATATCCGTCAGCAATGAAGCAAATAGCGTGGAAGCGGACAGAGAGAGAGGGGAGAGAGAGAGAGAGAGAGAACGCACGGCGGGACTGTCTAGGTTCATGTAATCGTCGCGGACTTGGAAGTATTCGCCCAACAGGTTGACTAGGGGAATGTAGTCCCTGAACTTTCCATTAGTACATCAGACACTCCAATTCATGCAAAGACGAGCTTAGTCGGGTCTACATACACGTCCACGTTGGTCGTAGAATACGCCATCAACAACTTGACCGCCAGCCTAAACAGCCCGCCAGTCTCTACCAGTCGTCCCAAAATTTGTATTATGGTCAGACCACCGACGACGACCGTGGCGAGAGGAGGGGAGAGGAGAGGAGAGGCTGGGAGGTAAGAGAGAACTGACTATTACTGATCATAAGAAGATACTCCGCCTCCGTCGGACACTGGAGCGAGTCCCGCCAAATCATCTCCATCCCCTGGCCACGATGCAGATTGAGTAGCTCCTCTAAGCAATATGATCAGGACGCTATGTTTGGACTACTAGAGCACAACGACGCACCGGTCACGATCTCATGTAGATCCCGATCCGAGTATATCCGCTTGTGCTAGCAGTGAGCAATAGACTGATGAGAACGGAGTGTTTCGTCGTCGGAGTGAGGCTCACATTATCTGCGCTCGGAGAATCCAGCACGCGTAGTAGTTTCTGATAGGCGAGGAAATAGGCATGACAGGCCGCGTTTATCGTCTTTGGGATTCCGTATTTGATGTGTGCGGCTGAGAAACAAATATAAGCAGGTAAAAATTGACGAAATACATGACCCGTTACGAACCTGCTCGTCCTCTGCGCAAATCCGAATTATCCTCGATATCGTCGATCCTACGCGTGGTGTCGGTAAGGGAGCAACCATATACCAGAGGACCGAACTCACAGAAGACTGGCATTATGCAGCGTGCTAACCACGCTCGAAATCACAAGCAGCTCTCTGGCCGGAACATTCAGCCAGCTATTGAACGCGACGATTATCTTCGCGCGGACGTCGTTTCCGGGTGATTCGGTGAGGTACGTGTAGGGCTCTAGGATCGCCTTCAGTTCATAATCGTATTCATAATCAGAGCAGGAGGCGGCGTGAGCATTGTACGTTCTCATGAAGCATGCGAGAAATCGAACGCACGGTATCATCTTCGCGATTGGAGGGCCGCAAATTGAATAGATCTAGAGTGATAGAAGGCCGCTAAGCCTGAGGACGGACAACAACGAAAATACGAAAGAAGAACGGGCGCACTCACCAGTCTGGGCTTGAGACACGGCGAGACTTTGCAAAGTTTGCATATTGGCGTAGGGTTAGAATTTAGATATTGACGAGCTTGAGCTTGGGATGTCTTTATAGGAAGGAAGGTTCAACATTCATGCTTCGTTGGCACTTGCTTGTAATGTTGCTGGAATTCATGAAGCGGTGATGGAAGGGTCGGCGCTGAAGCCGATTAGAGGTGCAGACCTTCAATCGTGATGGTGACACGATTGAAGCGATAGAAGAGTGAAACGGAGGTGGCTGGGAGTCGTAGCATACGAGGTGCTCGGAGGTCTAGATCAATCAATGGCTAAAAGAGATTGAACGCTGGATTGCACGGAGTAGCAACTTCATTTAATGTCAACGAGCTATCGGGAAGAGGAGCGGATAAGTACGGTACCTTTTCGGCTGCGCAAGGAAGCGATCGGCGACCGATTTGCGTGCCATTATACATAAGTGAGGAAGGGAATGGAGACTCGACGAAGAGAAAGCACGGCTCGACCTGGGTAAGAGTCATGAAAGGTTGACCTCTGCTCAGCGAGAAAGGCATTGCTTGCCACTGTAAGCATTCTCCTCTCACTGTACCATTCGACAACCATGCCCTGGCAGACATCATTTATATACCGTGACTTTCCCACCACACGTTGATGCTCTGGATCACTACTGAGCTCTTCAAGTTGAATCTTGCGTTCAAGTTATCCTGCGCGGCGCCTTTCGCCGTGTGTCGTCTTCCATCTTCCACGATATTATATATATTAGACGTTGTGCTGTTGCCAAAGTTGCATGGGCGATTCCCATCGTCGTTCTCAACAGCAACGGAACCGCTTTCGACGCGGTTTGATGGAGCACTAGTAGAGAGTATATTTGTGAGTAATATGAGACAGCATTCAACGAAAACTGACCGAAATTGAATGAACAGGACTTGTGCGGGGAAACCATTGAATATTATATTATTTGCAATCACTTCCAAATCACCTCTGTCGCCGATCTCGATGAGTGGAGCACCAATCTGGGCTCAGGCAGTTATGGAGGTGACATACCGTTCCATCACCATCCCTATGAGCATCACATCACGCCAAAAGTCCGATGTCTTTTCATTGGGCGCGAGGTCAGTTTCGGGACGGGAGACTAACAGATTGCTCACCTCGAAGACACAGGTCTAGCTCCTGAACGGCTGCACCATTTTCCATGGTACTCTACAAAATATCGTCGGAGGCAGTCATGGTGTCCACATACCATTTGCCGCAAACGCGACACCAAACAGACCTGAAAAAACGTGAGGATGATCTCCGCCGGCCACTCACCGGCGTGTTCGGTACTGTTTTGCATTGCCGCAGGCGGTGACCATGTGTGAAGTCCGGCGCTAGGGGGAACTTGAACGCACATGGAAGTTATGGACAGGCCCCCTTTGAAGCGGAGCCTCAATGTCAAAGCGCAGGGCGCCGCGGCGGACACTGAACCTCTTGGGGCAGGGTGGCACAGGCCTCGTATCCCTCGTATCTCGTTCATGTACGCGCCAGTCTATGTATGCTGATTTGAGCTATACAAATATCATCTATCTACTCTTGTTTACAAATGAGCGGCCTCTCAGGAGCTGCCAATTTGCCCGAGAGCTCTCCTGATCCACTTTGCGCACATCCCAAACTTGTTCAACTACTTATCCCCACCCAGGAGATCTTGAAACTATGGAGGTTTTTGCTGGACTTTAAACACAGGCTTATCTTTTTAGGACACTTTTCTACTCCTTCGAGCTCCGTCGGAGGCCAACATACTCGATCGGATCAGAATCTACGCGAACGGACGCGATTAGACTCTACTATTCGACGCGAATCTACTCGAATCTATTCGACTAAACTCCAATAGACGCGAACGGACGATGATTTCGCGCCCTCCATGGTGCATCATCGCGCCCGGAAGCCCTGCGTGGACTGGTATATAGCTACATATACGACTTTCGAGTGCGATCGCGTTCTATCGCGCCTCCATTTTTCGGAGTTGAGTCTATGATTTTCTTATTTGATGAGGATTTAAAAAGGGGCCCTCAGAAAGGAGCCCAACGGAGCAGAATGGAGTGTAATGGAATAGAATGGACTGCATTCTATTCCATTACACTCCATTCAAGTCCAATAAACTGCGAAATCAAGAGTATATTCGACGCGAAAGGGCTCGATTCAACGCGATCGGAGTCCAAGCGATCACGATCGACGCGAATCTGGTGGAATCTAGTCTATCGGACGAGATTGTCGTGCGTTGGACACGAACAGCGACGAACGCACTCGAGTGGACTCCAATGCAGGCTATCAGGTAACTATCAAGCTTCAAAATTCAGGAGAAAGATATTTGAGTCCAGTGCAATCCATCATACGAAACACTGTCATTAGACGCACCATGATCCCCCCCTATCTGAAAGGTGAAACACTTGTCACACCGAAGAAGATCGTCGAGCTCCAGTATCGACACAAACACAGCGAAGACGTCTCCGTTGGCGTCTTTGATTGCTCGTACAACGCGGCCGGCACGTTGAACGAGGGAAGAGGCGGTGCTTGGTCCGGGGAATATGATGACTCGTCGAACGTCCGGTGGGTCGATTCCGAGCTCCATGACTGAGGTTGCCACGAAGCCCGCGGTCTGACGAGTCTCTTCGGTGTCGTAGAGAGCAGTGATACCCTCTTGTTTACAGTCCGGACACGTCATGGAGTGCATGTGGCGAATGAGAGTATTTTTATCGTTCTGGAGTTGTGGCGGATGCAGTGAGCGAAGGTAGACGGCAATGCGATGTCCAGTCTCGATAGTGTCGGAGAAAAGGATGAATTTTGGTACGTCTGAAGCCTTCGTCATGTGTTCGGGAACCAACCAGTCAAGGTCGCGGAACTGATGTGTCGTATGCGCGTACCGAATCGCTCGGAAGATATACTGTACCATTCGATCGGATGCCATGAGATTTTCCTTGTGACACGACTTAGAAAATCCGAAAAATTGAAAGAAAATTATTGCAATACTCAGACCTTATGCCATGGGGGGTCTGTGACGTGTGACCATGGCATCCGATCGAAATGGTACAGTAGTTGACATTGTGGCGCTCGCAGTCACGACGATCAAGGTGATACTTTCCTTTAACGAAGCCGAGTTTATTGAAAACACGGTCTGTTTGTCGTCCAGGCTCGAGTGTAGCCGAGAGAGCGACAAACGTGAGGTGCTTCGGTCCCAGTGCACGAAGGGTCCAGATGTCTTCGTACGCGTTGCGAAAGTCGGGGCCCCAGTCGGATACAAGATGAGCTTCATCGACATCGGCTACCTTCCACCTCTTTCGAAAGTTGTCGTCGTTCATGATGGCTATGAATTCCGGCTTTCGCAGTGACTCCGGAGCAAGTGCGATTACTTGAAACTTGCCTGCTTTCACTTCTGCCCAGAGGTCACTACCGGCCTTCGCTTCACGAGCAAGATGTTCCGCGTTGATGACGACCGAGGTTATACCTTTCGCTGCCATACTCTTGGACTACAAGAATTGGGTGAGTACACCTGCATGACTGTCAGCATTCATGTGCTCTTGAAGCTTACCATATCATCTTTGAGCAGATTAGTTGGCTCCACCACAACACTGATCATATCCTTATCCACAAGTGCCGCGATATAGATGACAGCTGTCTTTCCGCTACCTGTTGCCGAAATACATGCCACATCTCGGCCGTCAAGGACGCATGCCGAGTCATAGAGCTGGTTTTCATCCGCGGTGAAGGGAAGTATCGGCTCTATGATGTTTCTGAGAATTACGAGCCCTTCGGGGGATGTCCATTGGAAGTTGTCGGACATATAGATACTAGAGTAGCCTTAGAATCCGATTGAAATATATATATAGGTCGATTATAAAGGTCCTTAGGACATATTACACTTCCAGTAAAATTACAAGAGCGGCGGGCAAGGGTATCGAGAGTGGCAACGTCAACGACGAGCAGAGACGGTGAACGAGACGGCGACTGTGGCCCCCAACCTTCATTTCCTAAAACGGCTGCCGACCGCGCCGCAGCGGCACCTCGGCAATCTGCTCTCGCGACATGCCTGTCCATAAGACCCCCACTTTGGAAAGCAGACGTCAGACAGAGTGATCCTCGCGCCCGCCGGTTGAAACGATTGGCTACTCTGCTTAGGGAAACTAGGGACAGTAGTCTCCTAGAGCAGAGTAGCCAATCCTTCAACAACCGGCTGGCGCAAGGATCACTATACCATGGTGTGTGGCCGGCGTCGCCCGAGCCTCCACTATATAGGGTAAGGGTTTGGCCGGTATGTACAGGAATGTGGCTGTGAGCGTCTGCGCTTCAGTCAAGACTGTCGAGATGGCTCACCCTGAGTCACCAAAAGACATCACAGAGCGCGAGCAACTGTCTACCTTCATAACACTCGCTACCACCGCTTTGAACCATCGCCGACCAGAGGAGCCGGTGGAGAGCAAAACACACGCAGATGACCTCCTCCTGACTTTGCAGCATCTCACCACTCTCTTAACAACTGGCACCCCTCCCGGAACGAAAGGCCCTTCCAGAGATCCCGCAGGCAATCGTGTCTTCGCCGTTACCGCGACCACTTCTGCCCAGCACATCAGTACTCTCATCTTGGTCACTCAGAATACGCGGGAGAAACTCTCTCCGTCGACATATCACATGCAGTCATTAAAAGACGATATAGACGGAGGTGATGTCCTTCTTCGGTGGATTGAAAGAGAGTGCGTCATCTCTAACAGCAGCTCTGAACACTGCCAGCGGATGCTGACCTCCCACGATCTTGGTAGCCGCGACATGTACTTTAAGAATGTGTTCGCTATCCTTAATCGATTTCGTCAAACCGAAGAAGATCCCAGATTGGGGGACGATGCCGTCCGAAAGCTCAAAAAACAATTTCATCTCTTTGTCATAAATCATACCTTTCCCAAGATCGTAGCCCGCATCCTTAAGGGCAACCAGTCCTGGAAGAAGCATCCCATCGACGTCCTCGCCGCTGCGCGCCCCCAGGATCTTCATGTGCAGCTAAGCTTTCCCAAGACAATCGAGGTTCGCCACGACTACCTTGTCGGTTGGCTCTCAATGAAGGGCATCGTTCCGCACGTTCCACATACGCCTGGCGCGAGGGCGGCCTCCTTTCAAGTAACTCCAGACACACTAGACCAATGGGTTCACGCTATCACAGATACCTTCGCGGGTCTCAAAAAAGCCTTGATCGATGACGACAACAAATGCAAACCTGATCCCGAGCTTGAAGACGTGATCGAGGCCCTCAATCACCTATTGGCATTTCGTGCATTGTTGAAGTGCGGGATTATCGAATACTTACTCTCGAGCAAGGAGCTTGCCGCAGCGATGAAGGAACCGTCTGGCGACGTCGACACCAATCACGGTATGCCTACCGTTCCCTCCCCTCCCCTCCCTCCTTCCTTCTGTGTATCTTGTTCCATTGACAATCACGAATATGAAGCAGTGGAACTGAACAATTCGAGTGGTGCGGGTGATGAAAGTAACGAAGAGGTTGCGTTGGATGTAGAAGGAGTGAAAGCTATCACCGAAGAGGAGGATGATGGTAACGCCGAAGTCATATCTCTTCCAATTGTTATTAAGGTTCTCATCGACTGTTTATTGTTCTAGTCATTGCTGAAGACCTTCAAACCAATAAGCCACGCGACTCCATTATTCGGTATCTCAAGACAATCGTCGCCTGGACCGAAGCCGTAGAGTCACTTACCGCGAGGCATTTCTCATCGCCTATAACAGCACATATCTTCGCCGCCCCTCATCCCTATATTGACTCTATTGACAAGCATCTGGCCACATTCAAAACCAATATCCTAACGAACCCCGCTTTCTCAGAGACAGAGAGAATTCGGGCTCGAGACTGCCTGGGACCTCCGTTTTGGTTCTCAGTAGCAAGTGTAAAAGGTGCGACAGTACACGCAGAGGCGCTTATGATGGCTCTTTCTCGTTCGTTTTACATGACGGATGTTGCGAAGAAGTCTCAATCAGCGTTAAGCCTCGATGACAAAAGCCGCACGGCCCTGCAAAATGTCTTCCAAGTTCGTCTCTCTCTTCGTGTCTGATCCCTCTCCTATCCAGCGCTCATTTTGCCGCTCCCTTGTGCATTGATTAGACCGCACGATCCCCCATAGCAGTTAGCAAGAAATGCTGCTGGTGTTGTTGGCGGTTGTACCTTCACTTGCACCCAGCTGAATCGTCTCCCAGGCCTTCGCCCCCCCGAGCATCGCCGAGCATCAATCCTCCGAACATCGTCCTACTCGGGAGCCACTCGACGATTTACCCGTGGTCTCCGCCACCGATCGGGGTTCCCATTGAGTTTCTCAGAGATCTAAAGGTGGAGCTGGAGGCGGTCTTGATCCACACCTTAAAGCAAGGCTCGAAGTCTGTCGAAGGACGGTCTCGTCAGTCCTCTGCTCGTAGCTCCGGTGAGCACGACCGTCTGGAGCTGGTCGAGCCGGTGAACCGTGATGCCGAACGCGCGGAACTTGTTAAACTCGTGCGTCTCTCTTTCTCTCTCTTAATGTCTCTGATACAAGCTGTTTCTATAGGGGATATTGACCCTGTCGAAGCGTAGTGCAATGTCGGGATTAGCGCAGAATTTAGGCCAGGCGGCTGGGGGCTAGCGACCTTGCGTGCTGTGAGGTGTGTCTGGAGTCGACTTCTACGGTGTAGAGAGGCAGATTTCGACTCAAAGTCTCGTCAGACGACGCAAGCGGTGCGCGGAGTCAAAATCCAAGGTCCTCGCTTAACTGTCTGCTTTAGGCAGGAGGGGGGAGGGGGCGTGACCCTACGGATAATAAATACATGCCTGATCTAAAAGACTGATCACCGATGTACTACTCCCCTTCTCCCATCCGTCGAGTTTGTCTGTAGCCGTCATGACCGGATCCACAACATGGTGATACTCGGTGCCGTTGAGCTCCGGGGCCAAAAGCACTCGACTCCTTGGGAAAAAAATGTTTGACCAGAGACGTTCGGTCATCGTCCTCGACGACTCGGTGTGCAGTCCGTATCATGTACGACGACATCGACAACTTCGGCAAATCGTGAACCTCCAGCCAGCTCATCTCCAGCCATAAGTATCGAATATTTTGATCCGGAAGAGAATCAGAAGCGAGATTGTGTCGTTCGTCGGTTGTCGCGCATGTAACGCAGCAGGACACGGAAGGCGGGCGATACGCAATCTATGCCTTCAGTACGATGTCGCCGTCCGCGTCCTCAAAAGCCCTTGACAGCCAGTGCGGTCTTCTACGCCTTACCTCCTCCCTAATGATGGGGCGAGAAGCAGTGTTCCTCTTTCCAAGCACGGAAGACCTCGCATTTTCAGACGCGGAGGGAGCAGAACTACTCCAAAGGTCTGGGGTGGGATAGATGAAGGAGCCCCTGATGGCGCGGGGCTGATGCACGGCGGGGAAATCAACGCAGGGCGATGCCCAAGTCGACCAAGTAGTGGCCGTGGCAGCACCAGCAGGTTGATAGTTCTGAGGGTCCGTAAGGTTGGCTAGACTGTTGGCGGGCGTGGTGATCAGATGTAAGTTCTCGAGGGCCGCGGATATCTCAGGGGTAGAGATGGAGGTGAAGAAGCGTGGAATGTCGTTGGCTGTTCGGTACTCTTTGGGCGTAGACTGGTGGGCAACGGCCGAGGACATGGAGACACAAGAGGGCTGTGAGCCACGACGAAATGTTGATTTTGGTTGGAATACGCACCAAACGTCGCCTTTTCTTCTTTCTCCTGATGGTATAGCCCTGGTTTCCGTTCCATAGTGCAGGCCTTAGGTCCTCCATGACTACAAGATGCCTCTCCTCTGGTAGTTTTATCTGTTTGAGGGGGCTATAATGAACCGTGACATGAACGCTTGTAGGGCAGAGTTGTACGGGAGAAAAGACATACACGTTATCCGCAATCCACCCATACTCTTCCTCTATGAGGTCCTTAACGACAAGACAGGCCATGATGATGTTCTCAGTCATGTCGTGCCGGCGGAGGGCACTCGGGAAAGCCGTTGTAAGAAGGTACCGAAAACGCAACAGCTGTTCCTCAGACGTATCACAAGGATCTACGAAAAATTCGTATATGTCGACCGGGATGGGTTCAAGATTCGGAAACTGCATTCCATTGTCGAAACGATAGACCTGGCTGCGATCAAAAGGCCCATACTCGAGCTGAACGAGGCTACTGATGGCATCGACCCAGAAGCCGTGTATCGTTGGCTTAGGGAATACCGAAAAGAGGACGTCCCGGAGCCTGAGCGCCCGTTGACCCGCGGTCAACTCCGGGCTGGCGACAAAAGAAGATAGTTGGGAGGGTATGTGCTCCGGGTCGGGCGATGGGAGTACCCAAAGAAACTGCGCCATTTGTGCGTCCAAGAAAGGGAAGAGCTCAGCGTTCTGATGTGTCATAGACGCCATATAGGGCGGTGAAAAGGCTAAAGCTGGGGCGAAAGGGCGTATGGATCGAGTGGGGGACAGGCTTTATATATGAAAGCTTGAGCGACAAAAGTGAGTGATGTGACGACAATGACGTGCAGTCCAGATAAGGATATACTTTTGTACGCCGAAGTCGTTCAGCGGCCCATGCTTCTTCTTTATGGTGCGAGCGTAGCGGGGAAGGGCGAATCAAGGCAGTGAGTGGCAACCTTGTTTGAAAAACAAATTACCTCTGGACCGTGCACTCGATAGTCTTTTGTTCCAAACACAGCGGGTTCTCCCAGGTTCGATTCGATTCGATAGTGCCGTTCGTCACAAAGGACCGTTCGAACAACGTTTCGAGCTCAAGATACTCATCCGGAGTTACAAGACAAGAGCAAGCTACAGACGAGCTTGTTGTCAGGAATGACCTACGAATTGCTTTTCTGGGAAACAGAAAGGCACGGAGCAATAGTCATAGGCCATGACTACGATCAGATGAAGAACGGGATACACCTGTCGGAATGCGTTAGCCGAAGTCTGCTCGAAGAGCCTAGCGCTTTTACTCACTGTATTTTGGGCAGGAAGAGCGTGGCAGAAGTATGGAAGGGGCACATGAGCTTGCTCATGCGCAACTATGAAAGCGCGTATCAGAGAATGAGGCAGCCGAGCCCAACTCAACGATAAGATCTCGGGTTCGACGGGAGAGAAAAAATGGATTACAACACTAATAAGAACAGACTGCGATGGCATCGAAAGCGAGGGATACTGCAGCCGGGAAACCGTTAACATGATGCCGTCTATTGTTTGATCAACTCGTCCACTACCCGGTCTTCGTGAATCTTCGCAACATTCGCACCACGGTAGTTCAGTCTCCGAAGGACATCAATCTGTCGGTTCCAAAACACATCAGGTTACATCGCTTACAGCCCGAAAGTGAGGCCGAAGAGAACGAGACGCACCACTTTACTCCTCTCGAACCCGAGACTCTCAAACTGGTCCACATGAGCCTTCTCCAATCCGGCGATCGCAATCTCATCCCGGCCACTTTTTCCACCAGTCAATTCCCCGATGTTCACATTCCTTCCGCCTCCACCACCAGCATACACTTGCGTCCAATATCTCGCAGTGTCTTCGAACGAGCTCCGACTCGTCATGTAGTGCTTCGCGACCTCTGCGTCCTGGGGGTCGTTAGGTTCAGGAGAGCATAGCAGCGATTGGAGGGAGATGAGGGTTGATTTGAGGGTAAGGACGGGAGACCAGGCGTCTTTCAGGATGTCAAGACAGATAGCACCGGATGCAGACGAGACGTTCGGGTGGTAGACTTTCGTGATGAACTTCATCTTCACCGGTTGAAATGGATATGAATCTGGGATCACGATGTCCTGTTCAAAACCATGATCGTATATCAGTATCAGAGAATGTAGCGGGACGGCGGGACCAGGCGGCTGTAATATCGCGAGAACACGCACCACTTGGAAGTGTCCACCCTGATATGGCGTATCTTCTGGTCCATCGAACGAGCCGATGAGATGAAAGGGAGAATTATCGACGAGTTCGAGGTCGATCTTCGACGACTTGTCATTCTTACAATCTGCTCGCACGATCTCTATATCAGCTTTACAGGCCTAAGGCATCGTATCGATATTGAGAAGACACTGACCAGCAATTTCCTTGTTTACACGGCGGAGACGAGCGTCCATGATAACAATGACACAGTTAAGGAGACGCGACTGCAAATGAGAAGCGAAAGGTGGACGAGGTGGTGGTGGTGGTGGTCAAGGTGGAAGACGGTGGTGTGTCTGAGAATCAAGTTCTCTGGCGTCAATCGCTTACGGCACCAGGGCCACACAGGGGCCACCCGTTCGATTTCCGGTTACTAAATTCCGGTGAACACTAACTTTGTATTGTACTTGACTGAACATTCTTTCATGAGAAAATGTCAACGATGAACGAGACAGTATATATCCGTTTTGTGCATGTGCTATATACAGTAGATCTTCTTCACAGTCAGCGTACGAGATCCTCTTGCCACAAATCAGGGCCACATCTTCTCGAATGCGTCAGCCAATCTCCGAATGCCTTCTGTCATTTCAGGTTTCTGCGAATGTAAGAGAGCTAATCAGCCTCGAAATCCGGGAGTCGAGACCGATCGCAACTCACATCGACATAGCTGAACGCCAGCCTGAAATACCCTACGCCCTTCTCACCAGCCGTAGGTGGGACATCTTGGTCCTCAAAGGGGACGTAGTAGGTCCCGGGCGTGACGAGAACCTGTTTTCGTGTAGAAATCGATAAAGGTAGCAGATATACGAAAAGCGGATGAGCTTACTTTCGCGTCAGCAAGCTCTTTCCACGTCTTCGTGACCCATTCTTCTTCAGGAGTCTTCGCGGATGTGGTATCCGCGAGAATGGCATGGTATGCCGGATTTTGATCCAGGAAAACTTTCACATAAACAAACATCCCGGACTAGAGAGCATTCAGTCAAATTGGGCAAAGGAGAGGAGACAATGTAGACCGCATACCGTCGGAGGCACGAAACTGAGGATCGGTGTCCGCTCAGACGATGTGCTGTGCGATTTTAGGTATCCATAGGTTTCTACACCGCTAGACGATGGTTCGAGATCCAAGTACTCTCCAAGAGCGTCGCACTAAATATTTTGAGTGAGCAAGCCAGGCGCGAGGACAAAAGTGTAACAGGAAACCATACCATCCAATTGCGACGCACGGTATAACTAGAGCGAAGGTTAGAGAGCCATTGAAGATATCCCTCCGTGCCCCAAGTACGAAGAAGCTCTAGAATTATAGCCTGGCTCCATCCACTCGGGGTTTGAGAGACGACTTCGGTCGCACGGACCAACCGTTCGGCGAAGAGTGGGTTGCACACGAAATAGCCCAGTCTGCTCCCCGGCGCTATCGTCTGCGGCCTTGCGTTAGCATATAGAGAAAAGATAAAATAAAGTAGACAAGACGAGGAGGACATCCACGAACCTTGCTGAAGCTCTCCAGACGTATCACACGGCCGTCCTCATCGAACTTCAAGAAACTTGGGGACAGACTGGCGTCGGTGGCGTCGGATTCTTCGCGTTCGGAAGGCGAGCGATACACAGGCATTTGAAGGAAATAGTAAGGATCGTCTTCGCAGATGATTACATCGTGTTTCCTGCAGATCTGATAAATCTCGCGTTTTCTCGACGCTGGCATGGTTGTGCCGGTCTGTCACACCGCGTTAGTACTTCGTCCAAACGAGTAAGACTAATAAAACACTGAGACATACCGGGTTCTGTCCGACAGGTACAATATACATCACTTTTGGCTTCCTACCCCTCCTTCCTTCCTCATCCCATTCATCCAAGATGCTCTCCAACGAGCTAGGAATCATTCCTTCCCCGTCCATCTTCACCGGCACGCCTCTGCATCCCATGGGACGCCACAATGACTGCGCTGTGGGATAAGTATGCTCTTCGACGAGCACGAAGTCGCCAGGTTCAAGAAGCAGGTCAACAACCTTCGCCCAACCATCGGTGTTTCCGGAGTTGAGAATGATCTCGAATTCTGGGTATCCTGGCTGATAGAAGGAGGAGGTGAAAGAGTGGAGGATGGAACGAAGGGAGGAGTTTCCCAAGGCAACACCTAATGTGAATGAAGGGACGAGTATGAGTACGCGAAAAAGTGAGAGTAGAATGGTATCGAGCATACCATATTGAAGAACGGTTGTAAGGAGTGGGGACTCCGCTCTATCGCGTATAGTAAGCGGGATCGTTTCTGGTTCTGGCGCTCCGGGCTCCACTCGAGTATCACTTTTGTAGGCTTGCACTTCGAGTGATTTGAACGGGAAGAAATCAGGATGAGGAAGACCTGTTCATGTCGATGTAATCCGCACGTATTAGAAAGTCGAAAAGTACAGCGAATGAAAGAGAGAAGACGAACCTCCTGCTAAACTGATCATGCCGTCGACTGTCATATAATGAAGGATGTCTTTCAGGGGACTGGGTACCCGTCCACGGCTAACAGAGTTTAAGTGATGAGCGAGATGCGAAAAGTCGCCCATCTGACGGAACGGCTTTGCCGTTGTCAGTGGTGGTGTTGAAACGACGGGGGCACCGCATTGTTCGAATTGTATGGCCATAGGAGAGATGGAGTTGGGGAAAGGGAAAGGGAAGACGGGGAAAGGGTATGAGGAAAGCACTTAGTTGTGCGGGCATTTGAGTTGATACCCACAAACAAGGTCCGTGTGGGGTAGAGGTAGTGTACCTGACTGACTCGACTGCTCGACAGCGTATGTCATTTTTTGTGTCGGTTAGGATTGCGATTACGTTGACCTCGGCCAACTGTTCCTCTGAGTGAACAACAGGGGATAGTAGGTTCAACCGACAGCAACCGAATTCAACAAGATGATCCGAGAGCCCGACGCCTTGCAGACAAGAGGAAATCTCGCCGGAGGCTACTGGTCGCGGCGCAGTTGGTCATCGTATTTGTTCACTGAGTGCGTAGGTTCGCAAAAAAACCTTGGAAGTTGAACAGTTCAATGAGTACAGATGAAAGTCGTTGCATAGAGCCTATGAACAAGCATAGGCCGAGCCTTGGACGACGGGCTGAGGACAAGTCGTGGTTAGGCCACAACGACGTTCCGGGAAGGAAATCGGCGCTTACTCAAACAGATCAGTCACCCGGGCGCCTAACTGAGAATAAGCGCCCGGGCAGCAACGTTGAACGCTGTTGAACGCCGCCGTCGTCCACAAGTCGTCCGTATCCCTCCGAAGCTCAAGTTTTTAACTTTATCTCTCTAGGATCAGACTAATAATTGAGTAGGAGGTGACAAAGTCTTAACTTATGAAGCTTGGCGACCTTCACCCAGCGGCTAGCATGACACAACTTGAACTCTCAGTCAGAAGCTGCTCGGAAGATGTGCCTCCAGTGGTTTTCCATCCTTGTCTCACGTAGTAGATTTTCGCGCCATTGCTGAAAGCGTGTGGTATTCTAAGATCTATATAATTAGGCTGTCGCTGTTCACCAAGGGCATCCACGAGTATGCGCTCCAGCTGCTGCAACTGGTATCTACTACTGCTATTACTTGTGGACCCTCTTGCGCAAACCCCAGATCGAAATGATTTGGCTTGCGCGGAAAGCGGTGGGATGACAAGGGAATACGTCTTTCGGGACGCATACTGCATTTGGAGCATGAGCAACCACAACGTTCGGAGAGGTACGCCCAATGACTCATGCCTCGACCTTCATAGCCCGGTAGAAAAACAACGGCAGATCCCATTTTGCCAAAGACAAGAAGCCGCTGAATTGCCTCGGTAATAGAGGACCATCAAAATACTGCAAAGGCCTTTTGTTCAGACCGTCGAGAATTTTTCAGGCAGACCATATTGCCATCTTCTGACGTATTCGGGGGTCGCGGGCAAGGGCTCGAGACCTAAATTTATAGCAAAGAACAGTGGCGAGCCCAATCATAGAAGAGGTGTGTCTCTCGGCCACTGATGCCGCGCTTTGGTTGCCCGTAACTGGAAATTTTTTGTCCCACAGGTCGGCCACACTCGATCTGTGTCTACCTCGCGCTTCATTTCTGGACGGCTTGCTCTCACACTCCTCGATCAGTGCCGTGTATATGTTCCCAGTTTGGTATCTGCAAGCCTATCGTCAAACGTCTTTCTCTCAACGGACGTTTTCCTGACCTACGCAACTGCCACGTATACCCAGTGCGAGCCCTATATATAACGGAAGTCACTGATCCCTCCAGCGCATTCAGTCCCTGTAGTTCTTCGTTCCCCATTGTGTCATTTCTTACCGCTTTTCTGGTTACCTCTCTGTTCGCTATCATGGCTTCCTTTTCAGCGTTCCAGGCAAGATCCCAGCAGGACAACGTCGTCGAGGAAAGCTCTGTATGGTTCAACGAACTCATGCGAAAAGCCTTGCCAAACTCTTTCGCCCCCGATACGAAACTCTCCTCAAAACAGAAGAAGGACCTGCGTCTCTTCTTGGACCTCTTCCGTGATGTCGTCGTCCCAGCCGAGATTGCCTTGCACAAGAAGGCCTGGGATACGACTCCGAGCCATCCTCTCTTCGATCTTGCCCAACCTGGCCTCGTTTTCCAGCCGTCAGCGCACGGTCAACCTCCCCCGGGACCGGTCCACAAGCGCAGGGCCGACGACGAGATTATTGGACAATCAAATGCGAATGGCCCCGCGATCAAACGTCGGAAGACGTCCAGCAATGCTAGCGCGCAAGCTGGCAGCGCATCCGGCTCTTCTATGGTACGCATGTCACTATATCGCCGAATCATCATATATCCTGACACTCGCGCATAGGCTTATACAGGTGATGGTCATATACCCCAGAGTCAGACCCCCGGTAGTGCGTCCTCGTCTCGAGGATCGACCGCAGAAAGCGAACCTTTGTCCCGTCAAGTTCGGACACGAGAGTACGCGGCGATATTCCCACGGCTACCGAGTGTCCAAAGTCTTTCTGCCGACACCCGGGAATTGATCCCTTCTGTCTTACCCGCTCGCCGCGTCCCATCCTTAGGACTTCCCGTGCACTCTCACGTCGACTATCGTTCCAGCTCTGAGTCTGCGTCACTGGAATCACCGTCCACATTCGACAACGCGATGGCGCCTCAGATAATTCCTTTCGGCAACGGACTATATAACCCCTTTGTGTCCAACCCCACAGCCTTCTTCGCGCCTTCGAATGCTCCTGGGGCCGACCAGCGCGGTGTTTTGCTGGCGACTGCACAAGCGACAGCCGATACGACTTTTGGTGGCTCTTTCGCGAACGGTCAGGTTGGTCACTGGGGCTCGGGTGGTCTACTATCTGCTTACTATCATGCGGTGTCAGACACTAGAGCGGATATGGGAACGGGATCTTGCAATGGTTTTGACGAGGCTGAGTTCTCTGCTGAAAAGCAGCGTAATGACCCAGTGACGATTCTACTAGCGGGACAGATGTCTATCGACAGTTCACTCTCAGGTGCTTTATCGGCTCCTTCAAGGCGCGCTTGAAGAGTACAACTCGGGTTGATATTGTCTGAGGATGCACTTATTAGTATGTACTGGCGCACAATCGCCTCGTCGCTCTAGAGGCCCCGCGGGTTCGGGATCTCATATGCGTCCAATGTAGCCGTGCTGCTTGATGGTGAACTATATGTCTCTGTCTCGTTCTCTGTCTCGTTCTCTCTATCGCGCCTCTCACTCGCTCTCCGTTGGTTATTACTTCTGAGCTTGCCGCATACCACTGATTGTTGCTAATTTAATATGCCTACGAGCATTCCATTTTATATATACCAATTCTTACGCTATCATCTTCATCGTCTCAGTTCTGGTATCTCCGAGTCCTGGTCGAAATCATCACTGTGGGATTACTATAGCATACTGTTCAGTGTTCGTCAACCGTTTATCTTCTTTTGCCCTATTATTTACTACATAGATCCTCGTGTCGCCAATGAATAGAGTTCTTTCTCAGGGTAACTCGGTCAGTACGGCAAGCAGGAGTAAAACGTTAACGAACCGGTCTGATCAGTGATCTTCGCGCTGCTGTGGCGCAGCCAGTGTGGCACCGTGGTTTTCCACGTGCACCTTCTCAATCGCCCCTCGCAGCCGATTCCGAGCTCGGTCCCTTGACAACTTTCATCTCGTTCTCCACCGGAAGTCGCTCTGTTCTACGATTCGCTGACATGCAAGCGAGAGGATGAAAGACAAGCTTACGCATCCCAATTGTCCGCGGTCGCTCTCTGGCCAAGGCTGCGGAAGCACATCCGCCCGCATGTTTCTTGACACCATCTGGATACCGGCCCTTTCGCCCATCATCAACTCGTTCTTTCGAATTTCTGGAGTTGCCTTGAGACCTGGCTTGGTGGTTGGTTCGCACCCGGTATGGAAGGGTTGCGTTGCCGCCGGAAGTCCCCATCACTCAAAATTATTTAGCCGGCGCGTTCCTCGGAATGTCGTTGCCCATCGCACTCGCCTGCCCTGTCGCGTTCTGTTTTTTGCTCACTGGGTCAGGCATCACTGTTTCAGCCACGTCTCGACCAGTCTAGAGCTGCCAGTGTTGGTTGTGCCAGAGGAGGTGCTCTGTGTGCTCCATCGCAATTGGCCATGGAGCTCAATCTTTGCGCAGTCGAGGCTTTCATTGGAAAGAAAGAGCTGGAGATGTGTCAGGAAGCGCTTCTTTGACGACCGTATGTTGCAACGAACACATGCAATTTGTCGAGAACTGTGCGTTTCTGGCACCGACATCCGATTGCCACAGGGATGGCCGCTATCGGGCCATTGTCGCAATTCGATATTCGGTGCATAGCGACCCGTCTAAGCGGGTACATAAAGGCGAGCCTCGCTTGTCTTGAAGTTTCTCTCATCCCTCGGGCCTGGTAGCTTGGTCGCCTTTCCTTCTCTCTCTCGTCTCTCGTTGTTTTCGTTACTTTTTTCTTTCCCCCTTCTCCCACTTCTCCGGGCCGGCCCGTCTTCAAGCATCTTCCCCTTCCTAGTTCGCTCCCCAGTCTGAGACTATCTCCTTTGTCAAGACAAGCTCGTTCGTTGATATCCACTAGCCACCATGTTCAAGAGTGCTTTCGTTCTTTCCCTTGCTGTCTCGTCGGCATACGGTCATGCTTTCATCAACTCCGTGTCCGGTGCCAATGGTCTCTCCGCTGTAGGGTTGGGTGTTGGTGCGTTCTTCCTCGTATTTTTCCCCCATTAATGGTGGTATTGACTCTATGCATTCATGACAGCTACTAACGGTGAAGTTGCACGTGGCGGCACCGACGAGCAACCTTTCCAGCTCGATACTCCCGTGCTCAAGGACACGACTACCGGTGAGTTATGTTTTGTATTTCTTTCAGTCTTCTTCCTTTGCTCATATACGTCGCCTCAAAGATCCTTGTGGCGCTACGCTTCTTGCCGGCTCGATTGACATCGCGTCATCGATGACCAGCACGGCCACTAACGGCCAGTACCCGTCGATCCCGTCCAACGGCACTGTGCGTTTTGTACAATCGTACAACGCTTTTTTGCAAGCTAACAAAATTATTCACAAAGTTGACAATGGGTGTCTTCCAAGTCAACGCTGACGGTGGAGGACCCTTCTCTGCCGAAGTCAGCACCGACGCGACCGGTACTTCATGGCAAACCCTCTCCGTTACATCCCAACCCCCCGGTGTTAACGGTCTCCTACAGTACGTCTTCCGCATCGTCTTTGTGTTTCGCGACCTGGCTCATCTCGTTTTTCGATACATCTAGCGATGGTCCTGCGAACTCCAGCATTACCGTCGAAGTTCCCAGCAACGTTACGTGCACTGGTGGAACGAACGGCAACGCCTGCCTCATCCGTATTAACAACGGTGGCCCTGACACTGGTTCGTTTGCTAATGGTGCTGGCCCCTTCGGTGGATGTGTCGCTGTCCAACAGGGTTAGTCTCATCTTCGCCTAGTTTAACTTCCATAGCATTGCTTCTGACTGGACTGCCCTCTCCTGTAGACACCACTGGCACCGCTTCCTCTTCTGCGGCCTCCACCAGCGCTACCTCCACGACTTCGAAGAAGACCAAGACCAACAAGAACAGCAAGAACAACCGCGAGATTGCTGGCAAAGATCTTGTTGACTTGTTGAAGAAGCGCCAGGAGATCGACAGCGCCATCCTTGCCAAGAGGCAGACCCTTACCGCTCACATGATTGACGAGCTCAACGTACGTCTGATTTCGTCGGTTGTGTCTCCACAATGTCCCTGATGTTCTTCGATCATATCATAGACTGCTACCGACACCGCTATCGACAGTGAGGATTCATCTACACGTTCATCGCCTCTTTCGCAGTTATTGATGTGCTGTTTCTCTTATAGTCCCCATCGATGCTCTTGCCGGTGCCAACGACGAGGATGCCAACGGCGGTAACTCCACCACCGGCAAATCTGGTACCGCCGTTCTCAGCACCCAGCAAGCCATCGACCTCAAGAAGGCTGTCGCTGAGGCCATCTCGAATGCGTTCCACGTTATGGCTAGCTCCCAAGTCGACGCCGGTGACTTCGGTACCGATGAGGTACGTCGATCTCATGCGTCACGAAGCGTTTGGCGTTGTATTGACGTACGTTGTATAGGACTCTGTCAACTCTGCCAATGCCGCTGCTGCGTCCTCGCTCTCGGCTGGTGAGGTGACTTCCATCAACGCTGGCAATGCCGGTGTTGGTGCTGTCAACACTGCTAACGTCGCCTCGCTTCTCGGTGGATGTACGTCCATCTCTATTCCGTCCTTCTAATCTTCTTTTGTTCCATATTGATCTAACGATTTTGTTCCACTAGTGAACACTGCGCTCGCCGACATCACTGGCGCTGCTGATGCTACCGCGACCGCCACTGCTACCTCCGCAGCAGCAGCCACGACAACGGCCGCCTCTAAGAAGGGCAAGACCAAGGCTGCTGCCGCTGCCGCTGCTGCCGGCAAGAACAAGTCGAACAACAGGAGAATGTTCAGGTTCAACCGCTTGGCTCGTGAGGATTAAGTTTAAATGTCTTTCTCTGAGGGTTTTTGGCGGTGGAATGTCTTTCTTACGTTGTTTGGTTTGGTGTCTATTTATTGCATGATCTTGATAGGGGTAGTGTTGTACGAGGCTGGGCGTCTTCCATCTTTTGTTTCTTTCGTATCATCATCTACTTCTTTGGAAGCAATGCGATCTATGCTTGTTGTGGGATCCAATGCTGGGTGTTTTCAACCGTCAATTATCTCGTGAAATCGTTCATCAGCATCAATTGTGGCGCAACTACGACCCACATGGCTCAAGAAGGCTGCGATGTGGCGTTGTTTGGTCTTGTTAGGATCCAAAGTCTTCGCGTCCACCACGAACTTTAGCCTTTTCTTCTCTTGCATTTGAACGACATTCATGCTGGCCGAACGCTTGGGACTGACCCAAACTCTCTCGCCAACACTTTCGGAGTCGCTCTATACACCCTTTTAGGCGTGATGTATTCATGTTCACACCTGTGCGACAATGTGCCTGTATCGGTTTCCCAAGAGCCACGCCCTCTTTAGTGCTTGCTTTCACATTCACCAGAACGAAAGACCTATCTCGAGCTCTACAGTTCGGCTCCTATTGATGCTATCGCTGAGACTGAACTCATTTGGATCTGTGCGAAGGAAAGCGCCATAATTACAAGCTGGACCATCTGCTGCAACGAGAATAATTCTTGATACACTGCGCACTCGTCATTATACTGCTCGTTTTTGTGGAAGGCCCACGTTGGAGGATCCTGATCAGGGTAAATGGGCCAACTTCAGGGTGCGGTACGGCGTCTCTTGGTGATTAACTCATGGCACCGTGCGCTTTGGAGGCTCTATGCAGCTTGGTAGCCAATGGCGTCGTGTGAGGCAAGCGTACGAGGTTCAGTAATGCGGCTGGTGTGTGCCTTCACCTTCACATTGGACCATATAATACGCTGATCTCTACCCCTGTTCTCCTCGTCTCCCTTCGGTAACTCTCCATCGATGCGGTTCTTTCTGGGCCTCGTCGCCCTGGCCTGCGCCACAGCTCTCGCTGCCCCGTCCACTCGTATCACCCATGTTCTGCACGAACGACGCGCGATAGAGCCCAGCGAAGACTGGGAAATAACTGGCAGAGTCGAAGGATCCCGCGTGCTTCCTCTCCGTATCGGACTGACCCAGTCCAACCTCCACGAACTCGAGAGCCTGCTCATGGACGTCTCGCACCCGGAATCGTCTCTCTATGGGCAGCACTGGTCAGCCAAACAGGTCGCGGATCACTTTGCACCGAGCGATGAGGCGATTTCGGCTGTGCGTGCTTGGCTGAATGACGCCGGCTTCGACGAGGAGAGGATGAAGTTGTCGCATAGCAAGGGATGGGTGGAAGTTAATGCGACGGTTTCTGAGGTGGAGGAGCTGCTTCAGACGGAATATAACGTCTACACGCATACCTCAGGTGACGAGCAGATCGGTGCGTACCTTTCTTTCCTGATCTATGTCGTAATATCATTTTACAATCTCCATGTCCAGGATGTCACTCGTACTCGGTCCCCGAACACGTTCGCGAGCACATCGACCTCATTAAACCTACAGTCCACTTCAACCACCGCATCGGCCAAGTCCCTCCAGGCTCTCGTCGCCGCAAGCGCGTCGAAAACCGTCTGGGTATGCCATCGAGCAACACCGGTCCGAAGACGAACGGGCAGAAAGTCACGATCACCCCCGTGCTAGAGAATTGCGATGAAAACATCACGCCGGATTGTTTAAGGGCTTTGTACTCTGTGAATTACACCCCGGTCGCTACGGATATCAATTCGTATGGTATAGGTACGTCTGTGTATGTTGGGTGATGAGGAGACGTGTTTTTGAAGGCGCTTTATATCATATAGTTGAGTTCACCCCACAGGCCTTCTTGGCCGATGATTTGGATCTGTTCTTCGCGTGAGTGGTCGATCTTGAGTGAAGTGCATAGTCTCTCCTAACGCCTCATCAGCAACTTCTCCCCGAGCCAAATCGGAACGCGTCCCAACTTGATTTCCATCGATGGTGGTCAGTTCAAGTATCCTTTCCCGACTCCTCACGAAGCGTATGTAATATTGTTCCTCAGGCACTGCACAGACGCAGGACCAGAGCTTCGACTTCAACGGCGAGAGTGATCTGGATTTGGAGTACGCGTTCGCGCTCACGAATCCTCAGCCCCTCACGTTGTTGCAGACGGGAGATATTCCGGAAGGTGCGTATGGTCCCAGGCTCATGCGTGCGAGAAATATTGACTTTTCGCGTGCGTGTAGGTGCATCTTTCAATAACTGGCTCGATGCTGTCGATGCGTCGTTTTGTACATTCGAGGGCGGCGATGATCCTACTCAGGTGTGTAATGAGTACACAAAGTCTTGAAACGTTTTGCGGCATGAAGCTGATGTAGACCACATCCAGGACGGGATATACCCGGACCCTCTCCCAGGCGGTTTCAAAGGTATTTATCCTCAATTCTCCAGTCTTTTGTTCTTACAGATCTGACCTGTGGTTTATTTCCCCTTTCAGGACCAGAATCCTGTGGGATCATCTCTCCGCCGAACGTCGTCTCCGTTTCGTACGGTCAAGGTATCTACTCCACTCTGCTCTCATATCATTACGAATCCGTGTCCTCAAGTCCTCTGACATGATGCATCTCGAATAACAGACGAAGCCTCCGTCACCGCAGCCTACGCGAACCGACAGGTACATATGCTTTCCCCGCCCATTTCTCCAGTCTTGCCGCTCACAAAAGGATACTTATAGTGCGCAGAGTACGGCAAACTCGGCATGCTGGGGACCACCGTTCTCTATTCAAGTGGGGACGACGGTGTCGCGGGCGGCGGCGGCGTATGTCTTACTGCGAACGGTACACCTTCCACGAGGGGAACTCGGTTCAGTCCTGGGTCGGTCCTTTCTCGATCTTCCGTATCATGTCTCTCCCGCTCTGTGCCGCCACTTACTGATTGACATACCATTCTCGGTGGATAGATTCCCCGTGACCTGTCCGTTTATCACCGCTGTGGGCGCCACGCAGGTGAACCCTGGTAGCACCGTGAACGATCCCGAGGGCGCATGCGAACAGGTCCGTCTGATCTTTATCTGTCTAGTCTCGAACTGGGCATGCGAAACCTGAAATCATCATATCTCGCGAATGATTTGCAGGTAATCTTCAGTGGAGGTCAGTCTCTGGTCAATCGGTGTATGCGTCGGTCTGACTTCAAAGCGTCTACGCATTTGACGGCTAGGCGGGTTCAGCAATATCTTCCCGATGCCGTCGTACCAAGCCGCAGCCGTAACGAACTTCTTGACGAATCACCCCCCGCCGTTCACGGCCGCGCAATTCAACAACAGTGGCACTGTGGGTACTTTCCACACGATATCTCAAGGTGCGACTCTGATGGTGTTTGTGTTTGGTGAATGGAACAGGTCCGAGCGTTCCCTGATTTGTCTGCGAATGGGTGAGTTGTCGGCTTCATCGCACGAAGCACAAAGCACAAAGCACGCTGAATAACCCGCTACACTTCTGCTCTGCAGAGCCAACTATGTCATCGGTGCGTTTTTCACTCTGGCATACTGCTAGCAGACGACTCAAAATCATGCCGTTATCTTCTACCAATACAGGTATCGACGGCGAATTCGAGCTCGTCTTTGGAACCTCGGTATACCTCTCTCCGTATTTCCTTCCAATAAACCCGTCTTAACAGCCTCACTCCTTTGATATAGGCCTCTTCACCCGTCGTAGGCTCCCTGATCACGCTCATAAACGACGCGCGTCTCGCAGCCGGGAAAGGACCCGTCGGTGCGCTCTCTATTCTAATTTCTCTGTCTTCTCCCTTCTCGCTTCTCGATTCGGCACAAACAAACAAACAAACGAGCTGATGTGTGCATGGGAACGAAGGCTTCATTAACCCTGCGGTACGTTTCACCTATCCCCTCACCCTCACCCACCCCCTCACCCTCAATTCTACCTCCACCCTCACCTCCACTCTCACCCTCACCCACCCACCCATTGACGCATCACGCATGGGTGTCTGCGGAACATTAATATCTTTAAAACAAACAGATTTACTCGTCCGACTTCGCGGCTGGGTTCAACGATATCACTATGGGCGGGAATCAAGGATGTGGTACGTCTCCTCGCTCTCTTTAACTTTGGTATCCGTGCAAGCCTTGGCTTACCTACCATGAACGTTTTCGACGACGGGTAGGTACACCCGGATTCACTGCGTACGTTTTTCGTTTCTCGTTTCTCCTACCTTACTTCTTCATCCCAGAGTAAACGAACACGGCATGCTGACCATCGCTTATAATCTGTGTGAATTCGAACATACAGGGTAGCAGATTGGGACCCGGTCACCGGTAAGTTCCTTCCTGATTTTGAATGCCCTTCCTTTCGGAGAAACTTGAATGCAATGCTGAAGCGCTCGTTCATAGGCGTCGGGACACCGAACCTCACGAAGTTGATGCCGCTGTTTATGGCGCTTCCGTGAATGCGGATGAGGGCACCCGGAAGCGGAATCGGAAGCGTGATGGAGGCCAGAATGGGAACGGGGATACGAAGGGGCTGGCCGGGGAGGTGGGTATTGGATGGTGTTCTGGGGACGTTTTGTATATTGAAGTGTGCTGTGGATTATATGAAGTGCTATAGGACTTCCGGGTGAGATGGTGGTGTTTAGCGGTGTGGTGGAACTGTTGAAGGAACTTGTGCGAGATAGGTCAGGTGTAATTTGAGGGCAAGAGGAACGTGTTGAGTACTTACATGTACGAGTCTTGGTTGTTATAAATAAGATCACCTCTAGATGTCAAGTATCCCAAACGAATTTCCTACAGACATGCAGAGATCCCTTGGAGATCCCCGTCCGTGCAAGGACGACGGAAGTACTGATAAGATCCAGCTCCCCATCTTATCTTATCAACACCCAAGTTTTGCATCTCGATCTCCGTCTCCGCTCGTCACAATTCTCCGTCTTCCATTCTCCGTCTCCGCTCTAAGCCTCAAGCTCTAAGTCTCTCGCTACTCTGAGCCTCGTTCATATGTTCTCGACGGTATGAAAACCCGTAACCATGTCTCTCAAAATATGGAGGACGACACCGACAACTCAGACTCGGACGTCCCATTCCCGTCCGACTCTGAACCGCCCTCTGTGATCCGTACTCCTTCGCTTCGTAGCAATGCTAGTCGGAATGCCAGTGCTGGACCCTCTCTGGAAGTTGGTGTAGAACCAGGCCCAGGAGAAGCAGAAGAAGAAGAAGAAGAAGCAGAACCCATCTCCCCAGCCTACCTCGCCGCCCTGCAAGCCCACATCTCCGCAACCCGCGCACGGTACACCCCTTCCTCCAAGGGAAAGGAAAAAGCGGAGGAGAACGAAGTCTATGAATATGATGAGAGTATGGGCGTGCAGGGAATACAAACACGATGGACGGAAGACGAGAAGGACGTGTTTTTTTGTTCGTTGGCTAGGCATTCGAGGTTACGTCCCGATCTTATTGCTCTGGACATGCAGGCGGCTTTTCCTCTCTCCCCCTCTCACTCCCACAACCCCTTCTACACACCAAAACCAAAATCCCTCCCCGAAATAACCTCCTACCTCACCCACCTCGCCCACTCAACCCACACCCACGAACTCTCCACGCAACACAAACGCAAATGGGCCGAACTCGAGGGGCGATCATATAAACATGGGAGTATAGCGCGCATGAAGCGGAGGAGGATAGAGATGGGATGTGCGGTGGAGGTGGGGGAGGGGACGGTAGAGAGGGAGGAGCGGATGGCGAGGGGGGTGAGGGGGTGGGTGGAGCGGGGTGGGGAGGGGGAGGTGAGGTGGAGGATGGGGAGGAGGAGGGAGGAAGAGAGGGAGTGGGCGAAGAGGGAGGGTGGCGGTGGCGAGGAGGGATGGAAGGAGGAGATGGAGAGGAGATGGGAGAGGGAGGATTGGGAGGAGAGTGTGGGAAAGTCTGGGTGGGTCGTGTTGGATAGGATGTTGAAGGAGGCGGAAGACTCAGAGGCAGGAGTCGATGATGAGGAAGGCGGAGACGAAAATATTCGAATACAAAAGATTGTCGAGCGCACGGACCATGAACGAATAGAAACTCTACCGTCCGTTTCACTTGAACCACGCAGGATAGACGACGCCCTCATCGACCCAGCCCTACTCGCCCTCGACCCGAACCCGCCACCGCCACCTCCCGTACATCTCGCCACACATCTCCCATCTCTCCTCCCACCCATGCATCTCCCCGCTCCCTCCTCCCCTATCCCCATCCCCGTACCTCCCTCTCCTTCTGGCGCATCCTCCCGCCCCACAACACCCACACTCACACCCACACCCCTCCCAATTGAAATCGACCCCACACTCTCCCCCACCTCCCGCCGCCGCCTACAAAAACGACTCTACATGCGTCGCAAACGGGCACAGGAGAGCGGTGGCGAGGTCGTGCTTGGGACGGGGAAGTTGAAGCCGGGGAGGAAGGTTGCGGAAGGAGTGGTGAAGATGGGACGTCAGAGAAGGAAGGCAGGTGATGCTGGTGAGGAGGAGAGTATGCCTGATCCGTCGATGGGGACGACTGTCACTGTTCCTCTATCTACGGCGGTTCATACCACCCCCTCAAAAGCACCAGCACCCCCTCCGCCCGTCCGACCCACGAACGACGACGATCCCGAAAAACGCACGCACAAGAATAAGAACAAAAACAAACGCGAACCGTACGAAATCCGGCTAAGGAAACGAATGGCGGATATGGGCATCGATAGGTCCTATGTGACCTGTCCGGAGAGGGGCTGGGCGATTTGGAAAGTAGGCAATTTGGGGCGGGTGTGTCGGTGAGTCTGTTTTCTGTGGTTTGTTTGAGTTTCTTGGGAGAGGGTTTCGACAGTCGAGAGTCGTTCTGAGTCTGGTTCGACTTGGGACGGGGACGAGAACGATAATGTTATTGGTCTCATTCTTCCTTCGATAAATTGCTGGCACAGGGCGACATCTGCCTGCCCCCTGCCTGCGTTGACGCCTCCGGTCGTATGCTTTGTATGAAGGACAAGTTGATGAAACCTCAGTGCGATGCTGATCACCCAGGCCATATGTGGTGCCGAACCTCTCTTAGATCATGCAAGCCCATACTCCTCCCCGTTGGAGCGCATATATTCGTGTTTTCTACGCAGCGTGATTCCGGCCTTGGATCGGACCACGCCCACGATACTTCGTGTTCCGTTCGGTGGCCTCGGTCGGACTCGCGGCGCTGGTCCGTTATACATTTTTCTTCTTCTTTTTATTCCAACTTTCCTTCTCGGTGGTTATTTGTGGAGATCCTACGCCAGCACCCAGCGACCACAGTCTATCCCTGCACAGTAGCCATAATCATAATCCGACAGTGCTGTCAGGGACCATAACCCAACAGTGACAGTGCCGAGAAACACATAACGCGCGTCACAGTCTCTCGCTCGCTCGTTGACTCGAGTGTTGTTCAACTGTGTGATCGAGCCTTGTTGTCTCTCGTATTGTTTTGGTGGCGTCTGGAGTTGCTTGGTCCTTCAGGCTTTCCACACGCTGAGGGTCGCGAGATTTCGCCCACTTATCGCACTCGCCGCCTTGAGTGTTCTTCGACAGCATAACTGAGACACCATCCGAACCTACGTCTTCCACAGAGGCGAGTGGAGTTGCTTGCTACTTTGGGCTTTCCAAATATTGAGGGCAGTGATATTTCGCCCACATATAGCACTCGCCCCCTCGAGTGTCGTTCAACCGCGTTACTGAGGCACGATCCGGGCCTTTTTCGTCTCTTGCGTTGTTTCGTGGAGGTACTCGCCACTTGGGGCTTTGTGCACGCTGAGTGTCGCGGAAGATGAATCTTTCGTCGATTTGCCGCTTTGCCGCTTTGCGAAAGCTCAAAGGTGCTGGATCTTCGAATAGTTAGCGCATGCGAAACGTGGCGATGTTTTCGATCGGTCTCGCATTTTTTTCTTTCGTTGACACCGTTGAATCATGAATCATGAACTAATCATGAAATCAATAACGTTCGACCATGAAATCATGCTTGGTTCCTGTGCTATGGTTGGGAAGGTTCTGATTTGATAGCCAAAGAATCTTAGATGGCGGGTGGCGCGCCACACGAGGGGGATATCAATGAGTGCTATCCCGCGCCCGGTTCCTCTCTCTCCTCTTATTTATCTCAGTCTCGAAACTTCATCGTGAACTAATCCAGATCTCATCCACCCCCCAGGCTCCTCCACACCCTCGCCCTCTCCTCACCCCTCGCCCTCTCATCCCCCCTCGCCTCCTCCTCCCCTTCTTCGCCACAACTATCCCTATCACAACCCTCAAAACTCTCCCTTTCCATCTCTCTATCCCTCCTCACCAATCTCACCCACCTCCTCCGCACATTCCTGAAGCAAGTAATAGGACGCGCCATCGTACGTAGAGAAGTTGAGTATGGAGTTAGGGGACATGTTAGGGTTTGGGGGTTGGCGGGGAGGGGTGGGGGATGGGGTGGGGGACGGGTTAAAGGAGGAGGACGAGGAGGGGGAGAGGAGGATGGAGATGGAGAGGTGGTGGATGGGGAGAAGGATAGGGATGAGGATGGGGATGGGGAGGTGGAGGTGGAGGTGGAGGATGAAGTCGAGGAAGGGTTGGATGGGGAGAGGATGGTGCGTTCTTTCTTCAACTCTCTTCTGATTTTTACGTTACCGCGGAATACTCATTCTCTGTGCTGGATTCCGTGTCAGATCGTACCAGCCAATATATTCGCAGCGCTCGATTCTATGGGTTATGGCGCCTCCGCCTCGCAATCGAAAGGATATAATTATCGACTCCGGTATGGACGTCGTCGATCGAGGACGCGATCTGGTATATCTCACGACATTGTACGGGGGGATACAAGAGGGAGGCCGGTGACGAAAAAGGAGGCATTCGAGGGCGTGGCGGAGAGGTGGGGATTTGAATTGGGTGAGGATGAAGATCCCGAAGGCAAAAAAGCGGGGGAAGGAGGACAAGATGAAGGTGGGGAGGGCGACGATGAGCGTGAGGAAGAGGACGAGGAGGATGAGGATTTGATAGAAGGCGAACGACCGACCCTTTCATTCTTCAGATCTATACATCCACCTTTCATCCACCTCCCTTCCTCATATTCCTCACACGACCCCGTATCCCTCCCGTATCCCCACCCTCACCCTTCTCCCCACTGCCACTCCCACCACCCCGCAGAAGACGATGAAGACCTAATGCCCAACACGACAGACACCGAAGCCCTAGCCGCCGAACTCGAAGAGGAAGAAGAGATAGAGAGGATGGATGCGCAGATGGGTATGGTGGGGTGGAGAGCGGAGAGGGAGGTGTGGGAGGGGGAGTGGGGGTTGACGTGGGAGGGGGAGGAGAGCGAGAGCGAGGAGGAACGGGAGTCGGTGGTGCAACAGGAGCAGGAGAAGGAGAAGGAGCAAGAGAAGGAGCAGGAGGGGGAGGATGGGGAGTCCGAAACGCGGGAAGACGAAGCGCAACCGATGCAAGGCGAGGAAGATGAAGAGATAGCGTCTATACGAGCTGAAGTGGAAGCGGCCGAGAAGAAGCGAAAGAAGAATAAGCGGGATAGGATGGATGAAGGAGAGTGGGGCGGAGGGGGAGGTGCGAATGTTAATGAGTTTCCGAGAAAGAGGACGAGGCGGGCGTCGAGTGCTCCCGACGTGGAAGATACCACCCACGACGAACCACATCCAGCGCCTTCACCTGCACCACTATCCGCAACGACACCAGCAAAGAAACGAGGCCGTCCAAAGGGCTCGAAGAATAAAGCGCCCGCCGCCCTCGTCAAAGCAGCCGCCTCGCGATTGGCTAAACAGAAGCGCCGTCAGAGCAGACAGAGGAAGAGCGGGGACGAGAGTGAGAGCGAACATAGTGCAGAGGGGGAGAAGGAGAGGGAGAGGGAGAGGGAGGTGGTCATGGGCCGGTTGGCGTATGCGGAGCCGGATGGGGTGAAGGTGAAGAGTGTGGCTTGGATTGAGGATTCGGATGAGTATGATGAGTAGTGTGGGTAGGAATGGGGGGGCAGAAGTTGTGGCGTTCTTGTACGGGTGGCGAGTATATCCTGCCGAGATGTAAGTTCAATTTTGTACGCGACGTGCATCTCACCCTCATCCTGGATTTCCACTGATATATATCCTTAGTTTTATCACGGCTTTTGACCGGCGGTATCACAGTGTTCAATCGTCTTCAATAGCGCAGGGATCACATCAAATATCATGGCTGATCTAGGTCTCGGGTACTCGAGCGTCCTCCGTCTTCTGCTCATATACTGCCAACGCTTCCATCCCATCCGCCTTCCGACAAACCAAACTCAACTTCTTGCCCTTCCCGTGCTCTCTCACCAACTCCTGTATCCTCTTCAACGCCTTGCCAAGCTTCTTCAGACTCGCCTCCGCTCCTCTCCTTTCCTTGACGAACCTTTCGTCCTCATACAGATTCTTCTTGTACACCTCGGTGAAATGACCACGTTGGTGTACGCCGAGATAGAAGTGCGGGCTGGCTGAGAGGTAGAGCTGGATGAATAGCTCTCGCCAGTCCATTGTGCCTATACGCATGGCATTGCGCGTAGTGATCTCGATCATGGAACTCTGGGGCATCTTGGTGCCGCCAGGAATGATGGTAAGAGGTGTTGGTGTCGTGTTGTTTTCGCTTGAACTGGTATGAATGTTGAGGCCTGCTAAAGCGTCTTCGAGGTCCTTCGAATGGTTGTCAACGGGCTCTACCGCTGTACCTGCTGGGTTCCGTCCTCCCTCACCCGTTTCCTTCGTAGCAGATCGCGAGTGCACAGGCAAGCATGCGTCCACTTGGAACCGCACTAAGAGCTTCAGACCACAAAAATCCTGCACGAAGACGCTCGTAAGCCCCGTTCTCCATGCTTCACAACCGAAAAGCACTCGCTCACATATTTAATAATGCGATGATATCCAGTACTCCCCTCGCACCCCTCCGGCCACTGCGTCGTCACCTTCTTGAACTGCAATCCATATGTCTTCTGCCCCTCCGCCTTTGTGTATTCCGGCTGTCCATCCCATCTGTGAATAACCACTGTCTTCTCATTGATCAGCTCCAAATCGAGCCTGAAGTCTCTGAACCCCCCATTCTTGTACTGGTGTGCATAGGGGTTCGGACCGCTCGCCCTGCCGTCTGCCTCGATCCACCGCATGAGCTTTCGGAGTCCGTTACGGTCGGTTATGAAGTCGATGGAAGGCCAGTCGAACGACGTGTCCGTGGTGTTGGCTTGGATGTGATTCACGGCCTGGACGACCGGGACGAGGATGTTGTACATATGAGGTTGGGAGATGCGGTCTTCATCGGGCTCGACTGTGAAAGGCTTTGGAACATCCTTCCATTCTGCCGGAGAACCTACCCAGTACCGAGCGTCAGGATACATCTTCGCGCTGCTGGTTCTGGCGTGCGAATAACCATTGATCCTACGCACCCGGAACGATTATTTTGTCTTCGGTTGGAAGCCAGTTGTACGACGCGACATATTCGACGTTCTTGATATCTGCGCGTGGTGCATGCGGCTCGATGGACGCCAAGGCAGGCAGGGATAAGGCGTCGATTGGGGTGGCGTGCAGGCCTTCCGTGATGTCTATGGCATTTTCTGGTTCTTGATTCTGTCTCGGGGTGCGTCTCGAGTATTTCACGGTCGTGAAGTCCGACATGGTGGAGGGTTGTGTACAAGATGCATGCTGTGCGGCCAAGAAGGTATTGCTCATATGAAGGCCCCAGTTGGTGTGGCGCTATGGACATTCCAGTGGCGTCGTCAGGTCTTCTTGTGGCGCGGCGTGAGTTCATATTGTACGATTCTCCGGAGAGTGAAAGACGTCGGGCACCGTGAACTCGCTTGAACCTTGGTTTAGCAATCACTGGGGCTGGGATACTGCGGTTGCTCATGCGATTGGCCCATGTAGTATCCAGATGGGAACTGGGGCTTGGATGCCGAGATTTGGCCCACGCTTCGCATCAGACGCATCCCGGGTGCATCAGTGCCAAATTTGCCGTTCTTCCCATTCACTCAGTACTCTTGACCATGCCTCTTGTTTTCGGTGATTGCTCCGGTAGGCTCTGGTGACTCGCTCTGCAGCTTGTCTGCAGCACAAGCCGTCATATCTCCAAGCCCCTATGTAGGCCTTAGACTGCCACACCCCCATGAGCATTATCGCGACGACCCTACCAGCTGCGTATTTAGGCTCCTCATAGGGCGCTCCGTACCTCGAGGTGCACTTCTTCCAGGCCAGCCTTCTTGATCTTCGCATGCAGAGAATACCGTATCAGGTTCGATCGCCTCACAAGAGCCCACATAAAGGTATACGCCCCAAGCTTCAGGCACTTGCCAACGGGCAGGAGGGTTTCAGAACCTCATAAAGATCCCCGAATCCCAGGCTTCAAGCGGCCTTCTTCATCTCTGAAATTTCACGGTCGATTTATACCCGGACCTCGTCTGTTACAGTCGTCCACTCCGCTCGTTACCTCTATTGTAATCGTTCCACTATCTCTCCTTCAAACTTGGCCGGGGCTTTGACTTATCCATAGAAAGTGTAGCAAGGCTCCTCCATGCCACCTACTCAACCTGGTGAGCTGGCAGAAGCCTCCATTATCCCGTTCCCAGCTCAGCGCTCTTTCTAGGCCTGTTGATCAACTCACGCCATGCCATCGATGGCTTGTATCTGTGAGTAACGGTCTACGATCCTCCTCCGCAATTGTGTTGACCTATCGATTCTGGGTGGAGGTGGGAGTGGTTCACGACCTTGAATTTCGAGGTCTCCCGCAGGAAAGAAAACTTCAGATGGTCGAATATCGTCAGTCCTCGTTCCGCTGCGAGGTGATTGCTTCTTTACGGGATCGCATCGCAGCTCTATATAGGTTGTAGGGTCGCCATGTTGGGTGTGTGTATGTGCGACTGGGTTGGCTTCAATCTAGAGAGGGAGATCGATTGTCAGGTACTTTTACTTCAACGATCGCTTGGCATTCTCTTACTCAATTGCCCGTTTTCCATGCGTAGACATGGTATCAATTGCAGCTTGTGCGTCTTGTTTTTCTCCTGACGACTATGAGCCCAGATTGAAATTTTTCGGCGTGACGGAGCAGTTTCTCTCGTATTTCGCTTTGGGAAGCGCCTTACGTCTGTTGACGCTCTATGCGTGAGTTTCGCATCATTCAATTCTTGCTTACCCTCTGAAAGCTGAACGTGATTCACAGCATCGCAACATGGGAACGCAACGTTTACGTTACAGGCAGCGTTATTTGGGCGTGGTTGCTTAATACGGCGTTCTGCTTCGTAGGTTAGTCATTGGAACGCCAACTGTCCTGTAGAAGTTCATTCACATGGTTGACTGAGCAGGGTTGTCTGAGGTTCGTTCGACTAGTCACTCTCGGCGTCTATCCAAGATCAATAACAAACTCCGGTGACTACCTTCCCCGATTTTCAGGCGAGCAGCCAATGGAACGCCGAGTCCCAGAGCTGTGTCTTCACAAATACAACTGGACAACGATCAGTGGTCTACGTCGCAGCTATAGTCGACCTATTCGTAATGACAGTCGCCTTAGGAGGAGAATTGCGAAACTCGAGAGGAAAATTACACTCAACCCCGGTATTTTATATCAAAGTGAGCACTAAATATTCGCTTGTTATACTTTTTATCACTGACTTTATCTGCGACAGTGGATGCTTCTAATATCTATCGTACTACTGGTCGAGCTGGCACCCCCGGTAAGAATTTCGTTATTACTAGTTTGTGACGGCGTCTGGAAAGACTCTTCTAGGTCATGATCTCCCTGAATCTGAGTGGTAAGTACCGTTCACCCTATCCATCTATATCCTCCACCTAATGTATTTGTTCGGATCCAGATGAACTAAACGTGGTACAAATCCACTGCCTCCATTCTGAACGAGTGACATACTTTATTTACATTACACTCGGCTTCTCGACAGGTGTTCAATCAGCCACACAGTATGTATGAATCTTTCACTGCCCCTCCTGAAGCCAGTGATCCTAACACATTGTTCTCCGCCCAGTCATACTCATGTTGGTCGTAATACCCCATCAAGGCCACATATACATTCTTATCGTGTACTGTATGTACAGGGTCATCGTCGCAACACGTATACACCGTAGAGCTTCGGATGAGAGAGCTCGACGAGCCTTAACGTACGTCCCTGGGATTTCTTCGTTATACTAAATTTTCGGATGTACCCCCCGTCAACCATTTCTCTTTCACTAGTTCAAGTGACCTGTCGACCTTTCAAGTCGCTCTTCCCAGTTTGTCATCACCTCCAGATGCATCAACACCTCGAACTATACGTACCACGGCCACAGCCGGCGGTATACTCACGCCTGCCCAGCTCACTACGACATCAAGCGGAGCGAACACTTCGCAGTCCGTCACAATCCTTACCCATGCGACTAATGGGTCGCCCAAGCCCAACCAAGAGTCGTTCTCGAGCGTATCCGCATTCCCGGATGATATGGGGCCTGTGTATCCGATGAGGAGGTCAAGCGGGATATTGCATGGTCTGGGCGCTCATTCGCAGCGATGAGTCGGGATGTGGCTCGAATGTCTTATGACGATTCACGAATCCTTATATGCACGGAACGCTTACATTTCGAGATTGTAAAAATTCAACTTTGATACACTCGTACGGAACTAGAGCGAAGCTCTTGTGACACCTCAAGGCAAGGCCAAGAACAACGGTATCAAAGCCGTGAGGTTGGGCGTCCCGACACCTGAAAATGTATCGAATTTATCAATGTAAGCAAACCAGGACGGCGAAAAAAAACCCCCACCTGTGACAGGATCCCAATTTGGGACGCTGAACATTATGTGCCAATCGAAGGTGAGTGTGAATTCCAAATGGGAAGCGCCTAAGAAGAAGGAGAACTTACGCGGAAAAGCCGACGGTCCCTAATAGTAACATACAGAGTCAAAAAACGAGTCAGTCGGAGTCTGACGGATCATGTGCAGGAGAATTTGAATGAGGAAGTGAAGTCTCACCGCATCCTTGGTTGGTCCCATTAGTGATATCATTGAAGGCACCAGCGAAGTCGGTAGAGTATATCTAAGTATTGGTTTCGGAAAATATGATGGTCAACGTTATGTGCGAGGGTCACTCAGTACATCATATGAAGGTGGGTGATGAACACATACGGCAGGATTGATGAAACCTGAGATTATTGGACTACCTAGTCAATACTTATTCCTTTCTCGCTAACTGATAATTGCAGAAAGCTCACCAACAGAGGATTTCCCCGCGGCAATACGTGCGTCGTTGATTAGCGTAATTATGGAAGCTGTGACCGGAGCGGACGCGGAAGTGCCAAAGACGAGCGAGAGCGTCCCATCGACGCCTATCACGTAGTTCGCTCTGCAGAGGAGTAAGGTCAGCGACCTCTCGACCGTCCAGTGAGAAGTATATGGTGTGGAATTTCACCCGTTGGCAGACAAGTCGGGATATCCACGGGCCTACAAAAATATCAGATAACATGCAAGTTTATGTCGTATATCGATCAACGGGGACCAAGAGCGCCTCCAAGCCGCACCTTTCCGCTATTATTGAACTGTGCCGCGGTATAAGGAGGCGGTGTGTCAGTCAAAAACTTCGTGACCGCATCGGACTGGTACGATGGCATTGGGAAGACGTTGCTAAAACCACCTATCGTGGGCACGCACATCGACACAATCGTGGAAGCGAGTCAGCCCGATGAAGACGACAATGTCGGGGTCGGGTGTGGATGTGGACGTACCTCCACTGAAAATGACGGTCTCGCATGCACTCTCTGGATCGTTGACCGTCTTGGTTGGGACAATTTGCGTGGCCCCCACTGCGGTGACGAATGGGCAGACGACCGGGAATCTATTGACCGGCCAAATCAGTCTGTCGTCAGTACACGTCGTCATATAAGGGTAGAGGATATGACGGGGTAGAACAGGGCGCGATGGAAGACATGAGTATGAGCAGGATGGGCGTGGCGTACTGAGGACTGAACCCGATCCCATTCGCAGAAGGTGGGCCTGTATCAGTTGCGCGGTGAGTCTGAATTCTCACTGGCTAGTGACTACTCTGGCTGGCATCCGCAGAAAATAGAGCTGACCACCTGCATTCAAACATCCACTCCTTCCAGCCACTCCTCGGTCTCCAGAGCTGTAAATCACAGTCGTGCCCATCATACCCAGCTTTCCATACTCGGCGCACTGAAAGTGACATGTGTCACGTTAAGTCATACATTTTGTGATAGTGTAAGGTGATAGGGACTGACTTGTCTTTGGACGTAAGCGGGAGTGAAGGTGACTTCGTCTATAGAGTCAGGTATACAGTCCGAATTAGGTTTCTTTCACAGTCGCACGCGAGGTAAGAAGAAAAGATGCAACTCGCCTTGTCCGTAAGAAGTAGAGATGACGTTTGGAGGTGCTACGATCCCGCACGATTCGTTTCCTGATGCCTTGTAATCAGCTAGAACCCTATCAATGCAGACTGGATGCCTGAGAGTAACGAACCTTTGAACCCACCAGGAAGAGGGTCTGGATATATACCGTCCTAAAGGCCAAGCCTCATTGATCTCCACCATACCGGGAATGATAGGAGTTCAGGGCATTGTGTACTGGTACTCACTTCATCAGGGTCATCTCCTCCCTCGAACGTACAAAACGAGCCATCCACTGCATCGAGCCAGTTATCGAACGATCCACCTATGTAGCACCATCTCGTCTATCAGCATCATACTTGGTAGTGGTAAAGAAAGTACGAGAAGGTACACTGACCCTCAACAGTATCGCCAGTCTGCAGCAGCGTCACAGGTTGAGGGTTCGTTAGTCCGATACCATACTCAAGGTCCAGCGAGCTTTCGCCATTGAAGTTGAAGCTTTGGTTTTCCGTCTGCGCAATCCCTATCGGAAACAGAGTAAGTACTCAAGCGACGCTAATCGTGATCAGGACAGGAAGATGGATGAACAGAGAACTGGAGTGATGCCTACCTCCGTCGATGGAGATCAGGGTGGGTCGTTGACCAACCTGAGAGGGTGAGAAATTACTGAAAAAGACATCCAGATCTCCAGCCAGAAAGGCTTGAGGTGTAAGCTCGACTATTATTCAAGTTCGCAATCAGCACCTCGCCACACGGCGTAATCGGGAAGGGTCGTCTCACCTATACCGAAAGAGTTCTTATCGGTAGCAACAGGCGTATAATCTATCGAATAAAGCGCCCTCAAGCAATCTAATGTAATCATCTCGTCGCAATTCGCTACTCCTGCTTGTGGTACAGCCGTAACTTTCTTCCCGTTCGTCTTTGGGCCTGGGTCCATTGCTGGCATGCCTAAGTTGACAAGACTACGTGGGCTGAGACTCGGAGTGGAGGACGTTCGGAGTGGCGCGTGAATGAAGTGTACGGTCGGCTTGATGAGATCTATGTGTTCGCGAACGTGCTCCGGTACAGAGTATGATTCACAACCTATGCATATCAACGAATTACCGTCCGCTTAGCGCACAAGAGTAAGTAGGGAAAAAATGCCCTTGATACGCACTGACTTGCTTGGCACCTGACTCATGCTCAAACACATGATACTCCGCGCCCAACAGTTCCTCAACCTCACCTACAGCCAACCCACTAACCTCGATCCACCCTTTACTCTTCGACACCTTCACCCTTCCCGCCCCGATTCGGTTGTCATCCAACCATCCACGGACAACGTCAATAGTCTCAAGACTCGGAGCAAAGTAATCTTTCACTTTCTCAGGAGACCAGTGTTGACCATATGTCGGAGATACGGGGTGAGAGATGGATAGAAGGAGGTCTTCGAGGCGATGGAGATTGGCTTGTTTGAGACCGATGCGGAGGGGAGATGGAAAGGAGTCGGTGGGACTGAGGCGGCGGTTTAGTGTCCAGTCTGAACCTGGGTTGGCTGCACGGCGTTCGTGGACGACATGGGATGTAGTTTTGGAAGGTGCGGCAAGCGTGGTTACGACACAGAACAAGACCAGAGATGCAAGGAAGATTCGCATTTCGACGAGCAGTACAGGTCGAGGTGTGACCGACAAAGTGCGGAACACACGAAATCAGGCATAAGTACATAGGTTGGCTCAAACGTATTGCGCAAGATGGGACGAGAAGTGAATACGATGTCCTCAAGGTGCCCTGGGTGCAGACACCCATACGGTCGCGGCGATTTGATTGGGCACTCTCTAAAGAGGAAGTTGCCCCTATGATGTTCTCAGAGGTTCAATGCTGAAGATTTATGATAGCAAAATTAGATGTCGGTCACGATGCGACATCAGTGCTTACTGTGAGAATGAGGGACCAGAAAATAGTTGTATGAACGGAATGGATAGTACAGAAACTTGTTTCAAGTTACGTGTCCTAGTCTGAGAAGCAAAGACCGCGTTGCAGAAGATTGTAGTGAATGGGCGTGACGATTGAGCACCCAGTCAAGAGCTGGTCAAGGGAATATTCGAAAGTAGAAAAAGCGTGAGACCGTCGGGCTTGGGAAACTTCCTTCCGACAGCTTCCGATCCTAACAAGGACAAACATACGCCACAGATTTTGTGCAGGGAGCCTGAGGAAGCTCACTCCCACTGCTCACTGCTGCGACCAGCTAGCTTCCTTCCACTATGTTCGGGCGCCGTGTAAATTCTATACGACTAAACACTACATGAAACTGCTTTTGGACTCCCTGTGATCATTGTTGGTGAGTACCACGAACGTCATACGTGTGCCGCGTGCCCACGCGATTTATACTTATGGCATCCTTGTATCAAGCATAGGTCAGATCTTCGCCTTTGGAGGTCGCTTCCAGCGGCTTTCAAAACCAAGGGGGAGGCACCCGTAAAATCAGTTACCGGATCTTACCTTTCACGTTTAAGGCCTTACCCCCCTCCCCCCCTCCCCCCCCCTCAAATATTTAAATGATTTTAAATGATTTATTTAATACCTTTCCCAAAATATAAACGATCAAAATGGAGGGTTATTGTGGCAGTAAATCATTGTTTTTTATCAATGTTGTT